AATATATATCTAAATATATGTTTTCTTATTTTTAAAGAATTAACTATATATAATATCTTTAAGACTTCAGGATTAGTTCCATTCCAGCCAGACAAGGTTCTTGATAGGCTGATTATATAGCTCCATGAGCCTACTCTAACCAGCAATATTTCTATTATATTAACAGTGCTAAAAATACCCAAGAATACAAGACAGTTATAGAGGCATAAAACTATTATCAAAAGACTCCTTTATAAATATATAATTAGCCTATCTTCACAGATAAAAGCAGTATTATTCTATATTATAAAAGAATATAAAATCATTAACCGGGCTGCTTTACTTGAGCAGAAAGTCAATGAATTACAGGCTAGATTAGAGAGGCAAAACACTAAGAAAAAGAGATCTTATTACTAAATAGCCGGTCTTAACAGCCTTATTGTTAAAGAGGCTAAAATCGTATTTAAACAGACTTGCAAGACTAATTAAGTTAGTGAAAATCAACTTGTATAATCAGCTACAGGTAAGAAACAGTCTCATTGCTAGGTACCATCTTGCTGCAGCGAGTGTGGAACAATTAAACATATAAGAACAAGATGTCCAACATATTAAAATACTAGTTAAACACATTATTTTGTTAATATAATGGACTATATAAGCTTTATCTTTTCATGGAGGCATGTTTGGCCGGGCGCGCCGGCCCACTCGCTTGTGCGGCCCACTCGCTTGTGGATTACGTTAGTGAAGTCAAGTAAGTTATGTAATAATATATAACGTAATCCACTACCGAGCCGCCACCTACTACCGAGCCGCCACCTCACGCGTTTTTGGCACCGGTTAAAATCCTCGCTTAATTCAACCACCAACCATGCCTCCAAAAGCGCGTCAAAATTCAAGAAATCTAGTCGAGCAAGAAGGCAGGATTCTATTAGCAATCTCTACTATAGAAAATAAGTAAATCTCCCAAATTGCTAAAGCTGCGCGGGTCTATAATATTCCACGTTTAACTTTACAGGACTGTCTTCATGGCTGCAATTATTGCAAGGAAGCACGCGCCAACTCTCATAAAATGACTTAAAATGAAGAGGAATTACTTGTATAATAGATCTTATTGCTAGATTATTATAGAGCACCTCCCCGGCCATCTTATATATAAGAAATAGCTAATATTCTGCTTGCTAAACGTGGAACTACACCTATTCAAACTGTTAGAGAGAACTGGGTCTCTAAGTTTGTTAAATGATGTAATGAATTAAAAACCCGCTATACTCGATGTTATGATTATTAACGTGCTAAATGCGAGGACTTTAAGATTATATAAGAATAGTTTAATTATATATAAATCATTATAATATAACAGAGGATTACACAGGAAGATATCTATAACTTTAATAAGACTGGCTTTATTATAGATCTAGTAGTTACTATACAAGTAATTACTAGAGCTGATTACTATGGAAAAGCATGTCTTGTATAGCTAGATAATTAGGAATAGGTTACTTTAATTAAGTATATAAATACTTCTGGTTAGGTGCTTTCTGTGTATTATCTTTAAGGGGAAGGTCTATATAAAGAGATGGTATCAGAGTAATTTATCACATAACTGGAGAATTAAGGTTAGTCCTAATAACTGGACTAGTAATGAAATAAGCCTTTACTGGCTTCAAAATCTCTTTATTTCTGCTACTACTGGCCGTACAACTAGGAAATATCATCTTCTAGTTCTTGATAGCCATGGCAGTTATTTAACACCTCAATTCAACCAGATATATAGTAAGAATAATGTTATTTCTATCTATATACCTGCTTATTCTTCACATCTACTGCAACCTCTGGATATTGGCTACTTTTTATTGTTAAAACATGTATACGGAGGCTTAGTGGAGAAGCAGATATGTCTTAGATTTAATTATATTAATAAGCTTGATTTTCTTAAAGCTTTTCTTCAGGCGCGTACAGATATCTATATTACTAGCAATATCTGCAGTGGTTTCTCTATTACTGGACTAGTTTTATATAATCTAGAGTAAGTATTCAGTTAGTTAAATATTTAATTAAGTACTCTAACACCACCAGGCAGCTGGTCAACCAATTCAGTGCCTAAGATACCTTATACTATCAGGCAGCTAGAAAAGCAAGTATCTATAATTAAAAAACTACTTAAGACGCGTATACAGAGCCCTTTCTCTTCTACAAAGGCTGCGCTAGATTAACTTATTAAAGAATATAAAATAGTAATGAATAATACTATTATTTTAATATAAGAAAACCATAATCTATAAGCCGCACATGAGAAGAAGCTTTAAAAGTAAAAGCTATCTATTAAGCAGCTTATTATTATAGAAGGTCTTTCTATCTAGAAGAGCCAGGAGCGATTCTAGCAAGAGAATCAGATTATTAAAGCTTAAGATATTGTATTTAGAGATCTAGGGCTTTTTACAGTTAGACTGCGTGTACGCGCGCCACCATAATATTCTAATTATCATATTCAGAAGTATACTAGGGTCAGATATTCTAACCCATCTAGTAATTAGTTTTATAGAGAAATGCAATTGTTTTGTTGGTAAAGCGGTGCTTGAATCTAACATAGTCATGGAAATCGGAGCGGAGGTGGCGGCTCGGTAGTAGGTGGCGGCTCGGTAGTGGATTACGTTAGGTAGGTATGTTAGATAAGCTATGCGGGATCTAACGTAATCGGTAAGCGAGCCGCCATTGTAAGCGAGCCGCCACCTCCACCCGATTTCCATGACTAGGTGACATTCAAGCGCCTTTTTGCTAACAAAACAATTGCATTTCTATATAAAACTAAATACTAGGTGGATTAGGACATCTAACCCTAGTATGCCCCTGAATATGATAATTAGAACACTGCAGTGGCGCGCGTACGCGTGGTCCAACTGCAGGAAGCCCTGAATCTCTAGATACAGTATCTTGAGCTTCAAAGACCTGATTCTCCTGCTGAAATCATTCCTGGCCCTCCTGAATAGAAAGACCCTCTGCAGCAGTAAGCTGTTTAGTAGACTTCTTTTTCTTTTGAAGCTGTTTCTCATTTGCAGCTCGTAAATCACGAATTTCCTGACGTGCAAGAACTGCCTTATTTAAAGCTAACCCGCTGTATTTGATAATCTTGTCTAATCATACCTCTAAGGAAGAGATAGGGCTTTGCAAGCGTTCTCCCTGTCGTACACGTCTTTAAAGAAGCTTTCTTTTCACTGTAGATGCCTGCTTTTCCAACTGCCTAGTGGTGTAGGGTGTTTCAGGCACTGAATTAGTTGACCGACTGCCAGGTAGTGTAGGTGTATTCAGTTGAATATTCAGCTGGCTAAGCACCGTCTCTGGATTATATGGAACTAGTCCAGTAGCAGAGAAACCACTGCAGATATTACTAGTAGTATAGATCTCTGTACGCGCCTGAGGGAAAGCTTCAAGGAAGTCAAGCTTGTCAATATGATTAAACCTGAGGCATATCTTGGTTTCCACTAAGCGTCTATATGCATGCTTTAATAGTGAAAAACAGCCAACATCCAAAGACTGCAGGAGATACGACGAATGAGCAGGCATACAGATAGGAATTATATTATTCTTACTATATATCTTGTCAAACTGAGGTGTTAGATGACTGCCATGGCCATCAAGAACTAGAAGACGGTATTTCCCAGTCATACAACCAGTAGTTGCAGGAATAAAGAGATTCTTAAGCCAGCGAAGGCTTATTTCATCACTAGTATAAATGGCTGGACTAACTTTAATCCTCCAGTCGTGTGGTAGATCACTCTGATACCAGCCCTCTATATGGACCTTCCTCTTAAAGATAAGGCATGGTGGAAGGGCCCATCCAGAAGCATTAATACACTCAATAGAAGTAACCTATTCCCGATTCCCTGGCTGTACGAGAGGTGTTCTACTATAAAAATCAGCTCTAGTAACTATCTAAGCAGTAACTACTAGGCCCATAGCAAAGCCAGTCTCATCAAAGTTATAGATATCTTCAGGTACAATCCCATGCTGCATTATAGTGATTTGTATACGATCAAACCACTCCTTTATAACTTTAGGGTCTTCACATTGAGCGTGTTGATAGTCATATCGACGAGAAAAGTATGTCTTTACTTTATTATGCCGTTGGATGAAGTTGTAAACCTATTTCTGTCTAACTGATTAAACGGGTGTAGTGTTGCGTGCAGTAAGAAGAAGATTAGCCATTTCTCATACATAAGATGGTCGGGGAGGTGCTCCATGTTGAATAAGTGATAGTATCCATTGTATAAGCAATTTCTCTTTATTTTGAGTCATTTTATGGGAGTTGGCGCGTGTTTCCTTGCGATAATTACTTCCATGAAGACAGTCGCGTAGTGTTGAACGTGGGACATTATAGACCCTCACAGCTTTGGTAATTTGAGTAATTTGCTTGCTTTTTATAGCAGTAATTGCTAGTAGGATCCTGCCTTCTTGCTCAGCTAGATCTCTAGCATTTTGACGCGCTTTTGGAGGCATGGTTGGGGGTTGAATAGAGTGAGCTTTTCGACTGCGGGCAAAACGCGGTCAAGTGGCGGCTCGCTTACAATGGCGGCTCGCTTACCGATTACGTTAATCAGACTTCTTACTCATTCTGCCGGCAGTAAACACAAAAAATCATTATTGCCTGATGGCTGCTAATGCCCGCTGTAGACCAAGCACCGGCCAATGAAAGAAGGTGATGGTGTTAAAGCATCAATCAGTCTCCAGCTCTCACCAGCTACCAGCTCAATTTGACACATGCCCCTCATGAGACAATTCCATCCGAGACACATGCCAACCCCAACATGGCATCAATTTACGATCCAACCAAGAGGATTGCCCAGGTTACACAAATATTCACAACAACCCCCGGGGGTTCCGGATACGGAGGTGGTGAGGTCATTCCCGCCACAAGGTTCGGTGCGACCCCTTATAAAGCCACGGCATGGCGAGCCCCTCATATCAGAAGTGAGATTTGCCCATGTTCACACATCAATATTATCGAACTGAAGAAATACTTCAGAATGGTCCACCTGTCCACCGTCGCCAAAGAATCCCACGGCCACCGGCGTCAGCGTGAGGAACTCGATGCCCAGGCAGCGGCTGTGTCACCTTACGTGTACGGCACGCGCTACGCAATTGAAGAGCTGCCCGAGCATACCATGTCAGAGCACGAGATGCCAGCCTCGGTCGCATACCGGATGATCAAGGATGAGTTGAGTCTCGATGGAAATCCTCTCCTCAAGTAATGCCTCCCTCGTCTGTGATTGAACAAAAGTGACCGTTGCAGCCTGGCAAGCTTCGTCACCACCTACATGGTAAGAGGCCGTCGAGATAAGCCAGCGCCCACTGACTCGTCCTAGGAGGATGAAGTCCAACAGCTCATGTCCGACGCCATGAGCAAGAACTTCATCGACTACGAACAGTATCCACAGACGGCTCACATCCAGAACCGCTGCGTCAATATGATCGCTGGCTTGTTTCATGCGCCCACTATCAACGACCCCACCAATGAGCAGGACGCCATCGGCACCTCCACGGTCGGATCCTCCGAAGCCATCATGCTCGCCATGCTGGCTATGAAGAAACGCTGGCAAAATAAGCGCAAGGAAGCTGGGAAGGACTGGTCGCGTCCGAACATCATCATGAACAGCGCGGTGCAGGTCTGTTGGGAGAAAGCAGCGCGGTATTTCGAGGTCGAGGAAAAGTATGTGTATTGCACAGATACCCGATATGTCATTGACCCCAAAGAGGCGGTGGATCTGGTCGACGAGAACACGGTGGGAATCTGTGCTATCCTAGGGACAACGTATACCGGACAGTATGAGGATGTCAAGGCCATTAATGACCTGCTGGTGGCTAAGAATATCGACTGCCCGATTCATGTCGACGCGGCCAGCGGCGGCTTTGTGGTGCCCTTTGTCAACCCCGAGCTGGAGTGGGACTTTCGTCTGGAAAAAGTCATATCCATCAACGTCTCAGGGCACAAATATGGCCTGGTGAGACAGATCACAACGTATTGGTCTCGATGCGGTGCTGACCATGACAGGTCTATCCTGGCGTCGGCTGGGTGTTCTGGCGCGCCCCAGAGAACCTCCCAAAGGAGCTCATCTTCAACATCAATTATCTGGGCGCCGAGCAGGCCAGCTTCACGCTGAACTTTTCCAAGGGCGCCCCCCACGTCATTGGGCAATATTACCAACTGATTCGGTTGGGACGACACGGCTTTCGATCCATCATGACCAACCTCACGCAGATCTCGGACTACCTGGCGGCGGAACTTCAGAAACTGGGTTTCATCATCATGAGTGATGGTGGTGGTCGCGGCCTCCCTCTCGTGGCATACCGATTACCCGAGCAGGAGGACCGGCTGTACGACGAATATGCTCTGGCCCATGTGCTCCGTCGTCGGGGCTGGGTGATTCCGGCATATACCATGGCCCCCAAGAGCAGTCAACTGAAAATGATGCGGATTGTGCTGCGCGAGGATTTCAGTCTGCATCGCTGCAACCTGCTGGTGGAAGACATCCGACTGGCGCTAAAGACGTTGGAGGAGATGGACGAGACCATGATCAAGCGGTACAGCACGTAGGTGACCCCCCGGACGACGGACATAAACTGACATGAGCAGCTACATCCAAACCCATGCCACGCGCGGACCCCAAGGTCATCCGGTCTATGGAAACGAGCAGCATTCCCTCCAGGGGAAGTCGGGGAAAACGCATGCGGTCTGTTGAGCCGGTTTACTCTGCAGCTGCCTATGATGGGTCACACCCTCTACCTTGTATGTCATTAGCTATCAGAATTTGTCATTGCCAAGTCATCAGACGAGGGCCCTTGCTCTTGAGGCTGTCAGCGGTAAGCAGCAAGGATGTGGCCTGTCGGTTGGGAACTCGCATCAACCGACGGCAGTCCAACAACTCGTGCCTCTGTCAATGCAGCTGCCTACCCCCTACCCCCTTACGTATAGCCTAACCGTCGCAGGCCGGTGGGCCATAGCGAATATTCGATAGGCCGCGTAGTGCGCTCCACGGCCCCGCAGGCGGACTTCTTCGGTGCATGAACTCTTGCCCGTTGCTCGGTCTGTAACCCCACCGTTCAGGAGTAACTCCGATGAAGTAGGTAGAGTAGAGTAGAGCAGTATAACACATCCATTATGCTTTAGATCCTACTTTGATTCCATTTTGTATTCCGTCGCTTCGTTTGGCAGCAGATTAGGCTCCCATCGCTGAGGTCACTCTGACATACTCTGCATCCCGAGCCTATCCTCGAGCCTCGCCCATCGCACCTAATTATTGGAGAAAATAAGCGAGACCGCGACCGGGTTGGGGAATATGATAGACGACCTGTCATGTCCGTGGAGGTCCGAGGTGGCATTCACCGCGTCGAGGGCCGCGTTAGGTTTTGAGTTCTCGGGTGGCCAAGCCAGTGCAGCTGATGCATCACATCCGAGACATTCAATAGTCGGATTGACAATGCAGTAGTCAGACTCTGACTATCAATAATCGCGCCACCACTCACGGGCCTGTCAATCCGGGGTGTCCTTTGCCAGCTAACCTATCTCACTAAGCTTCGCGACTATACAGCAAGCTTACTTTGAAGTATTGAACTCAACCATCAAGTACTGAAGCCTAATCCTCCGATTTTGACTGACCGCTACGATGTTACTGACTGATATGGGTTGTTGGATGTTATCGTTGGAACTTAATATAGATCATATCTTAATCAGAATGAACTTGAACATGACCTCCGTATTCCCCGGCTTGTCGACTTTACTTATGTATCCTTCTCTTCTCTCTCGCTAGACAGCGATCCCAGTCATCTGCCTCCTAGCCAGCACCACCATGGCCAACCCTATCTGGCTGACCGTCCTGGTCTTAACCCTAGGCTTAACCCTACACGTCCAAGCCAAAGACGTCTTCGCCCACTTCATAGTCCGCGCCCCTCCCCCCCACCCCTTCCCCCCTAAACAAACCCCCCTAACAACCCCCCAGCTAGACAACGGCGCCAACTTCACCCAAAAACACTGGAACCGAGACTTCACCGCCGCCAAATCAGCCTCTATCGACGCCTTCGCCCTCAACACCGGCTACGGACCCTCCAACACCTACGCCCTCCTCAACGACGCCTTCACCGTCGCCGCAACCCTCGACTTCAAACTCTTCCTCTCCCTCGACTACTCAGGCGACGGCCACTGGCCCCCCGACCAAGTCATCAAAATCCTCCAAAACTACACCTCCCACCCAGCGTACTACAAAATCCCGGGAACCAATAAATCACTCATTTCCACCTTCGAGGGCTATGAATCCCTCAACGACTGGACGAATATCAAACAGAAGGTACCGGATTTGTTCCTCGTTCCGGATTGGTCGGCCCAGTCGCCGGAATCCCTAGTTAAGGATAGTGTGGTGGATGGATTATTGTCGTGGGATGCGTGGCCGTATGGTTCCGATGCCATGAATACGTCGGCTGATGAACGGTATATTTCCGCCCTGAAGCGCGCGGATAAACCGTACATTATGCCCGTCTCGCCGTGGTTTTATACCGATATGGTCCGGTATCATAAGAATTGGGTATGGCAGGGTGATGACCTGTGGTCTGTGCGCTGGGATCAGGTGTTGGATTTGGAGCCGGAGTTTTTGGAGATCCTCACGTGGAATGATTTCGGGGAGAGTCATTATATTGGTCCTTTGCATGAGAATGAACTAGGGATTTTTGATTACGGACAGGCGCCGTTTAATTATGCGGCGGGGATGGCGCATGATGGGTGGAGGGATTTCTTGGAGTTTAGGATCGGGGAGTATAAGAATGGGAGTGGGAAAGGGAGGATTGGGAGTGAGGGCGTGGTGGTGTGGTATCGGTTGACGCCGGGGTGGGCGTGTGAGGCGGGTCAGACGACGGGGAATGCGGTTAGTCAGGGACAGAGGACGATGCCTCCCGGGGAGGTGTTGACGGATACGGTGTTTTTTGAGGCGTTGTTGGAGAGGGATGCCACGGTGGAGGTTAGTATTGGGGGGGGGAATGCGTCGGTGGGGTGGAGTGGGACGCCGCAGGGGGGGAGGGGCGTTTATTATGGCCATGTGCCCATGGATAATCGGACGGGCGAGGTGGTGGTGACCCTGTCGAGGGATGGGAGATTTGTGGCTCAGATGAATGGGGAGAGTATTACCACGAAGTGTCCGGAGAAGTTGACGAATTGGAATGCGTGGGTTGGGAGTGCGATGGCGAATGGGACGAATGCTACGACGTCAAGGGCGTCGGTGGAGAAGTCAGGGGCTGTTGCAGTGTTGGTGTCGGGGGGGAGAAGGGGGTGGTTCGGAGTGTGGCCGGGGTGGGTGTTAGGGTTGGGGTTGGTGTTGTGGGTGGTATGAGTGGGGTGGTAGAGCTGGATAGATGGTTGGTGTTAGAGGTGTTCTAAATACGGTAATATCTAATATATTGGACTGGACTGAATCATGAATGAGCTTGTTTCGAGGGGCACGGAGAGATATTAGGTTCTGGGCATTAGCGGCTGATGCCGACGGGGAGAGATAAAGAGAGCTTCCGCATGCGGAAGGTCATTGAGTCGACGTCCAGCTTTTGGGTCGGCTTCGGGTCCCCGAAGGCCGTGCACGAACTGTGGGTGTTTTTCTTCACGCTGATGGGTCAGATAGACGAGTGCCGACGAGGACCATTAGCTAATCGTCTCAAACCCTGCAAGGTTTCATGTGCTCGTGGTGATCGTCGTCGGGGAGAATCCTCAGCCTGGGATTAGATAGGACTATTACTATTGCAGGTGCAGATAAGCGAGATCTGACGAGGCTATGCTGTGCAGTTACCGGTCTAGGTTGGATCATCATTGCACATGCAAGATTACATGTGTCTTGCCTTGCTGCTCTTGCTGATTCTCGTTGTATGAGATGTGCCATCATCTCACCAGTTTATGTCCAAGGATGTGACACTGCCACTCGGTCAAAAGGATGTAGGCAGTAATCTCATCCGGGAATCAGCACAATGCATATCGTATGATCCGTGCAGAATCATCTAGAGGCTCTTTGTGACCTGCCTAATCGGACAGGACTGACTTCTCCCCGTGTCTATTCCACTGCCATCACCAATAGGAATCAATGCCAACCCATTCTGCTGAGGATGAGCTTTCCATGCACCCATCAGCGGCCGAGTTCAAGTCTATGACGCATCTATCAAACTCTGTTTGCCACATCACGGCGTCCCCGACGACCCCGATGGCCTAGGTCCACCACAACTGCTGGTCTGGGGTTCGGCCGGGCCCTTGTTGACCTGCACGGGCTAGACTGCGTCTAATAGGGTTTGACAGCTGTGGGTGTCTCCACGGGCGGGCCATCGGGGCCGACGGTGGCGAGGTCTAGACCCCACGCGACAATCCTCGATAGTTTCGTGTCCAGGGCAGTATAAAGATTCCCCTGACCCTGCCCTGAACTCGACCAAGACATCAACAAACACACAACTTCCACACCCCCTCATGCAATAATACTTGCTTCTCGCTTTTCTCTCTTCACGTTAGAAAGCAACACCATGGCTGGTCTCGAACTTCCCCCTTCCTTGATGCGCCAGGCATCGCGCACCAACTCTCGCATCCCTCCAATTGCTCGTCGCTCCGTCTCTCCTTTTCCCTGTCGCATGGCCGTCCTCTCCCGCGACAAGTTGCAAAAAGAAACCTCTACGAAAAGCCCGGACCTGCGCCGGTGTCTAGCTCATCAACGCCTCTTGAATCGGTCGATTGAAGCTGCTCAGCACGATGTGCGCAGCCGGATGGCATCATACCAGTTGGAGGATGATGACGATGAAATCACACCTTGCAACCCACCCGCCGAGGCGACCGCTGTGCCTATCATCCGGGTGCAGATCACCAATGCCGTGCGGGCGATGGTCAAGCGTCGCGCAGCGGACCAGAAAGAGCTGGGAGGCGGGCTGGCCCGCGTGTCAGCTCACTCGGAAAAGCCCAGCAGCACGAAGAAGAGCCTGAGAAATGTTCCACGGGTGGTGTTTGGACGACGCCGGTGGGCAATGTATGGGCCACTACAAGCGGGGGTGGTTAGCTGATACACCTATCGGCAACCTCATCACTTCCTCGCCCATATACCTTCTTCCACAAGACATCCTCCCTATAAACGACTTGACTGATTGTGACGTGCTACGAGATATGATGGATCACTGTATATACTGCCTTCTGATCACCTTACTATTATACATTTACATTTTATTATATTATTTATACCATAAACTATCCATATTCCCTGTAAAAATCATCCGCCCCACTGATAACCACTAGCCGCCGATCCTCATCTGCACGAGAATTCTGCACCAATCAATCCCTTCACTTTTTCCGCATCGGGGAATCTCGCTCCACCGCATCTCAGCTGACTCACCACCACCCCATCACCTCCAAAATCCATATCTCCTCCCCATTCACATCCCATCCCATCCCATCACCACTACCAAAATGTCCACCACCACCCTCCCAGAGGGCTGGCACATCCCCCTCACCCAATGGTTCACCGTGCAACTCATCACCGCGACGACAGTGGCCTTCACATCAGCCTCATCCCCACTACGCAACGCAGCCGCCATCCTCGCCTTCGCAACCGCCTACTCGGTACAACTCAGCGCACAAAAATACCTCCCGGGAACGCGCTTCGGCGCCCCAATCGTGGCTATGTGCTGGATTAACGTCCTCAACGCAATTGACCTGCTTATTCTCAGTCGCGCATCTTACGAAGCACAACAAGAATATAATGCCAATTCCAAATCAAACCCCAACCCAACTACCTCGAAACCACTCCCACACCCCGGGCCAGGACTAGCACTAGCACTAGCACTATGCAAAAGATACATCTGGTCCCTCGCCCTCACATTCAACTACCGCCGCATCAACACCCCCTGGCAAATCCGCTCCTTGCCACATTTCAATCCCGACCAGCCGGGTTACATCCCAACAAGAACCCGCTTCTTAGTCACCTCCGTCGCGAAACTTATCTTCTCCGTGGGGATCGTTCATATATTCACTATAGAAACATCAGACCTCTACCTCAACCACGCAGTCAGCCATCTGCCTACTAAACCGGGGGAGATTCTTTTCCCGTTTCTGTATCCTAGTTCTGCGACGCTGGGATGGAAAAGAGATCTTGTTTTAAGGGTGTTGTTTACTCTTTCGTTTGGGGTCGTTGCTCGGGCGACGATAGTAGCGGGGTATACCCTCTTCGCTGTGTTGTTCGTGGGAAGTGGATTGCATCAGCCGCGGATGTGGCCCCCAGTTGAGGGGGGGATTTGGAATGAGGGGTGGTGTTTGAGGGGGTTTTGGGGGTACGTATCATCCCTTCTCTTCCTTCATCCTCATCTTTTTCGTATCCAATTCTGGTTTTATTTATTGGTAATACCCACCTACGCATCTAGTAATACTAATGAATATGGACAGAAAATCATGGCACCAAACCCTCCGCGCTCTCCTCGTCTCGAATGCAGATTTCCTCTCCTCATCGCTCCACATCCCCATCCCATTACGAACCCCCTTCAGATTCATCTTCTGTTTCTTCGTCTCGGGGATAATCCACCTCCTTATGGACGTTGGGTTTGGGGTGAGCATTCCTGAGAGTGGGGCGTTGTGGTTCTTTAGTTTGCAGGTTTTGGGTGTTTTGGTTGAGGTGTCTGTGGGGAGAGTTTTGGGGAAGGGTTTGGGGGATGTGGGGATGTGGGTGAAGAAGGGAGTGGGGTTTGTGTGGGTGGGGGCGTTTATGCTCTGGAGTGTGCCCGTTTGGGTCAATCCTATTTTGGTAAGGTTGTTTGCTGATGGGGTGAGGATGATGTCTCCGTTTTTGGGGTTTGGGGGGTGGGTTATTTGAGGGGGGGTGGAGTGTAGGATATGGGTGGTGGGTGTGTTGATATCTTATTTAGAGTTATAATGATGAGTGATATATGGGTATAGATGCGGGGGGGGTGACTACAATACAAACAGCACACGGTGAATATACCATTAGGGCAGGGGCAAGCTACGCAGCATCCCAATCCACCCACGCAAACGTATTTAACAAATCCAAATGGGGATACTCATTCCCCACCCAATTCTGCAATACCATATCGTCCACTGTAGTCGGGGTGCATAGCGATGCCGGCATACTGAGAATCCGATCCAGCGAACGGCGCAGAATCCCCTTGATTTGTCCCTTGGCGATGATGTCCGAGCTGGATGGTTTCAACCAGTCGAGAAATGCGACGAGTAGACTGAGGTTTTGGATGATGTCGGAGCGGGGAAGATCGAGCATGTAGGTCGATGGGGAGGTGGCTTGGCGGAGGAGTTCGAGACAGAGGATCCCGCTGCAGGGGACGGCGTAGGACATGGCATATCGATTCTGTTAGTAATGGCAGGGTGGATGGATGGGTGGCTTACCAGCCAGGAAAAGTCGCTGTGGTTCTTGAATCGGTCTTTATGTTTCCAGTATTTCAGCGTCAGGTCGAGCATTTCGTGGCTGACGTGGATCAAGGCCTGTTCGGAGACGACTTTGTGGCGTGTTAGAAGACGTTCCAGAATGAAGAGGTTGAGAAGGTAGTCGAGTCGAACGAGAATCCGGAGGAAGATTAATTGTCCTGGGATATCGGCGTCGTCGATGTATTCTTGTTTGAAAGCGAGAGCCTCGGGGAATTGGGCTTGGATGTCCATTGCCTCGGTTTTGAGTCGGCTGATTTGTTAGCAGGGGACGTGGGTGCGAGGAGGAAACGTACAGGCATGTCTCTACAGCAGATTCCGTGATGCTGTCCTGCGAGGTTTCCAGAACCTCCAGCAGCGCTTCTCGATTCCTCGCTAGCATTGTGCGCGCGCGAAGCACCGTCGTCGGATACAATTCCCGCTCTTCGCTGCGGTCCCACCCATTCGAGTCCAGCTTGATCACCGCGTCGGAGAGACGGTTCGAGAGGATATCCTCGTCGCTTATTTCCAGCGGCAGCTGTGTCGTCGAGTATTGTCGGGTCAGTAGCGGTGGTCTTCCTGTGAAGGTGGAAATGACCTTGTCAAAATTATAGATCGACGCGTAGATCCGTCTCTTCAGCTCGTGCTGGAATGACACCTCGTTCCAATCTGTGGAGAGTTCCCGGTGGAGACCAATGGATGTCGTGATGGCGACGACATCCCCGTGTTGTCGCCAGCATGAAAGACCTGTTGATCAGTGACGTTCAGACCATTGGGGGTGGGGGCTTACTCTTGTCACCGCTGGCGATGCTCTCGAGGATATTGTGCTTAAACGCCATGTGGACGAAGAGAATGTTGATAGCACCCAGCTGGCTGCACAGGTCCAGGCAGATGGATGCGCACCGTTTCAGATGCACCATCAATTCCTTGGGCCCCTTGACAGAGTGTCGCTGACAGTACCGGGTGATGGACTCATGCTCCACCGACAGCTGCGACGCCGCGGACGACCAGTACGTGAACAGCGTCCCCAGCAACTCCCAGCGCGTTCTCCTTCCAGAGAAAGCCTCCACCCAGCGCCGTGGGTTCTGTTCCGCCGGCAGCGAAGTCATGCTAGCCTCTGAGATACGCTTCGCAGCGCCGATTAAATTCTCGGTCGTGCGCGACCTCAACACGTCTCGATACTCATCCCACATCAGATCCAACGCAACTCGATATGCCGGTCTAAAACATGCATCCATAATATAGGTCTGGTGACCAAATAGCAGATTGCTAGTATGTTCATCAGGCAAGTTCTGTAAAATCTGCACCCCCAATTGAAGCAGTCTCGACGTGATCGCATTATTCCCCTGGGCAGGCGACTGAGCACCTTCATTGGTATCTTCGCCGGTCGGAGTCCGCAATGCCTGATCTACTTCGAATCGGTCCCTGTGCTCCACAAACACGGATGCGAAACTCGTGGGTCCCAGGTACTCCGCGGAGCTTTCGAGAATGGGCGTGGTGGATTGTGCGCCCGGACAGGTCTTGGTTGCCACCTGGTCGCTTTCGCTGCCACTTAGAATGTCTGGTGTGCCCTCTGGCGCGCTTCTGGCGCGGGCTTTGGCCAGGGGATTGGCCAGATAGACGCATTTCAAGGATAGTCTGCGACACCGCTGACAGGCGGGGGTCTCGTGGTCGCAGGCTAGCTTGCGGCGGCGACAGGCTTCACAGGCTGGCTTTCGGCCATTTTTGCGCCGCAAATGAGGCATACTTCGGATTCAAGGTGGAGTTCTCGGAATCGTTGGTTGTGTGAATGTTGTAGAAACTCCGTAGAGGGTGGGAGTTTGTTGGAGCGGGCTCGGATTCGGATTCGGCTTCGGAGTGGATGACACCATCGTCTGACGAGCTACTGCCAGAACGGGACACGAGCTAGTAAGAGATATTCTGTAGATGCCACTGGCTGGGCGGATAATTGAATAGTTTGTAGTTACGATGGCGATGAAGATGGCAAAAGGTAAGGTGGTACGATGGCACTGTTGCGAAGGGCGATGCGGAAGCGGAACAGAGCAAAACAAAAACAATGACCAGACTGGGGCTCGATCCCAGGACCTTATCGGTGTTAACGATACGTGATAACCAACTACACCATCCGGCCAATTGATGGGAGATATCTTAATACTTTGCTATATGAGGCAAATTAACGTTTCAGTTACCTCTCAAATCCTATTAGTCATTGTCCTGTAGTTGAGGGTCATGATCGACAATCCTTCATGAATGGTAACTGACAGCCTTTTTTTCTTTGCCAAGAGAAAAGAGACTCAATTGGCTGGGTTGCTGATTCCGCCCGGTTGGATTTCATTGTGTGGAGAAATATATATTTCCAGCGAGTGCCTCCCTCCGCCCTCTTGTGATCAATAAAGGCGTTTTGTCCCATAGGAGAAAGAGAAAAAAAATAAAAAAAACAACCGACCATCATTGTCTAAATTTGGTAAAAAGTCCTCTGTTAATTTGATATTAATACATGAGAGTAAAAACATAAGACACTAAGACTTAGAATGTACCATTGTAAGATGCTATTTCAGCCAAGGCTGATTTGCATTCGGTAGCAATTAGCTGTAGATAGTAATCAGCAAAGTGGGGTTCTATCTGAAAAAAGTACTCTGCGCAGAATCATAATATGCTTCCCAACTGTCAGATATCTTGTGAGAGGATAAGGGAGTGGGGGTAAGTCTGCCATCAGACAGCTTGATGGTAGGTCAGTCAGAAGAAGTCACCAGTAATAAGAGGCACTGGTCAAAGAAGTCAATGCCCGTTCAGAATCCAGTTCTAGCAAGTAAGACTTTCTGCCAAGCGATACCACAAAATGATACCACCAGAAGTTCTCCTGCGCGAATCTCAGTGCCGTCGTGAATTCCCAATAGTCAGGATACCAGCCCGCTGCTTCCCAATCCAGAAAACCTGAGATACGCCCTTCATGTACCATGATATTATGGTGTTGTAGATCGCCATGTGTAAAAACAATATTGTGGGATTTCTCATCCATTCTTCTAGCACGGTGGAGAGCCTCGTTGTATGCCATCTCTGATGGAAACCCGCCCAACCAGGCAGGCTCTCTTAGATAATCGTTAAGTTCTTGCTCCGACTCAAATGGACCAGCAAGATGGTTAGGCACCCGGACGCTTCTAAGAGGCGTACCTAGTAGAGAACATATTCTGTTTTCACCCCATGGGCTTTTCCATTTTCGTATTGTTTTCAGAGACTGATCAAGTTGTTGGAGCACCGCGTCTTTATCTTCATCGTTGAACGTCTCGTAAACCTGGCCTAATTCTTTGCCAGGCACGCGGGTCATCAGAATAGAAATCGGTGCATGAGGAGAATCTGGATGCTCTCCATAACAGATGACTCTTGGAACTGGTAGACCAGCCTTTCTAGCAACCTGCATAGTTAGTACTTCCTCTATTCGAGTACCGTCGGACCATTTCAGGATTAATCCAAAAGGAAGTTGAGCAATTTGATTATCGTAGGCAATTCCGACCCGGCCACAGTATGACCGAGAAAACCGCCTTAGGTATCGATGGATGATGCCCCAAAAGCGACGAATCTGTGGGTGAGCTGGCGGAGAAATAGGTGGGAATAGAATCCGACCATGTGAAACTTGGAAGGAAAAAACGAGGAAACCACCATTGCCCCATTTTGACTATGTTGTTAGAATTGACTCTTGCCCGAGGTTGCAGGCTGCTATTTAATATGTGAAAAGGCGGTGGCCTTTGCTCACGATGGAAGAAGCCCGCAGCATCACGTGGCTCACCCTGACGTAAGCTACGAGGGCCTTCTAGGCGCCGTATTGCAATCTATGTGAGTAACTATATGATTTGTAGATAATGTAATTGTTTCTACAGATCCATGGTTCTGGGGCTCTATGAGGCTTCCAGCTGAGTCCTTCCAAGTTCCAAGGTGTCCGTTGACCCCATAACAAATACTCCACCCCTCCGGCCACTACTCGATCTGCCGACAAACGATATTCCTAGTGGAGTGAAGATATGATCTCGCAGATATTGCAAGCCAAATCAGCCAAATCAACAATAGCCAAAACTATCCCATACATATCATGACTTTTCATCCCGTCATGTAACATCGGAGCAACCATCACTGGCCTCCATCCAATCCAACAAGCTATCCAATCTACCTAAGTATACTGACAGGTCGCAGACATATCATCATATCATATCGTATCACTCATTCTCCAATTCGAGCGTAATGGTCAAGGACAGAACAAACGTCGTCAAAATAATCTGTCAATTAGCACCAGTCACACTGACAGGTAATAGAAGCTCACCAAGCCGATCATCACGCCAATGCAATTCAACTCCCACCCCCCCGCATACACCGTCCCCAAAGCCACCACATTCTGCTGCTTCCAGAAGCGATAGGCGCCCATAAAGGCGATCAGGATCGCCACGCCATAGCAGCTGACAGCCAGGGGAATACCCACCTCGTAGAACCCTAGCGCATTATCGGGCGACGCCAAGTGCTGGAGACGGAATAACTGGGCGATCAAAACGCCCTGCATGGCGACCATGACCGAGGTGCGAATGTAAGCTAAGAAGGTTCGTTCCAATGCTAGTAGTAGTGGGTGTTAGTGAGGCTGCCTTCCGATTTGCCTGACCGTGTTGGCCTGTCTGCACGCGCCATCGCCACGTGAGATTGCGCCATTTTCCTCGACGGTCACTGGTCAGATGGTACGAGGGCAAGCTATATACTAGTACGGAGTACGTAGTATATAGTTATGGTGCACACGGAGTATATAAAGGACGTCTCACCGAAATGATCCCGGTTACTCTTCTGAGGCACCGCCAACACCACATTTCGCGTCCAGAAGCGCCGAATACATCCCCAGAGCCCCTTGCTTGTTTCCCGACTGGTATGGACGGTCCGCGACACCGTTCGCTGAGTTCGAATTCGATATTCTCCCGAGGAAATCGACTCGGTGGAAAAGCCCGCTTCGTCGTCGTCCTGGGTGGCAATTTCGCGGAGCTCGAGAGCGTCCAGCTCGCTGGTGGTGTCGTCATCGGCGGAGGACTGAGCGGCGTGCGTGGGAGCCGGCGGTGTTGGTTCATCGCGACCGGTCGCCGTGGCGGGCTCCTTGCCGGGCGCAAATTGAGGTTGATGCTCCTGGTGGTCGACCATGGTGTGTCTCTAGCTTGGACAAGGGGAATTGTGTAACATTTCGGGGGATGGAAGACGATGCGGTGTGAAGATGTGTCACCGTTGGCTGCCCGGTTCCTTCGTTGTTGGCGGCGGATCCCGTCCGGTTGACGCCCGATCGATAAGCCCGGCGCTTATCTGATGGACTCGGCAGCTGGCCGGCGGCATTGTAGTATTTGGTGGTGTCTACATTGGATCTATGTAGTATGTTACGATTGAGGATCATGTTCACTTTCCTGGTGACTCCAGCTGGATATGACGTCATATGCTAGGCTGTGAAATCAGTCGCCGATTTGCTTTCACCGGCACAATCACATTATCACATGCTAATCAACTCCACCATCTACCCCAGACTCCACTCATGACCATCAACTCTACGAAGGAACTAGGCCATATCAACCGTCACCCACTCCTGCTGCTGCTCCCCAAACACCGCCATGCCCGGCCGAGACACGCTGTCAAACAACCCGGCTTTCACAAAAGCTTTTCCTGGCGCCCTCGGAGACAGGCCGTACACCGGACTATATCAGTCAGATACACACACCCCTTTAGGGTGAGGGTTTACCCACCTTGCACAATTGGAGCAGAAATGGCGCTGAAGGCGGTTAGTTCTCTTCAAGAATAGCACATGGGATCAAGCTCACTTGGACGATGTTGCCCGAAGCGGTATTGTGGTCATTGTACACCTTCAATACCCCGTTGGGATCCTCGACTTTAAGGTCACTTTCATCGACAAAATAGTTGATGGAGAATGCTACATGCTGTAAGCATGCTAGCAATCATAGCAGAGGAGAAACTTACCACCACTCCCTCCTCTTCGGCAGGTGGAACTGCGAGTCACGTTAATTAGCCAATTTCTCCAATTGATACCGACAGGGCCGTAATACCAGTGGCAAATGACGCTCTTCTCTGGCTGCTGGGCCAGAGTAATAGAGATGTTGCCGCAGTTACAATGGCCGCTGTAGGACATGATGGATGTAGATAGTACGAAGCTCACTTGCTGGACGGACAGGGGTGCAGCGGTGCGGGGATTTAAGAGCAGTGCCAGGGGCAGCTGAGGAGAGAAAGTGGACCTGATCCACTTGGAGATCGGTGAAACAGAAAGCTAAGCCTCCGTGTCAGCCTGGAGGACGTGGGGGCTGTTCGGCGGTTTCCGTCAATAATAATAATCAAACCTATCTAACAATCTGATTAGGTTAGGAGTACGTCTCAGGATGCTCAGCCGCACTGCGCTAGTTTCATAGTTCAGGGCCTTGCTGACTGTCACTATTCGTTGCATCTACTTACCATTAACATGCTAAATTTTCGTTAGAAGATTGTAAACACACTGAAATCAACAAGTCAATGATAGTACTAACTAGGGTCTGCTGCGGGAGGTTGCTGGCTCTACAGCTTCTCATTGGTCCGTTGTTTGTGGCCAGATCCTGCATTCTTATTGGCTCCTTGAATCAGTAGTCACATGAATCTCTATATATTGCTAGCACTTACCGCTTCAGCCTTAGAGAAGGGGGGTCTGGAGGAGTTAATGTCTCTATATAGATTCAGGGTGGAGCTCTGAATCAATTTATGTGCTTAGCCGAGTCCTTTCGAAGCGCTTGATTGGGCCCTCCACGGCCGTTCAGATTATCTTTAGTTACATGCTTTTGAAAACGCGTTGCGTGATGCTTACTGAGGCGCTTCGCAACGCCTTGGACTGTGGACGGCTGTCCGCAGGCCTGGACCTAGTATGCAACAGTCGGGACTGCCTCCCAGAGCAACACAATCCAGATTCAATCGATCTTCCTACTTGCACTACAGGTGACCGGTCCACTCCTCTTCATGTGGTAATTGCAAAGAAAAAAAAGCACCAGGAACGTTGCCCTAACACGCAAAACAGGGCTCTGGGACCTCTCCAAACAAAGCCTGATAAGATAGATAAGCATGGAACCTGAGTATCACCGCGAGGCTCGCCAGGACGAAGTCCAATAGATTCGAAGTCGCAGTCCTGAAGATAATTGTGTCTGATTCCTGTCAAAAACTTGGGAAAGCTCCCCACACGACGGTATGCAGAATTCTCGGAAGAGCGAGTTTACGTAACAAGCCGGATGTGTGGCAGCTGTAGAGAAATGCGAGTATCTGCTCTCCGTAGACTCAGTCTCGAATATTATATCTCAGAGCCGAGCCAGTCCAGTCTGACGTTCAAGATCTTCAATCAGTCGAGTGGACTGGTTATGATCTTGAGACCCCGCCGTTTGGGAATTAAGAACCCGCAGACCAAGAACTTTCTTCCGACGTCTACTGGCCCTTGAGTCATCTGCATCTCCGCTCTGTTGCAACTTTCGCTTGCCTTTGATATACCCTACCATCTGGCGTAGAATGGTCGGAAAGATTCGATTCAGGACACACCACAACACTCCCAACGTGACCAGAACAGCGATGACAGCGACGACGACCGCATGTTTGACAGCAATTTGCGGGGGCATACCATTCATGCTAAAGATGCTAACGGCGAGGTCCACAGGAAGAAAGAATACTGTTACGTACGTGAAGAGCGTGATGTTTCCCGCTTCTTGAAGGGACTTCTTCGAGCGAATGGCGTCCTGTGCGTTAGTCACCCGGACGATGAGGAATTCAATTCGCGCAGCCATGGCTTTGATTGCACGCACATGATCCTCGCACTGGATCATTTTCTGCTTGATAGCTTGGCGGTATTTCTGTTCGTCATTCCGTGTCCAGCGGGGCCTTCCCCGGCCATGTGAGCTCTCCCTCCGTTGCCACTGGTCAATCAATCCCTGGAGTCTCGCGATGTTGTTCTTGAGAAGGACCAGAAGCTGGAAAGTCTCGCGCAGCTCCCGTGGCTTGCGGTCTTCAAAGCTATCTTTAGAGAAATATTTTCCCCCGGGTCAGGCGCGCCCGACCCTGGTCCTTGCTCAATGAGGACCAGAATCGGGTTCATACGGCGGCGAACAGTGTCCAGAATGCGGTTGAACAAGATGATCTCCAGAACTTTTCGCTGCTGCCAGTGTGTTTTCTGAGACCGCCGATAGTTTACAAGTGGGTGATACTGCTCGTCCGCAAAGCTATGGAGAGCATGACACGTCCAGTATCGGTCAAAGAAGTCGCCAACAACTCGAAAGCTAATCACAGCATCCACAAGGTATGTGTCGCTTCCCAAGGTCCGGCATGCCTCAGCTCTGAGCTGCCGAACAGGGGACATCGAGCCATCTTTATATGGTATTGCACTAATCTCTCCGGATCCACAGAAGTGGAAGAATCGGAAATGAACTTCCGTGACCCAGCTGTTCAAGGCTGGATCCGTATTGTCGGATAGGTAGCTGGCTTGAATATTGGCATGGCGCTCGAAGAACTGCGCCATTTGTACCCGCTCCAGTTCGGGGATGTAAGATAGCATATGGAGGCAGACTGGCAGTCGGGAGATCTCAAATAAATGAAGCGTTTCTTGTGGTCCATTGCACACCGCTGTATCTGGAAATAGTGCCAGAAAACGTCCAGGTCATCGAAGTCACAACAATGGGATTTCTCATCCGCCGACCATTTTCGTTGTTTCCGACCCTTGCGGATGTCGTCAACAGTTATGTGGCATCTGCCCGCGAATGTCGGCACGTTCCTGCCGGGCCTTGAGAACCCCGCCGTATCCATAATCTTTTCCATCGTAGGTGGTGCCTTCTTATATATTTCCCACATGGTGTCGTCAAAGAGCACCGGCTGAGATTCGAAGAAGTCAGGATACTTATAGAGCCATTCCTCCGGTACCTCCACGATATTGCTCCAATCGTCAGGTCTCCCATACGGATTCTGTCTCTTGAGGATTCTTTGGACCGCAATGGTTGTGCCATCTCCTTGGGAAGTCCCAGTCCTCTGGAGGAGTACATCATGGGAATTGGGGGATCGCTTTCTCTTTATGCTTTGGTATGGTGTAGCCTTACGAAGTGTCGCAGAGGATCTCTGCGGCTGTACAACGCTGGGATGTCTCTCTACTTTACCGGTATCGCCGTATTCTGCCTCGTCTGCCAATGAATCAAACCTGACCAATCCACAGAAGGTACGCAGCAAAATGTAAGGTATCTCGAATCCAACATGGAAGTAAAAGTCTCGGAAGCGCTCTCGGTGAAATAGCGTGGGTTCCTTGCTGAAAGCATCGAGTTGGCCTGGAAAAAGTCCATTATCCGATGACGAGCTCAGGAGAATCTGTATCGCATGAGAAAGCATTTCTGATGGGGAGAAACTCCGATCCAACTGATGTCCCCGTCTCGCCATCTCAATTGCCAACCCATAGCGTAGAGGATTATCCCACTGGCTCTCATTACTGCTACTGTCGTCATGGTCAATCTGGACATCAATGAGCTGTGTCCATAAAGCCTCTTCACCGGTAAAAAATCCCCACTCTGCCCCGTAATACAAGATAGTGTCACGAGAATGCAAGAGGAAGCGAGTCTCCCGTGTAGTGCGGGTGACACTCAACATGCGCTTCCGAATAACATCATTCTCGATTGCGAAGCGTCGTAGGTTCTGTCGACGTAGCTCTTCCGCGGTAAATCTCAAGAGTGGCTCTGAGTTGGACTTTCTGGTTTCCTGGCGAGGCAGGTTATTTGCGACCCTGAGAAAAACAGTCCACGACGGGTCGGGGTTTTCATTATGGGTCTGCCTGACTTCATCAAGAAGCTCCTCGAGGCTTTTCAATGCCTTCCATATCCAGACTTGATCACTAAGGCGATAAACAGGGATCTCCGAGTCATTCCGGTGCTGCCATGTCGGTGAAAGATGATTTTTCTTCTTGGCTAATTCCCGGAACCATGTCTCTGCGAACCTGCCTAGATTTACGCACACGAAGGCCCGATCATCCGCGTCTGGGAAGGTCTTCAAATACTCAGTGGCTTTAATGATATGACTTGGCATGTTCGCGGGGCTATCCGCTGGGAGGTCCGTCTTGTCGATATCTTTCAGCCGCTCACCATCGATACTCACATTGGATGAAACGGCTGCCGTAGAACCCAATTTGAATACCCACTCAAGATGTCCTTGGCATACGGCATGTATTCTGCAGCGGACTTCCGGCACGCTGCTGAGTTTCTCATGCATCTCCAACATGAACATGAAGGCGAAGCTGCAGATCCATTAGAAGGCATCCGAAGTGAAAAGAATTAGCCTTTAAAGTGAAGGGGAGACACACAAGCTCCCGGATACGCTCACACGATGGTCACCAAAGTCACCACATGTCAGAGCTATGGGACCTAATCCGGCCAGTGATCGCCTTTCTTTGCTTCGAAGCAGGATATTTTCTATCTCATCCGTTGCATCTGCCGTGATTGGTGGATCTTCATCATCTAGAAAGGCGGGTGTTGACGGAGGACTCTCTTCCAACGGGTTCGGTCTCAATGGTATGCTGCATACAGACAATATATGTTCGAGATTGCGAAGAAAATGCCTGGTCAACTCTGGGTCTGAGTCAAAGTGTGTCCCAGTATTTCGGGACACGGAGGGCACAAGATCGACGTCCAGATCCTTCCAAGGAGTGACGTAGGACGTCCAGTCTCCTCTCAGTGAGCACATCTGAAGCTTGAAGACGACAGTTATTTCCGCACTACCTGTCTCGTCAAATTCGTATGTGATAGGGATTGGTTTGACGCCAGATTCTATCTCAGTCTCCCAGATCAGCTCTTGCGCGATCCCGTTCTTGAAGCAGCCCATAAGTACAGAGATGCGTTTCTGGTCTTCTTCAAGGTCCGGCCGATCTTCCATGGCCGTGAGGTGCACTATCATAACGTAGTGGAAAATTTTTTCTTAACTCCCCATAATCCAAGTCTTGGTAACACATGTTTAGGTCCAGCTCTAACTCGGGGGGGTGGGAGTAGCCGGCCTTTGCAGTGACGTGTACCTGCTGTACGACCGTGTCATGATGGCACCACAGCTTTACGGTCAAGTCAAACCTCCTATCTATGGAATATGTAATCTGCGGCCATCGGTCGTCTAAGAACTCGACGCTTGAGGGCTCAAGAAAGATCGCATCTTTGATCCGTAATCCAAATCCAGTGGTGGGGAGCTGGGCAGTGTCTAAGAATTTGAGCGCACGCCAGTAGACATACAATGCTTCAGGCTCTTTGCTTGGTCCTATTCCCAGCATGCCCGAGTGGAGACGGCTGGTCGGCATTGGCCGGCAGATGCGTAGCAAGGAACCGTATGGGCTGGCACTGGCCGTGGTGCCTCGGTCCCCGAACGACATATACGGGGCACCTCGCTCGGTAGAGGGTGTGTATCGCCAAAAATTTTCCTGAGAAGAGGGTCGAGGTGTGGCGGGGTCGGAAGTGGTCGTTGTGGACGAGTCCCGACGCGGGGCTATTGACGTTTGGTCAATCAATCAATCCTCTGGAGAACAATAACCTTAGTTAGGACTCACCGTGCACGACGCTCCGAAATCGAGCATCATCCTTTTCTGGTAGATTTAGGAATTGGAGTCGCTTCTTTCCCTCGCTGACTGTTTCCATGGTACTTCTGGGTCCGTTGGGGAAAAGCCGGGCGTGAGGTTGCGACTTGTGCAATTTCGATAAACTGACGGATGGACAGTCACGGTTGTCAGCAACGACCCATCTTATTTCCCCCTTGTTGCAAGCTTTGTTTTTTGTCTTCGGAAGACGAGATCCCTGTGCGACCATCGGGTTGGTCCGTTGAAGCAACAAATCCTTGTTCCATGCCCCGCACGAGGCTGGCTGCTGACGTGTTTATCGTGTTCCTCACCCCCAGCAATACTTCAGATCCAATGTACAACAGCCCACCCCGTCAGTTGTTGAGGTCATCATGGATAGCTTGCCAGTTCCCATGAAAGGACAGGTGCCGCTCATGGGGCCGCTCCGGGCCGGTCTGGTCTTTCCATCAACCAATGCATCTTCATGCGAAGATACGTTGCAGGCAGACTTCAGGAAACCGTGTATCAATGTCTGCAACATGATCACTCTGACAACCTTTATAGCGTCGCTGCATTGCAGTGGAGAGCATCCCAAAGACTACGACTCTAATTCAACGTCCTGTGGCGAACATCAACGTCAACAAAAGTTCAGTCAGTTGCCACATCGTAAGTGCCCGTGTCTCAGGTACAAGGCATTGGTCCTAAGGCCCTGCGGTAGCATGGGTGTACCCTGGATGGTTTGGTATACTGTTTGCCACTGTTCGCCTCGATTGATTCCCACACCCAAGGAGCATCATCCAAAGGCTCCTTCAAGCGGTTCTTCACGGCTCCAGCTGAGCGCTTTCAAAGGGCTCAACTAAGCATTCAAAAACGCAGTACCTGATTCAGACGTCGGACCTGAATCTACGTAGAGATCTGGTTCAGACCGACCCGTCTGAATATGCGTTCTGGGGAAGTCCATGTGACGGGCGAAGAAGCCGGATGGCTCCACCGACCTCCCGCATCACCTGACCAATCATGTGACCAGTTCTCAGCAGGTCCCTAAGAACCTTCCTTAATTCCTCGGAAGCTCCCCTCCCTCCTCCCTCCACCCTCCATCCATCCATCCATCAATTCACCACAACCACCACCAAATTCTGCATCCTATCCACTCTTGTCACTCGTGTCACCCAATACATCCTCCATCCCCCATGGCCGGGGCACAATGAACTCCTTCCCTTTCTCCGCGGCTCCCCAGTCACATCTGTTCAAATGGTATGCATACCTGAGTAAATCCCTATCTCCATTCTCTCTCCATAGTTCCAGTTATTGAACAGAATGTGGAGAGTAAGATGATCAGAGTCATTGCAGATAATGCTCATGGAGATCTTAGCGCCGGGGGGGAAGAGGGTATCAAGATCACGGTGTGGAGATGGACGGACAAGGTAGGTGGGATGAGCTCGTGATGAAAAAGACTTCCTTCCTTACACCGTGGGGTCTATGAAATACGAGACATGGCTTGTTCGGATGCATGTTGCTCGCTATGTCTAAGTCATAGTGTCATGTCATTGGTTTAGACGTATATGATGCTCTACATCCCCCACTCGCCAGCATCTCATTCCGTCTTGAGTGCTTTGTTCTCGCTCTACCGCAAGATGGTTAGTATCGCTCTCCATTTTTGGATTATCGAAGATAACACTCAAAACACAAAAGAAAAGGAATGGACAGACTGACCTCCATCAAGCCGGTCTCATCAGTAAATCTGCCATGGAGACACCCGCAGCCGATGGTCCGGACATGTCCGGGTACAGGAATTCGGTCCCGAAGGCTGCTGGGTTGGGGAAATTCGCCATGTACGCTGAATTTGGTCAGTCTCAGACGTATGTTGCTTGAGTAGGCAGTGATCTGTGGATGCTACCGAGTCATTTACCTTCGTAAGAGTCCCAGTCAAGTTGGTCAAGCGGCATCATGGGGTCCTGGGGCGGATCGAATTGCGAAGGGGCAACGGTCGTGGAACCATCTAACCGGAGTTCGGATGTTCTGTTTAGTCCCAGCAAGGGACCCAGATGATCCACCACCCGTCGGGCTTCCTGCGACACAGCGCTCGAGCGTAGCCAGAGAGGATACGTGCTGCGTAGCAAATTATGCATCTTCAACCCGGTTTCCGGGTCCAGCGCGACGTCAGGCCGGGTCCTGGTCAGTTGGACGTAATAGCAGAGGATGCTGATGCCGAGGAGAAAAACGGCCTGCAGACGCGACGACATAAACATCCACCGGACGGGATAGAGCAGCCCATCGCGCTGTGTTTCTTCGTCCACGATCTGCTGGAATTCGAGAATCTTGATGGCCGCCTGGACGCAGGCACTACGGGAGAACTTGTATTGCGTATGGCAATATGTCAGTGTGAGGTACTTCCGGTGAAGCCAGATGATCTGCCGCTGGATGGCGAGTTGGAGCAACACGCGATGCATAACAATCTGCGGCGGTACCATAAATGACTGGCTAAGGGGCTGCCAGCGAAAGATCGGGGGCAGTGACGCCTCCGCTTCCTGCAGCTTTCGGTCGAGGTTCAGAATTTCCGGGTACGGGTGTTCCCCGGTGTCATTGACGAGGTCACTGACCAGCCCATTCATCTGGTCGATCCGGCTCTTGGCGAGGCTGTATAGAACAGGAGTCACTTCAGTCTCGGGTCGCGAGGGAGGCAGCTCAACGGTGGCTTCGTCAAAGTCCGTGTCTAGTAGGTTGCGAGGCTCCGTGGTGTCATAGTGCTGCAACTTTAGAAGGCGAGGCAAGGCCATCTCGCTGGAGAGTCGCAGGTCTAGCTGCACGATGACGGCCCACACGCGCCGCCGCATCTCGCCAGCAAACGGGGTGATGTTGGTGAAATTCTGAGGATCTCGATGGTAGCCTAGACTTAGGGCCAGCTGGACGAGCATGCCTTGCACCAGCCAGAGCCCAATTTCGCCGTCGTTGGACAGGAACATCTCGCTGGTCAGATAATTAATAAGGGCTTCCAGAACATAGTCCCCACCTCGGGTATACTCGCTGAGGACGAGACAATGGATGGTTTTTTCACGAAACAGGTTAACGCGCATCAGTGTTTCTGGGTCGGCTGAGTCCTCGATGGACTGCTGATACTGCGTGGTGATGCACATCAAGGTGAACAGCAACCCAATCCAGGGCAATGATGTCGCCGCCGGCTCCTGCCAGAATTTCTCGTACTGTCCCTTCCAGTAAGCCAATGAGACAGGAATGAGTGGACAGGGTTGTGTACCTCACGGAGAAAGCGGCCACGGTGAAGAATTTCAGGGATCACCCCCTGTGCATTGAAGTACCGGGCGACCATTCGATCCACTACCGGCCGGACGGGGATGGCAGCCAGCAAATCGGCCTTGGTGTCGTGGACGGGTTCGTAGAGCAGACGGGGCCCAGGACTGGGACGCAGCACATGGCCGCTCACCAGCATCCGGGCCTCTTCTTCCTCGTAGTGCTCTCGCAGCTCGGAGATGCTATCGAGGACGGCAGCCCAATGGACGCTCCCAACGTAGTTGGCCCCATGCGAGTGCAGTCGCATGCTGCCATATTCCGAGGGTGCGGGAGATCCTATCCGCTCTTTGCTCTGCGGCAGCGACGCGTGCTTCAACCCCGGCACCAGCGTGTCCTCATCTCCTGCTGCCTGTTTGGGTACTTCCCCGAGCCTCTGTGGCGAGATAGTTGGCGTCCCCTGGAAGGAATGCACCGGGGAATCGGTGACCAGATCATCCGAAGGCACGGTTGATCTTTGCTGCTGCTGCTGCTGCTCAATCAAAGAGCGCACCAGCGATTCGAGCTGTTGAATGCGATCGCCTACACTAACATTTTCCTTGCGTGTCACGTCCGACCGATAGGTGCAGGAAAAACCGATGCCCCGATTTGTGCAGGTCTTGCATGGTGACTGTCGATCACACCGGACCCTATCTCCGGAGAGGAGTGTGTCCATTAGCATGTTGACACTCTGCTAAGCACCAGAGCATGGTGCCCAGGAATGACAAGGGGGTATGGGTGTGATTTACTTTCGACTACGACAGAAGGTGCACGATAGCAGCGGCTTCTCTCGCCGGCGATCTCTCAGACGCAGCGACACGTCTGTTGCAGTCGCGTTGGCATGTTGGCATGGAGGATTTGATCGAGAATCAGTTGGTGTTGAATTCATTGCGGATGATGAGAGCGTTTAGCTTAGGGCAGGAGTCAGTTTCCCGATGTTGTGCGGACGGCAATAGCGCGCGGAGGAGTCGGCGGTGCAATTGACGGAGCAATTGACGGAGCAAATGACGGAAGCTCCCGGTGGGAAGTGGGAAGATGGGCCTGTTTTTAAGTCTGGTAGGCGATGCAATCCCGTGGGTTCGGTCCATTAGGGCCCGCGTGCTGCCGCTAACGGAGGAAATCCGGGGCAAATGGTCCATCTAAAACCCAGATTTCCCGGCCGATGTGCCCTAAATTCCTCTCCACCAGAACATAACAAACTACCCAGCTCGGAATGGCGCACAGTCACTCTGAAAGCGATCACACCGTCTACGACGAGACCAGGATCATTGCCTTCAAGGACGACTTTGAGACTGGCTCAAGCAAGAATCTGCAGCAACCTTCAGATACCCCGATTCAAGCCCAGACAGAGGTCGAAAAGGATGTGGAAAAAGACAGCCCTCCTGGGAATCAGCCTATGGCTCCAGCTGACCCAAATATCGTCAGCTGGGATGGACCTAACGACCCCGCCAACCCACGCAACTGGTCCAAGGCGTACAAGCTGGTGAATGTCACTCTCGTTAGCCTGTCGGTGCTGTACGTCAACCTGGCCACCACCATGTTTGCCCCTGGCGCCTCCATCATGAAGCATGAGTTTGGCTACAAGAGCTCAACGGTCGAGATCCTGACCGTCACCATCGCGTCACTTGGCTTTGCAATTGGCCAGCTCTTCGTCTCGCCTTTGTCCGAGGTCTTTGGCCGCATGCCCATCTACCGGGCTAGTGCCATCTTCTACCTAGGCTTCACGGCCGGCTGCTCTCGCAGCACTCATGTCGCCGAGTTTTTGGTCTTTCGCTTGTGTACCGGTCTGTCCGCCTCATCGTACATGTCCACCGGGGGCGGCACCGTTGCCGACCTGCTGGAGAAACAAGAAAGGGGTGTCGCGATGGCCATCTTCACTGCAGGTCCCCTCTTCGGCCCAGTTCTAGGCCCAATAATCGGAGGATTCGTCACGGAGAATCTGAGCTGGCGATGGACCTTTTACCTAATCATGATGCTGGTGAGTTGATCTCCCTTTAACCATGCAATCACACTAACCCTTCATGTGTTCCGATCAGGCCGGTGCAGTCTCTACAGCTTCATTCCTAACCTTACGTGAAACGAGTGCAGTCGCCATCCTCAAAACCAAGGCCAAGCGTCTATCAAAAGAGACAGGGAATCCCAACCTACGTGCGGCCGGAGACCGACAAATCCCAGTCCAAACACTCGTGATGCATGCCCTCACTCGCCCAATCAAGTTCCTCTACCAGTCCCCCGTCGTCTTCCTCATCTCCCTCTACATCGCCTTCAACTTCGGCGTGACCATGCTCTTACTGGCCACCTTCCCCTCCATCTACGAAGATACCTACCACTGGAGCGTAGGCATCTCCGGCCTGGCCTACATCGGCGTCGGCGTCGGCTGCGCCATCGGAGTCTTCATTTTCGCCAAATTCAGCGATCGCCTAGTAAAGCCCAATGGCAGCACCTACCGCCCCGAACGACGTCTCATCCTAATGATGTTCGTCTCTCCACTCTTCCCCATCGGTCTATTCATCTACGGCTGGACCGCCAAATACCGCACGCCATGGATCGCACCCATCATTGGCACCGCCGTCTGCGGGCCAGGTGCGGTAGTCATCAGCTCATCGGCACAGACGTACATGATCGACGTCTTCGGGCCTCAAACCGCGGCATCGGCCCTGAGCGCCATCACCCTGCTACGCAATCTGACAGGTGCTTTTCTGCCCCTGGCTGCTCCGTCTTTGTATGGCCATCTGGGCCTAGGCTGGGGAAATAGTGTGTTGGCATTTATCACCATCGGATTTATTCCGATTCCGTTCTTGTTCTACCGCTATGGCGAGCGGTTGCGGGAAAGGTTTCCGGTTAACCTGTGATAACAGACCACGCGGTCAAAAGGACACGCTCTTAGCCAGATTAACCCACGAAGTGGTTGATTTGACCCCTTCTCAATCTTGTCCGACAGTTTCTTTTGTCATTATCGTTCTATGATTTCTTTAGAAGGGATTCTTCATCTCACTACTGTCTACTATGCGATTAGATAGATAGTGTTTTGCACTTGTGCCCAGAACAAAATCAATACCCTAATAACTTAATCCTTCCAATAATGAAAGCTATCGCCTTTATGACATTTATCCAAATGAGACAGATCTATAAGAATCTAAAATAACCCGCATCTGGCGAGGAATATAACATATTCTCACCCATATCTGGATGGTCTGGCAGAGATAAAAACGTACGAGAGTTCCAATAATTTATGAACTGATTCAAGAAAAAGAAACAATACCCTTTAGTAACCGGATGACGGCAGTTATAGCAAAGTTGACCAAGCCCCAAACCATCCAGGACAATGTCACCCCCAGGGCTATGACAAATCATTCATCAACAACACAGAATTCATTGCGTGGGATAATTGTAAATTTCAACCCCTCGTCGAACTAACAAAGACGTGGACATTGCTAAATGGAAGAATATCTGGGAATAAGTGGGAATAAGAACTGGCGCAAGCTGATACGGGAGGGTGCCTGCGGGGTGTAAAACGAATGTTTATTAGATTTGGGGTACAAATGACAATTATGGATATCCATTAGTTTCTTATAGTGCGCGGTTTTCAGGAACCTGACAGGTATTAACAACACGTCGAAGCTTTTTAGCTGTATATGTTTATACTCTTCGCTTATGATTTTAGATAGTTGTTAAGAAGGAGATTCATTATTTGTAATGAACGATGCTTCGTACAACATTCTGGGGTATCTTATAAAAAACAGTTCAAATGATCTCACGGTATTTAACATGCAGTCTTCTAGGGTTCTGAATTGAGTACAGAGAGGTCTTATATAATGCCACACACAGAATCCCGTCTAGGTCCTAAATCGAAGATTAAGTAATTTTATGGAGACTGTGAAGAAGCTTTAATAAACCTGTATATATCTAACAGTCCAAGGGATGTATATATGACCTTGGGTATTGAGATTGGGTCTTAGACATTATTATAGAAAAGTGGTTATCTGCAGCGCCTCCTGGTTTTTAGTCGACAAAGTTTGCTTAATTAGCTGGTGCTATTAATTAACATGAACAATGCAGCCTGACAAAGAAGACAAAGAACAGAAAGTAAGTACATGGAAACCGGAAATGAAGACAGCACATCTAACATAAAGTCATATGACATGTGTGGCCAGCCAACCTCAGATCATCATGCGAATCTCATAGTAAGGGCCGTAACACCGGGAGGCGGACTCGTATCCCAGACGGGGGGCTGTCGTTCGGATTCGCTGCTCCAGCTCATCAGGACTTTCTTCGTTCCGAAAGAACAACTGGCCCCGTGCACCCAATGACCAAGCTCCATGTCGATACCTCACCCAATCCCGGGCCACACGGATCAAAATGTCCTCGGGATGTGCCAGCAGATTGGCGTGGCTTGCCATCATTAGACCCACTAGCCCTTGTTCCACACTCTCTTCCAGCAAGTGTACAAGCCTGGGCATTTCCTTTTCCATAGTCCCCCCATCCTCGTAGTCATGGTTAAGATCCATAACTCCCAGGCGATCCAAATACGCAGCCCGGTCCAACGGCCAATGACCATGTGACGCCCACTGCGAGGCCAGCACAAGCTCAATGATATTGCCGGGTCGCGAATGGTCGAGAATCACTCGTCTACTAATCACCCAGTTTATTTCCGGGGTGAAACCCATGTCATAATAAAGGTCATATCCCCTTGCCGCCACCCAATCCGCAGAGCTCATCATTTGCAGGGCCTTGCGTCCCAGGAAGGTCGAGACGAAGTCAGCCACCTCAAGGATATCCAGTCGTTCCTGCACCGATCGTGAATCAGGTTCGTACACCATCAACGTAACCATGGATTCAATGGCCTCTGCCGCATGCTCAGAGTTTCTATATGCGTCAGTCCTGGTAAACCACAGTTTTTTGAATTTGGCCCAGTATGTAGTAAGAGCCTTGTAGAATCTTTCATAGGCGCGCTGCTTCTGCTTTCCATCCAAGGCGCGAAACCGGCTGCATGCCGATCCTGATAGCCGTAGCAACGGTCCACCATCGTCTACAGCCACTGCCTCCTCGTTATCATCGAGTTCATAAAGGTAGGTAGACTGGCAGTACGAGTCCTGCACGGACGCGTCACAGTATAGATCGAATAACACCCGCATGGCCCCCCACCGCACCACTGTGTCCCAGACTATTTCCGTCCATGTCACTGGGCTCGTAGACTTGGTAGACTCAAGACACCTGCGAATTATGGCTCTGCGCTGTCCCACGTCCCATGGGTCCGGTGTGGTGAACATCTCGCGGGAGATGGCGTCATGAAGTCGAACTCGGTAACAGAGAGAAGGGTCATGGACATTGTGATCTGCAAATTGCTGCTGCGCGTTAGCGTGGATGGAGTGCTGGAACTGGCAACGTACGATGATATGTTTGAGGATAGCTAGACGGCGGTACTCAAAGATATGGTTGAGCTGTTTGCAGCAGCGGGCAAGGTGAAGAGCATCGTCGATGTTCCTCAATGTAAGGTAGATAAGGTGTAAGATCTCTGGGGGAAGTAGGAGAATGTGAGCCATCTTGGTGCTGATGCTGTGGAGGCCAGAGACTGGGGATGCGATGGGTGAGATGCTGAAAGGTCGACGCGTCTTGAAGGGACTCTATGGGCGTCCATCCAGCACGTGATTGAGGGGGTGCTGACACGGTGAAGCCCTTGATTGGACTTGGGCTATTTGGCAATTGTTGGCCAAATCAAATGTCAAACCATGATCGTGTTGGCCTGGAAGCATTCGGTGCATCCATCCCCTGGCGACGTGTTACTTCTGTCCCATGCCCAAGAAACAGCTGGACGTCCGATCGGCTGACCAAATGCTCTCCAGTGAGAATTCTCTAGGACTGGATGTAATTCTTGCCTTCTTCTATCTTCTCACAGATGAACAAGTGGTGGGTACGGTCCCCATTTTTTTCTTATGGGGAAGGGGCAAACTAAGCAAATCCAAAACGGGGAATAAGCTGTTTTCCTCACCAGTTTTGGCAATTCCAGATCCATTCCCGTTGGACAACGTGTACAAGCTTCAAAACAATCGCATTTCCCTTCGATGCATGCTTCTTCAGGTGGTGATCATGCCGTCGATGTCGAGGGTTGATATTTCCTCATCCTAGTAAGGGTATAAGTGCTGCCCAATGCTCGGATCAACGTGGAACCATATCTTTGAGTGCTTTTGCCAAGAGAGATTGGAGAGCCAGATGCTTTGGGGGTGGCTCTTAACACACGCCAATTGCAGGTATTCTTCATCCAGACCTATCATTTAGATTTTCCACCCCCCTTTTATCGGACCGAAGCGATGAGTATTAGCATATCTAGGTCAAGCCACATATACTAATAATGAAGGGACTAATCAGAAGTCTTAATTCATGCACCAATGAAGAACTAGAATTCAAAGGACTTTCCTAGCCAGTACTTAACAATATTACTCAGCACTAACACGCTCCGTATAAAGACCTGAGAAATAAGAATTACTAATGTCCAGATAAATTCACCTAATGGCGCATTAGAAGAGCTGATCAGAATTCTCTATTTATACACTAATCACAAACTACATCTCTGCAAAGTTCCCAGGACCAACCTACTGTTGCTCAGCTCTCACGCGCTTCACAAATTACAAGCCTGAGGCACCAAGCAGGCATCGTGTGGTTTGGGAGGAAATCATATTGCTTCGCAAATATTATACGTCAATGTGTATGACGTTTAAAGTGCGGTGAATGCATTACATTTATCGAGGTGCTCCAGTCATTTCACAAATACTAGTATAACAATGTCCCACTAACAGTTTGTGATTGATGTAATCGAATTGCCCAGCCTGGGTATTACAGGCTGTTCTGGGAAGGTACTTGATCTCTTCAATTATCCAACTTCAAATTATAGCAATCGTTAACTTGCCAAGCCTTTTTTTCCCGCATAACGCTGATTGGCTGTAGGTTTAGCACATTTTAGCCCCTCTGATTGGCCGTTGGCCCTACATGCACGTTTCAACGTTTATTACTGGCTGTTATCATTAAGAGCTTTTAATAGGTCGGATCATTTCAGGCTCTTTAATTAGCTCTATCAGTTTCACACATTCAAAGCTTCTTAATTGGCCAGTACAGCTATCTCTGTTAACTACTTACACATCTACAAGTTCTTATACTAACTGTCATATTATTCTTTAATCGAAAGAGCAGCTTGAGATTAGACCTGTATATTGGGATCTTTCAGGGCGCGCTGGCGCGCCCCTCAAGGCCTTGTATCTAACAAGCTGGTAAGCTCATATTTCACTTCCAACCTTCTAGCTTTTAACTCGATTCTAGAGATATCTGGATGTAAAGATCTCGAACTGTTAGATCTAGAATTGTTAGGAATATAAAATACAAAGATCCTTTTATTATATTATAGAATCGATAAGATTGATAATGCATGAGTCCAAGTTTAGCTGGTAATGTACTAGAAACATTTTACTACGTAAATTCTATTTCCTCATTTAAACAGAAACCAATATGATAGAAGCACGGATATATAAGAAACTAATGAAATAAGAAGGGAAAAAAAGGTGTGTAGAAAGGTTTAAGGTATACAGAATGACAGAGGGTGCGGGTATATATGAGCCTGAATTTTCAAAGCTGCTATCTGTTTGCGGATTCCTTCCAAGTGACATGGATTAAGCAATAGAAGGCTTACATCCTGGTTGCTAGAGATACTAAAAAAGCGATGGGCGCAGAATCAGCCACCCCATAGTGATTTCTGAAAGATATTTGGGTTGGGAGCCCGAGGAGGCAGCGTGCGCATCCGTTCCACCAGCTCCTCCGAGCTCAAGTAGTCCAGGAAGAATACTCGGCCCCGTGGACGGAACCTCCATCCATTGCGTCGATGCTCGTCCCAAGCAGTACACATCTGAAGCTCTGCCTCGGTCAACTTGAGGCGAGCGGGGAATCGCAGCCGGTCTGGTCCAGTTCCGCGGCTGACGTCCAGTATGCCTACCCACAAGCCCTCTTCATAAAAGTATATGAGGCTGTTTATCTGGTTCCCCACTCGGCTTCCATTCTCGTACACCCCATAAGGCTCATCCATGGCTCCGAGGTGGCGCAAATAAGCCTCGTGATCCACCCGCCAATCTCCACGCGCAGCCCATTGCGCGGACAGTACAAGTTCAATGATACTGGGCGGTCGCAGGTACTCCAGTATATGTTTGAGGTAACGCACCCAGGGGTCGTGGGCTTTATGATAGCAGCGGTGAGGAACTCTATGAATGGGGCATGAATCCCACGCAGCCATCCAGTCCGCCGGGCTCGTCAGTTGCAGAGCCTTGCGCGCCAGGAAGCTCCACACAAAGTCATATATCTCCACCATGTCCAGAATTTCCTGCAATCGATGTGTGGGGTTGATCAGGTGCCGCAGTTCCTCCGCCATGTCAGCAAGCTTGACGTAACACTCTTGCTTGGAGCTTTCATACACGTCGACCTTGGCAGACCACCGCCGTCCGGCCACCCACCAGTTTGCGGTGAGAGCTTTATAGAACCGCTCATAGACGCGTTGTCTTTGCTTGTCGCCCAGGGAGACCAGCCTTTGGCACATCGATCCCGACGGAGGCGGGAATGGATTGCGCGTGTCCCAAATGGCCTCATCATCGTATTCCCAATGGTACGCGGACTTGCCATACGTCCCCTGCACAGACTCATCGCAGTAGAAATCAAATAAAAGCCGCATAGCTTGCCACCGAACTACCGTCTCCCAAACCATTTCAGCAGACAGCACGGGGCTGGATTTACGGGAAGCCTTGTAGTCGCTGATCAGCGCCTTGCGGCGAGGAGGGTCCAGACGAATTTCGGGTGTGGTGTACATTTCCCGGGCAAAGTGTTCGTGCAGACCAATCTCATTAGACAAATGAGGATCGTAGGTATGATGATCTGCAGTCTGAATGATATGTCTGAAAATCTCCAAACGCTGTTCTTCAAATACACCATTAAGGTAAGTGCAGCAACGGGCAAGGTGAAGAGCATCATCAATGTTGCTCAAGGCCATATAAATCATGCTCAGGGGCTTGGCTGGAAGATGGAGGATATGACCCATCTTGTAGGAAGAGCAGTACTATAAAGCCGATTCCCAGCAAAAGGAGATGTGGCAGTAGCTTTGAGGAATCAAAGATCCAAAGGAAGCGCTCCGGTCTCGCTCCACGACAAATCCAATGCTGCCGATGAGATACCAGTGATGATAATAACCGTGCAATAAAGCAGAGGGAGAAGTGACGGATAAGAAGAGGCCCAGGAGCGCCTTATGTAGGCGCCTTGAATTGCCTGGAAGGGTTATTCATCTCGGAGTCTGCCTCTCAAATCCAACCCCAATAACTTATCTCTCCATAAATGTAGATTGTGGCGATGTATCGACTGAACACAAAGCGAGACATCACCGAGCTGGGAAGGAACAAAGCCGACGATGTGACTAGCTCCATTACCGAGAAAGAAGGTCCGGCAACCACGTCGGAACAAAGAGCGAATTGACAGACGCCACAGATAATCTCCATCCATGATTCTCTAGGAGCCGATGAGTTTGGTAGTGCGTGACGTTGTCCGGGATGGATACTTCCGTGACATAGGGCTATAATGGACTGTTGTACATTGAAAGAACCATTATTCGATCATTTCTGCATTCCGCTCGTTTGGGAACTCTCAGTAAGTTTATCTGATTCTTTCTGTTTATGCGGGTCGCCTTATATCTGGGTGACGTCACCAGAAGGCCTAATGTATCAAGAACCTTGTGCATCGGACAAACATTTACCAATCTGTATTATTACCTTAGTATCCAAATGCAGAGAGTCGGACTATTGACACAGACTACCAGAATGTGATCAACACGGCGTGCATTCTGCGGGATAATGAACCGCCTTCAACAGTGGACCTTCGCCGTTAATCCGCTGGGTCGCGATTGGTTGTGAGTTTGACGAGTCAAGTCTGGTATGCTGCGCCGGATTATGTGAATTGGCTTCCTTGCTCAATGGCAGGGGACGTCTGAACGGGGGACTGTGCGTAGGCGCAGTGGATTACCCCGAGTGGTTGGGTTGCTTCGAATAGCCTCCGGGAATTCCGGGCCAGTAAGAGGTGCCATACAGCTGGATGGGATCACTCGCGATTATTCTGGTTAAAAAAATATTGCACGCACTTTAAGAACGAGTTCAAACCGCCATGATGGACTGACATGACATAAATTTTCAGGATCGACACAGCATTCTCTGAGTCATCATCAGGCCCCCCGGCGACAAGGCTGACCAATTGTGAGCTACATTCCAATCAATCCGCTCGGGTGCAGGCCATTGATGCTGACGTATTCCCCAGTGGTAGCAATCCATGCTATTTTCAGTCAGAAGAACACAGATGACAGGGGTGCTATGCGTGGTGATGCGTCGTTTTTGGGGTTGGCAGATATACTAGTTATATGTTGGAGTGGCTACTAAGGCGATTGAACCGTGTAGAATGAGATGGATGATGATGTAGCTAGGGGCCTCGTAGGCCATCTATATGGACTAACTAGCGGTGTAGGGAGGAGCGTCACGTGACCCTACGTTGCCTACCGGCGTGGGAGCCCATCGGGGATCCCAACACTATATCTCAACAAGTAGCTGCGTAATAGAGACGGAGAAAAAGTAAAAGTTTCTCGATCGTATCTCACAGTTCAATCGGTTCTCTAATTAATTTCTCCTTTACCAGCCAGACATACAACCATGCCTCTTAAACACCTCCCCAAATGGCTCAAAAGCTCTTCCTCGCAGACGACCCAAGGCAGTAGCATTGAGCTGTCGGATAAAGGCTCAAAAGACATGTACCCAGGCCATACTCTTTCACATGTTACGGTTAAGTAACACTAAGACAGGATTGTTGTTGAAGAGCGCGAGATTATACCGGCAGAACAGCACACCCCCAAACGGTATTATGGTAGGTGATGGTTCTCGTCGTCGCACACAGACACTGCTAACCATTTACCAGGAGACCAGTGCTTTGGCTCCTGCTGTCGCAGCCAATCTCCGCCTAGCGACCAATGCTGGGGCTCGTGCTGTAGAGGAACGCGTTGATGGGGTTGTTTCGTTATCGATAGGATCTGCTTTAGATGGCGATTGCCTGAGAGGGTTCAACGTTAGTGGATTAGCGGCAATAGTCAAATGATACCACCAAGATCCACAAATCCTGATTGTAAATCCAATAGGTACGGAAGAGCGCAGCCTTGTTTCCTCGGTGGGGATTGTTGAGGGCTTTCATTTCAGGGCCTGCGAGGAAGCCCTTGCTATTGGTTGGATGCTGATCCACACCCATTAACTTCCTAATCGGGTTAAGGTGCGAGTCGCAGGGACCCTCGTTTTGCAGACCACAGGGCGGGCAGTATTTCTGGTCTGGGAGGAGCTGCTACGCTGACTTGTCCAAGCACAAAATTCTTATATTGACTAGAGCCACCCTTCAAAATCTGCTGTCAATCTGCCGAAATCCTGCACCCGCAGAGCTTGAGTGTGATGGCTTCAGTTGCTACCCCGGATGGGTCGTCATCTCCCAGTCATGAGCAATATCCAGAGGATGGTCTTAAGGCGTGGTCCATTGTGCTTGGGGCCTGGTGTGCCATGATCCCGGCCATGGGGTTATTGAATAGCCTCGGGGCTTTGCAGGTGTGGATGACCACCCATCAGCTGCAAGAGTACTCCGAGTCCAGCATTGGCTGGATCTTTGGAGCTTATGGCTTCTTTCTTTTCTTTGGTGGAGCAATGTTTGGTGAGTGGCCTGGACAAGAAGAAACAGAAAACATCCAAAGTTACTGATGACAGGACAAGGGGCGATTCTCGACTCTCACGGACCACTGTTTGTGATTCTCCCAGGGTCGGTGGGAATCATCCTGTCACTAATCTTCTTAAGCTTCAGTCAAGGTATCCCTAGTGACAGCGAATTATATGTTAGAGACCATGCTTACTGATGCAGAATATTACCAGATCTTCCTCTCCTTTAGCGTCCTCGGTGGCATCGCATCCAGCACACTCTGGTCACCTCCGGTTGCAGTGGTTGGTCATTCGTTCAATGAGCGTCATGGTCTGGCCACAGGAGTCGCCTGTACAGCGGGCGGAGTAGGCGGAGTTATATTTCCTCTGCTCATCTTGGTTGCGGCGCCTCGAATCGGCTTTACCTGGTCTCTGCGGGTCATCGCTCTGTTATGTGCCGTTCTATGCTCGATTGCCTGCCTGAGAGTTAAGACACGACTTCCGCCCAAAAAGGCCGACTCTTTTATCGATACGGGCGCCCTTGGTGATATCAAGTATGTCTCGACATCGCTGGCCGTGTTTCTCGTGGAATTTACCATCTTCACTCCCATCACCTATATCGTCTCGTATGCACTGCATGTGGGTATCAGCGAGAAAATGTCCTATGCGGTTCCCGTCTTCTTGAATCTTGGTGCGGTGTTTGGCCAATTTCTTCCGGGCCTCATGGCCGATAAATGGGGTCGGTTCAACGTGATGGTCTTTGTCTGCTTGATGTGCGCCATCTTTACTTTGATTCTCTGGTTATGCGCAGATTTGGAGGCTCCCAGCAATCTGGGGATGATCATCAGCTATGCCGTGCTGTTTGGGTTCTGGGGCGGGGCCGCCATCAGCCTGGCGCCAGTTTGCATCTCGCAGGTATGCGAGATTCAGGATTATGGCAAACGCGTGGGGACAACCTGGACACTGGTGAGCTTTGGGACATTGATCGGGATTCCGATTGCAGGAGCAATTCAGCAGCATGATCACGGGGAATATTCTGGGCTTATTGTTCCTGGGGGAGTGATGTATGCTGTCACAACTGTGGCGTTTGTTGTTGCACGAGGGATATGCGGAGTAAGTTCTAGCAGATGGACTGGAGTAATCGGATGGAGACTGCCACACTGTGGGTGTGGGTTTAGAATCTTGAATCTAAATGGCGATTGCAATGGAAAATCATACTTATATTGTCAAGGCCTGCTTTTCACCCATGATACGCCAAAGAATAGTACACATGAAACTGAAAGACCGGGAAGGCCACAAGGCTTCACTGGGGTTCAGGTGACTGTCTTCTAGACTGTCAGCCAGATAAAAGTCTGAGGAACCGAGTCGGTGCATCGTGCCACTTGGGCCAATAACATGAGAGGTATATTGCATGACTTTGTGTGTATAACGCAAACAGAACTTGACCTCCAATGTTTCTCCGTAGCGACTAGCCTTTAGTTGGTCGGGTAGTCGGGCTGACATCCGTCCCGACTATAAGCGTATTAAGCCGTGATACCGACGGTGTATATCCAACACTATTCGCCGATGATTGTAACGTGTCTGGTTGGCCGCTTTGATAATCCATCGTGCGGTTAGGGGAAAGTACTAGTAGTAGTGGTGGACAGTGTCTCCTCCACGTTCTGGGGGGACTCCTCCCTGCTGTGCTGCAGCTTCCTGATGTTCGCTCCGACATCGGCCTCCCGGATGGCCAGGATGCGACCATATAAACCGGGACATTCCTTCAAGGAATCAATCTCTCGTTCGAACCAAATCTCCCATTTATTAATTCTATTCCTCTGACTCGTCATTTTCCCTTTTCCCCTAATTCACCCATCTCCGCTTGAACCTCTTCTCAACCTAATCTTCACGAATTCCCTATCCTAGTGATACCCCCCTTCCCAGTATGACCGACCAAACCAACCAACCCAAGGACCACTGGTCCGCAGAGGTATATTCCCCTCCCACCCCTTCATCACAACACCTCAACCCTGACCATTCCATAGGCCTACTCAACCTCCGCATCCTTTGTCCCCAAACTCACCCAAACCCTTCTCCGATACCTCGACCCCAAACCCACAGACCGAGTTCTGGACGTCGGCTGCGGCGATGGCAAATTTACCGAGGCTTTTCTCCCCGCCATTGACTACGTCCTGGGGATTGATTCTTCTCCTGCTATGATCGAGTCCGCTAATAAGGACTATGCGAGTGCGAAAGCAGAGTTCCGGGTCTTGGATTGCTGTTACCTGGAACAGGAATCGGGTGTTGCGGATGGGTCGTGGGATAAAGTGTAGGTTTCTTATGGTTGTTGGGATATCTGGAGGTACTGATTTGTTTTGCATGGTAGGATCTCGAATGCAGCGTTGCATTGGATTCTGAGGAATGATGCTACAAGAATGTCGACCCTGAAGGGTATTCATGCCTGTTTGAAGCCAGGTGGTGTTTTTGTTTTTGAGATGGGCGGTCATGGGAATGTAGCCGAGGTGCAGTCGGCGCTGATTTATGCGCTGCTGCAGAATAAATTCTCGATTGAAAAGGCTAGGGAGGTGAATCCGTGGTTCTTCCCTTCTGTTACTTGGATGACGAATGCGCTGGAGTCGGTTGGATTTCGTGTCGAGACCATGGAGTTGGAGGATCGACCTACGAAGCTGACTGATGCGGCTAATGGGGGTTTGGCTGGGTGGGTTAGGCTCATGGGTGCGCCTTTTCTGGAGGTCCTGCCGGAGGAGAAGAGGGAGGGCGTGGTGCAGCAGATTTGTGATGTGCTTTACACGGCTGTTACCCGGCATGAGGATGGTAGTCAGTACTTGGGTTATAAACGGCTGAGGGGTATTGCTAGAAGAGTATGAATCTTGTTATGTGTCTGTGTTCATAACCTGCTTTTTGTTATCTGTGTGATGACAGTCACTGTTTTCGTGCTCTCTGCTGCATCAGAAGGGCGAGCGGAATGTCCTCCTCGTCGTAGAACTCGACGTCCTCTTCCACTCCGAAATCGCGTAGCCGTTCGCCTTCAGAGTTCCGCCAGCCCTCCTCGCCATCGTCCGACTCGGTGTCATAATTTGATGATGACTCCCGTGAAGTGCCACTTTGATCGGCACCTTCCTTGACCCTGTCGTGGAAACGCTTCCGACGCCGGATTTTCTGATCAGCATTCGAAAGGCCAGGATTGCGGTCACTCAGCCATGCGTTCGTTGCAAAGGACTCGGTCTCATTTACGCGAGTAACCGGGATCCTATCCGGGTCGGGCGGTGGCCAGGTAACGTCGGGATCTATCTCAGGTTAGACACATCCGATGTCGGAGTTCAGTCACGAACCTTCGAACCCATTCACTTCAAACTCCAATCCCGTCTGACGGTTAGGTGTTCTAGCCAACGGCCAAAACCAGCCGAGAATCTAATATCCATCGATTAGACCAGATCGACATGCTTGTGGGGAACTCACATTCGCACTTCCGCCCATTCCCGCCTTAATATTAGACCAGATTCCAATATCGTATGGGAATTCTTGCTTCTTGATTCGAATTTTGACACCCCCCGGTCCGGTCAAGTATCCCCCATAGTGTCGAGATCGACGGACCAAAGTTTGATGTCTTTCGATCTCCCAATCTTCGATGGTTGTTGTATTGATACTCAGCGACCAGATGGTCCGGCCGAGAAGGATTAACAGAAAGAAGACCGTGAAGCTGTTAACCACGAGCAGAACAAACAGGTGAGCCATTTGCAGCGCACTCGGACCCAGGTACTGAAGGGTGTCAGTCAAGTAATCAATCTAGAGTGACTATCTTACACTTGGACGGTGCCGGGAGGCCCAGAGGATCGATGCTCTCTCATACAGAAGAGTCTCCAGATAAGACATTCCCGTTACGGCGTAGAACAAGAACCGGATGAAGTGAGGGAAGGTAAAGTGGGAGACACAATTGTTTGTCCATGGACAGTGATGGTCCATCTTGGGTATACATCTGATGAATCAGCACTAGATCAACATGTCAAGCTGGCATACTAACCTTTGACAAGTCCGGCAGTGGTGGGCTCTTGGCGGCTTGGATGCCTCGCATTTCCGGCACCATCGGGACCGACCACTAGCACGGTCGGATTCCAGTTGCTTACTGTCTAACGGCTTCCAGTCTTTGGGAATGCGACCGGGATCTACAGTGCAGGTTCGATAATAGCATATCCAGATGCACAAGGCAGCGATATTCAGGCGCCAGAGCTCGGTGCTCCGCAGCGGAGCTGGCTCGAAGTACAGGAAGAAGTATTGCGAGCTGTATGCGAGAAAGCTGATTAGGATGGAGACGAACGGAATTGCCAGCTGCGAGATCCGAAACGAAGAGCCGGCCATGCTGTTCGAGTCATATCCGCGCAGCCACGTCAGTGCACGCGATGAAGCAAAAGGAGAAATGGAATGGAATGGAGATGTTGGTGACGAGCCACGTGGTCGCTGACTCAGCTCACGTGGCCGCCGCGTCTTGTGCGTGGAAATACCTTCCTCCTTTCTCTTCTCGTCGGACCATCGACTGCATCATTCGCTTTATCGAGCTACTATATAGTATATCTCCTAATACCACCCTTACGTCTTTGAGTGAGAACTCTATTCCAATGATCGCCCAATTACTCCATCGTTAAGATGCCAATCGCGGCGCTCCCTCCAACCACCGTGCGCGCAATCGGCTCCGCGTCAGTCATTTCCGATCCCTGTTCCATTGTCAAGGAGCTCTTGGACAATGCCTTGGATGCGGCAGCTACCTCGGTTTTTATCGAGATCTCACAGAATACACTGGACGTAATTCAGGTAAAAGACAATGGACATGGCATCCCTTCCAGCGACCATCCTTTCGTCTGCAAACGCACCTTTACTAGCAAGATCCAGACAGTCGAGGACCTGAGAACAATTGGAGGAAGGTGTCTCGGGTTTCGCGGTGAAGCGCTCGCCAGTGCGGCTGAAATATCCGGTGGCTTGACTGTCAGCACTAGGGTCCAACATGAGCCAGTTGGTTCCTCTGTCAGATATGGCAGAGATGGGGAGCTTCTAAGGTGACTCCCACGGCGCTGAGAGTGTCCGAAGCTGACCCATGTAGTACTCAGCGCGCGTCACATCCGGTGGGCACCAGTGTCCGGATAACGGACTTGTTCAAGCATATTCCGGTCCGAAGACAGACTACTCTGAAGAACGCTACCAAGACTCTGGTCAGGATTAAGAAGCTTGTGCACGCATACGCCATTGCTCAACCCGCAAAACGGCTATCTTTGAGGGTGTTGAAAGCAAAAACAGAGGCCAACAACTGGATGTATGCCCCGGGACAAACGACACTCTTGGATGCCGCACTGAAGGTTATGGGCACGGACGCCTCTAGCTGTCTTGTCAGGGAATGGCCGCCCAATGATGACAGCGATCAATCTCTGCAACAGAAACAGGCAGGGTTTCGGATAGTTGCACTGTTCCCAGATCCATCTGGTACGTGCTGTTCTGAGGTATCCGACTGTGCTGACAGAGTCAGATCTGTCCAAAGGGAACGGCTCGGGTCAGTATATTAGTATCGATGGCAGGCCTTTATCGACCACCCGAGGTATCGCGCAAGATATTGCGAAACTGTATAAATCTTATATACGTTCGGCTGCATCTCGCCAGGAGCCATCTCCGAACATCACGGATCCTCTTTTGTGTCTCCACGTTATATGTACGGACGTAAGTTACGACGTCAATATCGAGCCCGCCAAGGATGATATTCTTCTCGAAAATGCTCAAGAGCTTCTTTCTCTGGTAGAGGAGCTTTTGTGTGATGTGTATGGCGAGAAACCGAATTCCGCTGAGGAACCAAAGGCTATAAGTAAAGAAAAGGGGCCTGTTTCCCACAAGAACTCGTGCGACTTGCTCCTTGCCCAGAAGCCGGAGAAATCATCACGGCCGAAAAGCCCTGGTGGCTCTGCGACAAACTTCACTTCGACTAGATTCACACAAGCAACCGATTCTGAGACCCATAGTCCGGGTGCTGAAACCCGCACGGAGCTACGGGATGGCTCCAATCCCTGGTCTATAATGCGATCAAACATGCCAACCCCAAAGGCCGACAGAGCGCCGAGAGATACCTGGGCATCAACACGTACCACTGTGCAGAGTCCGGGGAGTCGAAGAAACTCACAAGAGACACTCCAGACATGCTCCCCACGGTCCTTCCTCCCAAGCCCTTCTGCTTCTACGAAGACTACTCCTGAATCTGTTGAGTCTTCGCCATCTGGCCAGACACAGAGCCCGACCGACGCAACGCAGAGAAAACCGAAGCAAGCCTCGAGGGAGCGTGACAGAGAACGCTACGGCAACGGAGCGCTAGACACATGGTTCACCAAGACAACTCTTGTCAATCTTTCCCCGGCGACTGCCAGCAACGAGCCTGGAGATCAAGAGCGACCGCTGCATCAGCTAGCGCAGGAACGATTTGGGTCACCGGAGAGGCCAGCTGACAACCCAAACGAGTTGGCATCCCATGGTGTAGCTACTGATTCGCAAGATAGCTCAGAATCCGAACCGGAAGATTCGGGCTCTCTCCTGCTCCGTAATCCCGAACTTAGGGAGAGACATGCAGGTCTTCCCGTTCTCGAAAGATGGTCGTCTCGATTGCATCAACTGTCCAAGACCGGGCACCTGGAACTTCAGAATGCACTTGATTTCGAAAACCGAAAGAGGGAAGCTATCGCGAGACGTCGGGAGCAGCTCAAAAGCCGCTCTGAGCAATCATCTAATTCACCGCATCTCAGTCGGTATCTCGCCGCCAAGGCTGCTCTTCAACCAGATGTTGCCAGAGACGAGCAGAATTCGCCTATACTAAGTCCACTTGACCCAAGATCGTATCTGATGCGCCTGGCGCAACGTGGCACCGCGAAGAAAAGCATCAACTCGAACAAGTTACCATTTGAAACTATACCCGATGGATGTGAGCTGTATTGTGTGAGTCTCAAGCAGAAGGCCGATCTGCCATTATTATCCACTATGTTTGGCCATATATCCACGACAGATCTATACACCCAACGCGGAGACCAAGTTGAAGCATTTCCACCTCACGACGATTCACCAATCGATCTCTGGAGACATCGTCTGACCAACTTAACGAAAGACAAGTACCCGACCGGATCTGGACTGCCAGAATTGCAATTTGACTTTTCCCATTTAGTGCAGCGTTCGGAAGGGCATTCGGAATGATTCACATATCCTATTCTTGTGTTCATGTCGCTATGCGATCCATTCATAAAAACATCAAAATCCACTCCTGTGAAATAGCCAAAGCTAAACCAACAATGAATGATTTCATAAACCTGCCCAGCTGTACCGGGCCCTGGCGGGATCCACCGCCGCAAGCAGCGGACGTCATCGTCATCGCATCGCAACCCGCGCTGTTACATAAGACTGACATCAACTCCCAACCCCATCTATAAACCCCAATCCACCCCCCACCCCTATCAACCCTCTCCCACCTCACCACCAGGCACCACAACCATCACAATGAACTTATCCAGCTCCAGTCCCTACGGGGACATAGCTCACCCACACCCCCGTCACTTCCATCACCCACACCCACACGCACCCCTCCACACCACCGACATCGGACTCTTCAAATCCACCCTCCTCCCCTCCTTCACCCTGCACACCACCCTCGACCTGGCCGCCTTCATCGCCTCCAAAGCCACCGACCGCGCCGAAATCAAAGACTGGTGCTGGCCCTCCAGCCAGGTCCTCAACGCCTGGTGGTCCGCCATCGGCCACCAAGTCCTCTACCACAACATCTCCCCCCAAACCGCCTGGTCATCCCTCTCCTGGACAGAAAAGGTCCTTCTCTCCGCCGTCACCCTCTGGGGTACCCGTCTATTCACCCGTGTCGCATCCCGCACTATCACCCGCGGCAAGGATGACCCGCGCTACGACCAGTTGAAGAAAGAAGATCCCCAGGGTTTCTGGACCTCGGCTCTCTTGAAACAGTATCTCCCTGAAGCGGCGTTCCTGACTCTCATCTCGCTTCCCTTCACTGTGCCGTTCCGATTGACCTCTTCGACTTTGGCATTGGATAGCGATGTCCTGGCAACGGTCCGCGCATTCGGCGTCGCCCTTTTCGGAGCCGGTTTCGCTTTGGAAGTCCTCGCCGATGCGCAGTTGGAGAAACATCGCGAGGAACGGACGGATTTGTGTCGGACGGGAGTGTGGAGTATTGTTAGACATCCGAAGTGAGTTCCCCTCACCCCAGTTCTATCATGGGTAAACTAATGAATGAATTAGTTACCTGGGGGACACCCTCGTGCACATCTCCTTTGCCGTTCTCAACATGGCCAACAACTTCAACCCGATTGTCCTGTTGGGTCCCTTGACGAACTACATCTTCCTTCGCTTTGTGGGCGGCGATAAGCAGAACGAGGCGAGTCAGGAAACGAGGTACCGTGCCGAAGACCCGCATAAGTATGAGCAGTTGCAGGCTTGGCGGCGAGAGAAGAATAGTTTCTGGCCTGGGTTCACGGAGGTGGTTAACCCGTGGACGTGGGCGGTTGTTGGTGCGGGTGTGGTGGGGGTTGTTGTGGAGGAGGGGATTCGGGGGTGGATTTCGAGGTGATTTTCGTATGCTTGGGTTTTGTATGTGGAAAAGAAAGGACAAGATTAATGTCATGAATCACGTCTAATTATCTATCTATCTCTCTCTCTCTCTCTCAACCCAATGAATGGAAAGAAATAAAATGGATGATTTAATATCCCCTCCCCCTATGCAAAATATTCAACAACTCCTCCCCCCGCTCCAACCGCCCCAAATTCACCTTTAGAATATCCAATGACCGCGGCATATACTCCCTCCCTGCGGAACTCACATGCGGACTAATCTGCACGTTTGGAGCATCCCACAAGGGATCATCAGCCGGTAATGGCTCCGGGTCGGCCACGTCCAGCGCTGCACCACTTAACACGCCTCCCTTCAATGCCGAAATTAATGCTTCTTGGTCTAGGACTTTTCCGCGGGAGATGTTTGTGAGGTAGGGTCGAGCTCGTGAGGATGGGACCCCACGATTCAAGATCTCGAATTCTTCGGCACCTAACAGGCGGGTCGTTTGGGGGGTTAAGGGTAGTGCTACGACGAGATGGTCTAACCCTAGGGAGAGAAACTCGTGGATTGAGGCCTTGGAGGTCCCGTGGTGCCAGGATACTGGGATTGTGCCGTCGTGGTCGCCGGTGCCCGGGACGATGTAGCCGTGGTCGATGCGGGAGGCGGGCGTGGGGCGGGGGGAGGCCGTGTAGGCATGGACTTGCATGCCCAAGGCGGAGGCGACTCGGCCGACTGCTCTCCTATTAGTATGGGGTTGGATTCAATGGGACGGGGCAGAGGGGGGGGGGGTACTTTGTCGTCCGATACTCCCGTATCCCAAGATACCGACTTTCTTGCCGACTTGGTCGTGTACGGTGTCCATGACGCTTTCGTCTCGCTGCCAGAGATGGTTCTGCTGGTTGGTGTGGGTGTAGATGAAGTGGCGGGAGGCGACGAGCCAGTTCATGATGGTCCATTCGGCGATTGGGGGCCGTGGATGCCGGAGCTGGAGGTGATGGGGATAGAGGTAGATTTGATGATGGGATGGGAGAGGAGGTGGTCTAGACCGGCGGAGAAGGAGTGGATGATTTTGATTCTGTGATTGTCAGTGATGATTCCTTGGTGGTGGGGGGGGGGGGGGGATGTACTTGGTTGCATCTTCGGGAGCGGGCAGGTTGCTGAAGGTGACGAGGAGAGTGGCTCGACGGGCGATTTCTATGGTGGTTAGAGTGATTAGAATAGTAAGAATAGGATGAGGCCTACCAGCAGGAATGGGGGCAAAGTTGGCCAACTGGATGGCGGATACCTCGGCCTCGGGGAATTTGGCCCGGGTTTCCTCCAGCAGCCATTCCGGGAGATCACGACCGTAGGAAATGAGTAGGTGGTCTTTGACGGGAGGTGCTTCGCCCATGGTGCAGTGAGTTGAGGATGTGACTGAGGGGTTCCTGGCAGGAGATGGACAGATATATCCAGAGATGGCGCCATCGCACGAAGCCGTTGCGCGGCCATTTTCTTTTATGCGCGGGCAGCTTAATAAGCGCGGGGAAGATAAAGAGGGCCGATAGATAGCAGTGATGTCTTATCATTCCTAAACAGCGGAGGTGAAGTCGGACTCCGGATATCTCGACGTCTGTCGGAATGCTATCCGATGAGCCTATCCGAGTCCTGGTGGCTCCAATTGACCACGCTCGGTGAGGTCCCGATCCACCGAAGGCGTCGGAGAACCTTCCGATCGCTGATGCCGAGATTGCTGCATGACAGCTGACAGCCTCGCAATCCGTGGTTCGGCCAATGTGCTTGCGGTCGCTTCAACCCGCTGCTGCAGTGGAGCCATCAGCATCACAAAGTACGAACCATCACCCCAAGAACCAGCGGCAGGAAGCTTATTCAGTGGATGTGTTTGCTTGTTCATGTCTGTTGTCCTTGGATCCGCGGCGAATCAAATTACGGCAGGCATTAGCAGCCATCAGACAATAATGATTTTTTGTGTTTACTGCTAGTAGAATAAGTAGAAAGTCTGATTAGATCCCGCGTAGCTTATTTAATATACCTATCTATATAAAGCTGTACATACATTATTAAATAATTTATTTAACTTTGCTATACAGATAACTACTAGTCCTGAATACTATAAAGAGATACAAGTCTTATTTAAAATATTATATATGAATATCCTGTATAACTGGAGTGTAATAGATCAAGAAAACAGTTTAAATTATATATATTTAAAGAATAATAGGATCATTCTCATCCCTATTTTCTTTAATAAAAATGGGCTGATTAATATTTTATTCTTCTATATTCTTAATAAAAATAAAATCACATACAGTTTTCCCTGGCAAGTCTTTATCTTATTTAGTATAGTCTGTATTATCTGTCAAGGTGCCCGCCTGCCTGCCTGCCTGAATCCTGCCTGAACCCTTATATAGTTGCCTGATCCCGTTCCCATTCCCATTTCTGAAAAAATGTCCTTATATAGCGTGCACAATGTAAAGCCATTGACTTTACATCCTAGTCCTTTTGCTAATAGTGCAGCGGGATGTACCTGGAATGCGCACCCAGTATGCTCCGTGACATTATCTATAAGTTTTTGTCAAACCCTAGGATCGCTTCTCCCTGTTCCTGTTAGCTTAGCTCCCGTTCCGATGCGTACCTTGTGAACTGAATCAAAGGTAGTCAGGTTGTTGACTATCTAAAGGTGACTTGATCTGAACAGAAGAAGAGAAGTAAGGCCAGATAGTGCCGCGCAGCTATCCGTAAGTAAGTGCGGACGAGTGTTGTCGCTAAGCTCTACCAAAACGTAGGTTACTTAAAGACAATTTGAATTGAGCACGAAGAACAGAACTAACTAAGTACATGAAGGAGTGTCCTTATATATCCGTCCCTCGTATACCATTCCGTATACCATCGGGTCTATCGTATACCCGCTTGGTAGTCATAGACCATGATGGTATATCGTATACCACATGCCTGTCCGTATACCATGGTCACGTGATTCGTGCTGCCTGACGGTTCGGGTCGGGATCCTCCTCGATAAGAGCCCCCTTCCGTCCGGATGTGGCCTTCTGCCTGACATACCCGCCTTACTAGTTGTTCAGCTAGCAGGGGTCCGTAACAGTTTTATCCAAATCTTATTCTGTACAGAATAATATAATATATAATTTAATTATTTATAATTAGTGCATGCTCTGTCTCATGCATTTTATAAATAATAATATAAGAGAAAAATCTTTATATCCGGTTAAATATAATAACTTAAATACAGGACAGACGGATAACTTTCACGGGATTAAATAAAACAGATATTAATATACAAGAATTAGTAGAACTTAAGCTAATAAGCTGTAATTCAGTTATATCAGAACTTAATATCTGTCAAACCCTAGGATCGCTTCCCTATCCCGATTAGCTTAGCTTCACTGGTATACGTACCGTCGAACTGAATCGAGGGGGTATCAGGCTGACTATCTAGGGACAACTAGTCTTGGACAAGAGAAGAGAAGTAAGGCCGAATAGTGCCGCGCAGCTATCCGTAAGTAAGTGCGGACGAGTGTTGTCGCTAAGCTTCCAAGCGTATGGTTACTTAAAGACAGTAGTAAAGATTGGATTGAGCACGAAGAACAGAACTAGCTAAGTACATGAGAGAGTGTCCTTATATATCCTATCCTTCGTATACCAAGTTGTATACTTTCCCGTATACCGTATACCTGTTCATATACCGTCCCATATACCCGTGGTCACGTGATGCGTAGCCGTTCCGGGCGTTGGTTACTCGAACCGAGATTCTACCCGATAAGAATCGCCGATAGTCCGGGCTTTGCCTTCTGCCTGATGAGTCCGCCTTACTAGTAAGTTAACTAGCAGGGGTCCGTAACAATATCTTGGCTAGATATAGCAGCCACCTCCCTTTATATATTGATAAAGATATACAGTCTTATGAACTCTGGTATTTCTATAGAGAGTACTAGATTCTAATTAGAAAAAAACTATTTATATATATAAATAAAGTATTTCTTTATATTGCAGAGAGGGCAGAAGATATAATAACGGCTAGTAATATTATTAGATAAGCTGTACAGTATTATAATATATAGTTAGATAATGTATATAAATATATCTGTATAGGTTAGAAAAGAAAGAAAAGAAGTCCAGCTATCTATTTCTGATTATCTACTATATATACAGATAATATAGTGAGAGTACGTGTCAATAACTGTATAGATTTAGATACTGTATAGCTTTAGCTTTATATAACTATTTACAGACTAGATATAATCTAGATCTAGGACTATAAGTCATGACTTTATCATATATTATTCTTCTATTATTATATAGCCTCAGGTGTAATTATACAGTAAATATTATATTTAAATAATTAATTAATCAGTAGACAAGTATATCACGTATTCGATTATATGGGCTATTATATTATTATCTTTTTTATTCTATGTAAGTAGAAGCTCTTTTAGCTAGTTACTAATATTACTTTATTTCTTTGGCTTTATATATTTAATAAAAAATAACTCCTTGATCTGATTATATAAAGAAGAATCAGTAATAGTTATATAATCATACTTATTAATCTCTAACTGCATAAATAACTCTTAATTATATACTTACAGACTCGTACGTGATATTTGATTTTAATAATAAAAGTAATATTACTTATAGATTAATTCTGATAGAATATATTAATAATTTCAGTCTTGTACAGCTCAAGGTTAATGGTTAGACATATCATGATTAATACCATGATTAATAAATAAAGCACTGTATATAGAGTAATGATAAGTATCATCTAGCAGTAAGGTTAGCAGTAAGCGTACTTTAACACAAAAAATCATTATTACCTGATGGCCGCTAATGCCCGCCGTATCAAATGCAGCTATTCAGCTGCCCCAGCCCAACCCTACATATCCATCCCATGTTCTAGACCCTCCACGCTGCCATCCACGCTGCCATCTCATCATTGTCCTCCACAATGCACACACACCAATCGGTTGCAACTTCTCCTTGTCCTGTCCTGTCAGTCAGTCCTGCGTGCACGTCCCACCAGTCGTGCCGAACAGTGTCGATCCCGGTGGGTCGAGGGTCCAGCTTATCTTCAGAGTTTGCCCGAAGCCTCAATTCCTCGCTCCCAATCCATGCAGCAGCGAACAGCTTCTCTGTATGCCACTTCTGTGCGTACCACTTTGCTGCTGGCATGCAGCTCAATCCGGCATCTGACTAGCAGCCCGAGTGGCGCCCAGCAGGAGCGCTGAATCAAACCCACCAAATCAAGGGAAGAAAAGGAGCTTGGATCAACCCCGCTACAAATAAAGGGGTTGGACCCTCCCTCCATCCCACAATCCATTTTCTCTCTCGTTTTCATCATGCCTGACCGCCGCCCGGGCCTGGCACGCCGCCTGCTGGCTGCTTTTGACCGCGAAGAACAGGGTCTGCATCCGATTCCTCAGGGCCACACCCACCAAGCCAATCCCCCTTACGACATTCCTCTGCCCAACCCCAACGGTACCGCCATTCCACCCGCTCCCGCTCCCGCTGCCACTCCCCAACTTCAACCCCAACCCCAACCCATCCCCCCAGCCAAAACCCTCGCCATCGCCACCACTCAAGCCGGCTCTCTCATCCCTCCCGATGACAAACTCCTCGTCTTCCGCGCCCTCACCGGCATCGACAGCATCCCGGCCCTGACCACCCTGCACCACTTCCGCCGCACCGCCCCCAACATCGGCATCTACACCCGCGTCGTCCGCGCCGAGCAATCCGCCGCCACCCGCTACCGCTTCTTCAGCATCCTGATCAATGTCTGTCTGGGCATTCAGATCGTCGTGGCCGCTGCCCTGACGGCCCTCGGCGCCGCCAGCGGTCCCCACTCCGCCGTCACGGCCTTTGGCGCCATCAACACCATCATGGCCGGTGTACTCACCTACCTCAAGGGTTCGGGGCTCCCAGACCGGCTGAAACATTACCAAAACGAATGGCGCAACATCCGCGAATACATCGAGCAGCGCGAACGCGAACTCTGTCTGGATGGATCCACCCTCGACATTCAGGAGGAAATCCTCTTCATCGAATACATGTACGAGGGCGTGAAACGGGAAATCGAAGCCACTAAAACCGGTGAGAACCGGTCGTCTCCGAGAGAGGGATACAATCGCCGTGCATTTCTACCTCAACCGAGTCAGCCGTCGTCATCGCGGTATTCTTCCTCCACGGCGGAACGGCCAATGGCTACTCCGGTGAGGAGTCCGGAGCGGGTTTTAGAGAAGCATTATTAGCGGGTTCTTTGATTCATTCCATTTTGTATTGTACCTATTCGATCACACCACTTAATGATAATGCCACGATAGCCATAATCCAGCGTTCATATGATATGATATGATAGATAATAATCAGTGAGAACGGGTGGCCTGAGACAATCCCACCAATCTGAGCCGTTCCTGGTCCCCGCGCCACGAGTCCCTGTCCATTCACATCCCCGCGATACTGCCTCGGGATGCAGCTAGTGTTTAGCGTGCTGCAGTCTCCACTCCATACCTATATTAGGCGTCCTATCTCTGTTTGTGCTGCTGCTGCTGATGCTTGGCTTATTTATTCCTCTTCCCCAGCTGGAGCTTTACAATCCCAATTCTATTCCAGTGCTGCCTACACCATCTCAATAGATCTCTTTCACACCCCACCACCAACACCAAAACCTCTATTCTCACTCCCCACTCCCTCCCTCCCTCTTCCCCATCTCATCCCAAACAGAAAATACAAAGAGCAAGATGTTAATCACCAAACAAGCCATCCCAAGCGATGCCCCCACCCTCGCAACCCTCTACCTCCAATGCTTCAACTCCCCCACAGAGCGCCACCTCTGGCCCGACGTGCCCCGTATGCACGAATGGTGGACTGCCACTTTTGCAGGGAAACTCAACAGACCTGATGAATTCCATACTTTGAAAGTAGTGGATACCGACAAGGGAGATGAGATTGTGGGCTTTTTGGAGTGGAAGTTGCCTGCTCCTATCTCTATCTCTACCTCTACTTCTGAGGGGATACAGGGGGATGAGGAGGATGAGTATCCGCCATATCCTGAGGAGGTCGGTGGATTGGATTTATGGAATAAGTTGTTGGTTGAGATGGGGAGTAAGACGGTGCAGGTTATGGGGGAGAGGAGGTTTTATTGTATGTTTTTCCTACCTTTTACCCTACCCTACTTCACAGTCTTGTTTTCTACCTGGTTAATTCCTGATGCACAATGACTAATGTGTCTGGCTAATGTGTGTATAGTCCTAAACATCCTAGGCACCCACCCCTCCTACCGTCGTCGAGGCGTGGCCTCGGAAATGATCAAATGGGGAATCGATCGTGCGGATGAGGAAGGAATCGAGGCGTTTGTGATTTCTGCTCCCATGGCGAGACCGGTCTATTTGAAGCATGGGTTTGAGTTGGTGCTGGAGGGGGAGGATCTTGGTGGGGAACATGGCGAGTTTGTGCCGGGTTATATGCTTAGGAAGCCGAGGGTGGGTACTAAGGAGAAGAAGGTTGTGTGTGGGGGTGGGGGGTATGCGAAGTGGTTGGTGATGTTGGGGGTGCTGGGGGTGGGGGCCGTTCTGGTGAAGAGGTTTGGGAGGAGGGGGTAGGGTTATATCCTCTAGGTGGGTTGGTGGTGGGAGGTGGGAGGTTGTAGGATAGGATAGGGTAGGTAGGTGGTTTGGTTTGCTATCCGTTATAGAGATGATTATTTGTCAAGTTACTACCATCATACCAAAGGGATGTACCCTTTAGCTACTGGCGTAGGTAGAACATGCCCCAACATAATTTCTGCATTCCCCGTCGATCATCTGTCGTATGCTTCGTCTATCATCCATATCATCACCATCATTGTCATCACCTTCATCTTCATTGCCTTATCTTCGTCATCATCAAGCAGCTGCCCGTCCCCTCGTCTCAGGAACAACCATCCACGCTCCCCCCATCACCACCCAAATCGCACCACAGAACCACACCGCCGCTCCATCCGCTGCACTCCCCTCAAACGTCGTGACAATGCTCGCAATAAGTCCAAACATTCCCCACGAGAGACCCATCACACCCAGTCCGAAGCCGCGGCACGGGGTTGCAAATACCTCCACCGTGTAAGTGGTCAACACAGCCAATGTAGCCGTCTGCAGGAACGACAGGATGCATTCAAACCCTAGCAGCGCATTGCGAGACCGAGACACCGTGGCCAAAAACATGAACAGCCCCGTCAGCACGGCGATGATGGCTCCCGTGCGCTTCCGGCCTAAACCCTTGGCCTCGATGAGGAGACCCACGATGATGGGGCCTGGGATGGCACATAGTGCTACGTATAGGTAGCGGCTGTAGAGATAGGCGGTGGTCACGCTGGTGGCTGTCACTGCGGAGACGCCCTTGGTGGCGAGGTATTTGCTGATGTAGGTCTTGTGGAGGACAAAGGTCAGGCCTGTCACAGCCCAGAGAAGACAGAGTACGGCAACGCCGATAGCCCCCGCGGAGGACACAAGAGACTTGGACCGAGACTGGCGACGAGACTCTGGTGCACTAGCATCCACAGTAGAATCAATCCGAGCAAACGACGACTCCTCTAGCCAGGTCTTGCGGTTGCTGTACGCGGCAATGTCCTTGACGATTTGGGTGGCCTCGGCATCGCGGCGCTTGGACAGTAGATATTTGGGTGTTTCACGCAGCGGAAAGGCGAACCGGCACAGGTAGAGGAACAGTGTCATGCAGCCGAAAGTCCACCACACGTAGCGCCAACCTTTGTTCGAGACGTAGTGACAGGAGCTGCTGCTGGTGGCGCGCGACTGGTGCGCCAGGGCGGTCCCGGTGCTGACCTCGTCGGGGCCGGTACCACAAGTGTATTCGGCGATAAATGCCCTATTATTGTTAGTTATGTCGATAACCGTGGTGGCATACTCACCATCCTACAGCTGATGCCACCAACTGTCCCAATCCCCAGAATGCACCCTGCATGGAGACCAGAAACTGGTGGGAGGCAGGCACCGACTCCAGCAGAATCATCGCATCCACGGCCTGGTTGCCGGCTACTGCAAAGCCAACAACGAAGCCAACGACACAGAGACCAGTAAAGGCCGGCATACCGGCTCCGACAAGACCACCCATGCCCATCAGGACCAGAGTGCTCGTGAACATCCACTTCCGACCCAGCATGTCGGACATCCAGGGCCAGGCCGTGGCACCGGTGGTCAGACCGACATACAGACTAATAAACAGATATGCCTCTTTGTTGTCAGAGTAGAAGAATTGGGCTTCGTTGGCGCTGGAGGGAGCGATGATCGTAAAGGACATCAACCAGAACTGAATATGTTAGTAGGCCTTCAACTGCTGGTAGAAACATACACTATCCAAGAACCATCCCACACTGGTGATGATGAATAAAATCCACTGGTACAGACCCATGCCCATGTCCATCAAGGCTTGGTTCAACAGGGCTGCCTTGGCCGCATACACGGCATCCGTTCCCGCCTGAGACGGGGCAGTGTCAATGGCTGAGCCATACACGTTGGTGTGCGGCCTGTCAGCTGGCACCTCCTTGGGATGGGCTTTCTCAACATCGTGCACCAGGGTGGAAGCAAAAGCACTCTGGGCCTCAATGTTTCTTTCCCGAGTCATGTCATCACTGGCAGCTGCAACGTGGTCTGCCATTTTGCTAGTTGGCAGTGGGAAACTTGAACGTGGGACGACCCCGCTTATGTAGACGCAGACTTGGGCCTCTCCGATGGCCAAGACTGCCTTATCTGGTACGTAAGTATGCCGCGGAGATGTGGTGAGTCACATTCACCGATCTGATATCCATCCGAGCGAAGTGTCAAGCATAACATCAAGCATGAACATCAGCATAACATCAAGCATCCTCATTGTGTGCGACATATAATCCCATCATATATAACCCATTTGCAAAGATAATATTCCCTTTGTAGTGTATTTGTGCGTCCACAGGATAAAGCCGAGGGCACTGACAGCTGTGGAAGAAACTTCACCCGCCAGCATCGGAGAAGCGACCCACCTGGGGCACGCGTCAGCTTTTTGGACGCGGCCCTCAAATGAGAACGGGGAGCTGCCTATGATGGGTTTGCCATTGGTTGTCCGAGTTTTCATCTGTCAAGCTTCAAGTTGAAGAATGTGATAACACTTGGTCATGCCACAGTGACCCACTGATGTGACTAACAAGTGATGATTATCAGTGGACGAGTAGACCTTATTCACTGCCCACGGTTCACTGCATGTGGGCCAGTACCATGTCTGTCTGTTATGCCTGAGGCATGTTGATGTTGCTGACTTGGAAGAAGTCTCAGGCTGGACATCTCACGGTCCAAGCTGATCCAAATGCCGGATCCACCTGGTGTACTCAGATGCAGCTAGCCACTGAGATATCACGTAAGACAGTTGGTGTAACCCAAGACACATGTGATATGCCAGTAGCATTCCTCTTATGGAACAACCCATCAGGTAGAGATCACCACAATTATTCCTATCCAGAAACCTACAGTCCAGCACACTTATTCTGATCCTCAGAAGGTAACTGCTGCCTGCAGAATTTGCACCTTCATCCTTCTGTTCGAAGATATACCAGAGAATCAACCAAGCATCCCTCAACCCGACAATTCCGGCATTGCAAGAGGGGTAAAGCCCTGCATGCGGAGTCTAAGCTGGGAAGAGAAACCCTCCCCGGATGCTGTCAGCGGCACCCGCCGTCGGCCGAGTCTACCGCATCAGGCAGGCGGAAGGGCTTATCAATCAGCAACTGGCCAACCACACGTCATTTGCTGATTAATGTCATGACTTCACTCATCGCTTCCATCCATATAACAGATGGCAGATGGCAGATGGCAGATGGCAGCTTAATTCAACAAATCCCACCGCACACCCAGACATATACTACCTACGAAGCAAACGAAACATGACCACCCTCCCCAAAATCTTCATGTAAACCCCCCCCAACTTACCCCCCTCCCCCTCCCCCACTAACACTGACCCCCTCAGCACCGGCGCAACCGGCTACATCGGCGGCGACGCCCTATACGCCCTCTTCGCCAAACACCCCGAATACATCTACACCGCTCTAGTGCGCACCCCCGAGAAAGCCCAGAAAGTGCAAGCCCAATACCCCTCCATCCGGGTTATAATCGGCGACCTCGACGATTCATCTCTCCTCGAAAAAGAAAGCGCCGAGGCTGATATCGTTCTTCGTATTCCCCCATCCCTTCCCCAATACCCACAACATGTATGCTCCCTATACTAATGTAATACAGACACCGCCGACGCCTCCGACCACGAAGGCGCCGCTAGAGCCATCGCCACCGGTCTGGAAAAAGGCCACTCGAGAGAGAGGCCTGGATACTGGCTGCATACAGGTGGAACCGGGATTCTGACGTTCCATGATACGGACAGGAATGTGTTTGGGGAGTATAGTGAGAAGGTGTATGATGATTGGGATCGGGTGGAGGAGTTGTTGAATTTGCCGGATCATGCGTTTCATCGGAATGTGGATCGGGTGGTGCTGGAGACGGGGAGAACTAAAAAGGGGGTGGTGAGGACGGCGTTGGTTTGTCCGCCTACTATTTATGGTATGTTTTTGCCGCTTCCTCTTTGCTCTATTCATTATGGTATGGTATGGTATGGGTATGGGGCTAATGGGTGCAGGACGTGGGAGGGGTCCGGTGTCTCAGCGCGGTAGACAGGCGTATGAGTTGGCTAAGGTGACGCTGCGGCTTAAAAAGGGTCCGATTATTGGAGAAGGAAAGGCCACTTGGAATAATATCCATGTGCATGATTTGAGTGAGTTGTATGTGTTGCTGGCTGAAGCGGCGGTTCAGGGCAGGGAGGATCCCGAGCTCTGGGGTGAGCGCGCCTATTATTTGACGGAGAACGGGGAGCATGTGTGGGGGGAGTTGGCCAAGGCGATGGCGCAGACGGCGGTGGAGTTGGGTTTGCTTTCGGAGGCGAAAGCGGGGGTGATTAGTCTGGAAGATGCGAAGAAGTATGCTGGCTATGAGTCGCTGAGCTGGGGGATGAACTCGCGAGGACGGGCCCGACGAGGAGCCAAGGTGCTGGGATGGACGCCGTCGAGGCCGAGTTTGGAGGCGACGCTGCCGGAGATTCTGGAGGATGAGGTGGAGAGGATGAAGTGATACCCTACATCACTGGGTATTGATAGGTTTATAATTATCATGCACCGAGCAAGGTAGACTCCACCCGGATGCATCCAGTGTTATTTACAAGATCAATACATAGTACATGACCACATGTATTTCAGCTGCCCACAGAATCACTCTAGCATATCCACCCCCCGAATCAACGTCTTCATACCCTCCCCCCTGGCTGTTGTCTCCCACGCCTCAACCGCCTTCTCAAAGCCCACCACCTTGGTAATAAACCTCTTCAACGGAAACCTCCCTTCCACCGCAAATTGCACTCCGAGGGCAAAATCCCCCGGTCCATAACGAAAACATCCCTTGAGCATAATCTCCTTCTCCGCCATCGTGCCAATAGGAAACGTGACATTCCTCTTCCCAAGGCCCGTCTGCATAAACCTCCCTCCGACCTTCAACACCTCCACTCCTAATCGCATACAGGGTTCCGCCCCCGTCGCCTCAATCACTATATCAAACCCTTCGCCTTCATTCGCATCCATTCCAAACCGTTCCAACATCCTTTTCCCTTCCTCTTGAATTTCCCCCTTCCCGTCAAGAATATACCCCCCTCCCAAACCCCTCCTTCTCTCCCATAACCTCCCCGCAAACCCCAACTTCCCCCCCTTCATATCGACCCCCACCACCCCATCAGCTCCAAACTCCCTCGCCACCAACATACACAACACCCCCACCGTCCCCGCCCCAAACACACAAACCCTCATCCCGGGACCCACCCCGACCTCTCGCACCGAATGCACCGCCACCCCCAACGGCTCCATCAACGTTGCTTCATCTAATCCCATACTATCCGGGATCCGGTAGCAGCAATCCACCGGCAGTTTGAAAAACCGCGTCAACGTTCCGTGGTAGATGGTCGGGACGCCCGCGAACTTCATCCGCGGACAGAGATTGTAGTGCCCTGATTTGCAGATGTTGCAGCGGTGGCAGGCGTATCCCGGTTCGAGGGCGAGACGGTCGCCGGGGGATAGTGTGGTGATGTCGGATCCGATGGCGTGCACGATGCCAGAGGCTTCGTGGCCCATGGTTATGGGGTTGTTTGGGGTGATGGGGCGTTTGATGCCTCCGTGGTGCCAGAAGTGGACCTGTGGGGTCAGGTTAGTTGGGGTTGTTTTTTTTTGGGGGGGGGGGGGGGGAGATGTGGGGAATGGGGGATAGGGGGGAATACGTCGCTGCCGCAGACCCCCGTGTAGGCGATGCGGATGATTACGTCCGTGGGGGAGGTGATGATGGGAATGGGGCGGTCTTCGTAGCGGGCGTCTCCAGGTCCGTACAAGAGGCAGGAGGGGTTGATCATGGTGGTGACATGGGGGGAATGGGAGGCCATGCTGTGTGTAGTTTTTGTCTGAGATGTGGTGGTGTGGAAGAGATGGTTATGGGGGGATGTTGAAGGAGGAAATGCAAGACGGGGGATTAAACACGGCAGGGTTTCGCCGAAAGAGGCGCCGATGGTATACATCGGTCTATACGGGTCATAACATTAGGTACTAATCTAAAGAACTAATCATCAAAGTGGGTATCAGTTGGCTGGTGCCTTGCTGGGGTGCTCCGACATGCTGGCCACCGCACATTCCAGCGCACTCGTCAAGTCCAGGTGGAAAAAGGGCAAGTTGACCCCAGTCACCACCGCCACCGCCCTCTTGTACTCTCCGCGTCGCTCGCGGATCCTCAACATCCCCGACGTCTTGTCATCTCCGCCGGCAGTCTGCTTCGAAATCTCCTCCCCTCCCACCACCGTGCCATCTTGGGACTCAATGTCGCTGACCCGCTTCGGCACCTCTGCATATTCGCTCACATCGGCCACACTGAAGATCGCTTTCATCGGGGTCTCTTCCGAAGGCCGGCCAAACCCTGCCGCCGCCAGCGCGCGTTTGGTCCACCGGCTGTTGATGTGCGCAAAGTGCCACTGCACCCGATCCGGCGCGGCATATCGGTCGAGTTGGTTTCGTACATCGATCAGGTTCTGCACCGAGGTCACGTCGACGTTGTTCACCGCGGAGAAATCCAGGATGACGGCCCGCAGCACCGGTTTTTGCGAGAGGTCCTCGCTTTCCGACTTGCGGGGAACCGGGTCGTTCCATGGCCGGTCTCCCGGGCGGGCATACAACGAGGGATTCGTGCGTCGCGTGGTCTCGAAGATGTGCTGCACCAGGTAGTCGGTGTAGTGGTTGGCATTGGGGTAGTTGAAGCCTTCCGACACCCGGTAGATGAAAATCCCCGGGGCCGGCTGCAGCACGGGCACGGCCGGGTTAGACCCATCGGTATGCGCCAGGGGCAGAAAGGCAGTTCGGGAGGATGCCAGCTGGGAAGCAGGGTTGAATTCCTTGCTGGATCCGGTTTCCTCCAGGTGGTCGCCCACAACAGAATGGATCTGAACATGACCCAGGAACTGCCCCCGGGCTTTGGCGAGACGGAACAGCAGCACCGCCAGCGACATACAGATGGTGCAGTAGATGCCGATCTCGATCGTCGAGAAGATGATGATGATAATCCCGATGAAGGCGATCACGGCATCCAAGGGCGACACCCGCCAAAATTGGTAGAGCACGCGCGGCGGGGCGATCAGGTCACCCACCGCATGGATGATGACCGCCGACAAGGAGGAGCTAGGAATGAAGAAGAACAAGGCGGGCAGAGCGTAGATGGCGAGAAGGACGATAATGGCTGTGATGACACCCGCCAGAGGCGTCCGCACGCCGGACTTGGCCTTGATGGCCGTGCGAGAGAACGACCCCGTGGCCGGATACCCGCCCAGGAAAGGCCCCAGAAGGTTGGCGATACCAATGGCGATGAACTCCTGGGAAGGATTGATGGTATAGTTGTTGACGCGACCGAACGATTTCGAAATCGCAATGTGCTCGATGACCAACACGATCACCGCCGCGGGGAGCTCCGGAGCAAAGGTCTTGATAATGTCCACGTTGATCTTGGGGACGCCGGCGTGTTGGAAGCCATACGGAACCTTGCCCAGCATCTTAAAGGCCGGGTTGTGGCGACGATGCACATTGACCGCCGCGCTGATCATGGTATAGAACAGGATCACAAAGACGGTCCGCAGCGTGGAGATGAAAAAGAACAGTTTCGCCTTCTGGGGCATCTTCCGGGTTCCATAATTGCAGGCGGAGCGGATGGCATATAGCATTGCCAACGCTGTCAACCCCATCGCCGCATCCATCTGTGTCGTGGGCAGGTACTTCAAAGTGTTGATGATGACTTCGTATGTGGCACCGCGCGTGGAAAAGCTAGCGGTTTCCCCCAGCATCGTCTTGACCTGTCCGGCGCAGACATTGATCGCGGATCCGGTCATGAAGGCTGTAATAGCGGGAAGTGGAATGAAGTCGACGATGAAGCCCAGTCGGAACAGGCCGATAAAGGTTGTGATGGCACCGCAGATGATGGCCAGGGCTTGAGCAATGGTTGTCGCTTCGACACCGGGGTATTTCGCTTGGACGTCGATGATGATGGTACCTACAAGAGTGGACATGACGGCCACCGGCTGACTGGGTAAGCTGCTGGCCATGTCACCGAGATGGATCACTTACTCCGATGGTGATATCCTTGGAGGTTGCAAAGAACCAGTAGATCAGGACGCCCATGAAGGACGAATACAGTCCATATTCCGCGGGCAGCTTGGCCAGAATGGCGTAGGCCATGCCCTGGGGAATGACCACCGCTCCAACCGTAACACCTACACCATCAATATTGTCTCATCAGGGCTGGCGGGACTGGCTCACCTGCGATCAGATCTCCGATGAACCATTGAAGGTTGTAGCTCATGATCCAGTGCAGAAACGGAAACATGCTGTAGAAGTAGTGGTAGACCTGCTGGCCCGAGGGAACCAGCCCTCGCAGCCATTCGCCCGCGGTCGGCTCGACCTCAACATAGGAGCCAGTCTGCTCGGGCAGAACCGGTGCATCGCGAGCATCCAAGGGAGGATTAGATGTCAGATCGATCCCCAGGGCTTTTGCAGCAAACCGGCCAGCCTTGGTGGACATCTTCTGCGGGCAGTTATCGGGCAGGATAACCGGACTCAGGAACGCAAAATAATATTCAGGATGAGGGGCAATGGAGGGGAACCGATGAGGACCGATGCAAGGTATATAGGCGATATCCAACTGGGCGGGTCGGAGACAGGGGATCGATGTCGTGATTTTAGCTCCAAAACACGAATGCACCAGAGAGCTGCCTCGCCATGTGCGGCCCAGACTTCCAGCGCCTGTCAGCTCTTACTTTGACCTCACCACACTAACGCGAGGCATATCCCATCGGCCATCGATAATTGGTCCCTCTTGACCCAGTTGCCCAAGAAATTTCATCATGTCTCCCGAGTCCGGGTTCTTTATCCTAGCCGGTTTCATTGAGGTTCTCTGCTCTAAATTGTGGATGCACCACCCAGGATGCCTGTCGCGCAAGACCTCCTTCCCGGTCTGGAATATAACAAGATACATAGACAGAAAATCATACAGGGATGCCACCATCCTCAAGGTTTGTTGCAGAATCCGAGGCAGTGGGATGCGTGCGTATGGGACGGGATAGGGCTGGGCCAGGGTCCACCAGCGACCCATTCGATTCTCCGCGGATATCAATCACATCCGATTATTCCAGTGGCTTTCTGACTGTTGCCTGGTTCGCATCCCGATGGGTCCATCCCAGCCAATCAGGCTATCAGACTCAAGGTTAAAGATGGTGTCAGAGGGTCCGTGTCCCTGGGGAATTTAAGCTCGCCATCCCCTCTGGTCATTAGATCAACTTTATCCGGCCGTGGATGGCACAGATACGACCTGACCAGGCAATTCGGATAACACAGCTGGATTGTATACGAGGGCTGCCTCGACCATCATATCCTCTGCTGCTGCATCTGCCTGGGAGTTGCCAAGTGGGTTGCTTATCTCCACTGACATGGCGGGATTTTAGCCCCGAGCACGCCATCTGCTAACCGGCGGGATCCCTGGTCGCCTCCCCGGCTGCACCCTCTCCCACCTTCATCCTGCAGCGCTTTACACAGTACGGACTTTTATTGATCTTGCATCAAGTGTGGCTGACCTACGGATTTGCATGTCCGATTCAATAATGACGAGATCGGAGAACATGGCAGTCAACCAAAGTGGTGCCGATGTCCTCAGCCAGGGCAAGGGCACTTACCCCACTAAATCACTGAAATGAAAAGAAAGAAATCAACTAGGTTTCAGTGCGCAAACAGCCAAAGAGGGTCACCGACTATACCTCTCCCTCGATTCGCCATCCCTCGTGAGGCGCATATCCATGACACAGAGATTCTCCGACCAACACGACGGTGGCGACGCTAGCAAAACTTGCCATCAGACTAGACTACCTACTGGCAGTCAATACGATGGACACGGTCGAAACTCTAACCAGGCATGCGTGGGATCCAGCTTGACCCCAGACCCACCCACTGGAGACTCGCGTCTTGCTTCATATCCACAACGGAAGGAGCCACGCAATTGGATTCAAGTACTTCGGGATGGCGTGGACCATCGTCTTGAAGAGCTGCTAGATCAAAGGCCCTTGTTGTTGCTATGCTCGTTGTTCAGGAAACTGCCAATACTACCGTGGGGATTCCAATGATTCCAACATGTCGATGGAAGTATTCGACACAAGGATGTGGCTGCCAATCCAGAATCCGGTAGGCAAAGACAAGCAAGCACAGGCTTTCTAGGCAGTTGTACAATTGCCAACAAGGACAAAGCTTGAATATCTTTATGGCATCTGTATCGCTGTTAACAAAGAAATCTGCCGTCACAATGCGAATCGCACCTGCCGGGTTTCTTTGATGGTCACCAGCTATCCGTTTGTATCGGATAGCATCCTCTTCCTTGAAGCAAGCTGGTTGATGCCATCCAACGTGTCACGCTGACTACATCATGCTATCACTTCGGTGATTGCATATCTGAAGAAGACAGCTGCCGGTCGGCTTTGTGCAAGCATTCAGCGCAGTGCCCTATAAGACCTGTCTGTCTCTGCTCTATGTCTTCATTTGCTCTCGTATGAGGTCTCGCATCTTTACCGCCGTATTCGACTCCTGATATCCACCAACAGAGCCCCCAGCATTCGCCTTCCTCTCTCATTGACATGGTGTAGATCTTACCGGACTTGACACCGGACCCAAGCACCAACATGACGCCGGACACATGGTATCACACCGTCCGAGTGTCATGCCTTCCGCCTGGCATGTCCAAGGAGGAGTTTGGGAGGATCCTCTCAAGCTTACCACACAGCAATCTCAGCGATAGGTCTCAGGACCCCAACGTCTGCTTTTGGTCTCTTACCTCACCAGTGTCGGGGACGTCGCAGTGTTGTATCGCCACCGTCACTTTCTCCAGAGGGCAAAATCTGCGCCACCTGGCGAGCAAACTCAAAGAAGCCATTGGTGACAACGGTGTTCACGTGAGGGTGGAGGATACATTCCTCGGTCCAACCCCCTTGATAGATCCTGGGGACCTAGCAGAGATTGAGTAAGTCGATCAGAGCCATTCCTTGTACGGCATCAGGACTAATTGTTCAGCATCATCGCCATCCATGGCTTCGATGGTCATGCGTTCAAGTCCTGGGCGGCAGAAAGGGAACCTACCATGTGGTTGCGTGATTTCCTACCGGAAGCTATTCCGAAAGCACGGATTATCACGTATGGATACGCCGCCAGGTTGTTGAATGGTCAATCCGAAGCTTCCCTTGGGGAACTGGCGGATGACCTTCGACGGATGATCCACATGGCCCGGCCCGGACAGGCAGTGAGTCGATCCGCAGAACTGAACCTGGATGGATCCAGCGCTAACATCACTCAGAAACATCGACCGCTCATCCTAATTGATCATGACCTCGGAGGTCTCATCATCAAAATGGTAGGTCTATGCCCCAGTTGCAACTCGCCACTGACATCCGACAGGCTTTGGTGCAAGCATCCGAGGCAAAGAACAGCGACGCCGATCAGGCCTTCTTCGTCTCTTCCTACGCAGTAGTCTTCTTCGGTGTGCCGCAGAGAGGCTTCCCCGACAAGTCTATAACGGCCATGGCGAAAGGCCAGCCAAACGAGAAGTTCGTGCGAAGCCTAGTCATGAGTTCCGATCTGCAAACGGAACTCCGCGAATGCTTCAACAATTATTTCCAATTGCCTGGCTCACAGGCCATCTCCCTCTACGAAACCATGCCTATCCATCCGATAAAAGTAGGTCTCCCCTAGAATGTCACGCGCCACCACTTACTAACCCTAACAGTTCAGTCACGTCTCCAGGAAGTGGAAATAATCCACCACCACGTTAGAGATCGTCATCCCTGCCGAGAGTGCCATTTTCACCATCGCAAAGGATAACGGAACCTCCAGGCACTTACCCATCAATGCCAACCATTATGACATGATCAGGTTCAACGACAAGTCTAGTTTTGACTACGACAAGTTTGTGACCGAACTTCGAAAAGGTCGCCGAGGAGGGACCACGGATTATAGCAGAACGATTGGGTCGAGGTAAGTCGCTGGACTTGGCCATTAGACCCCAGCTAATCAATTCCGACTAGAACCACCAGAGGAGACCACCAGCTTATTATGACGCGGTGACCGCACATACTTAGAAGTTACGAGGGCAATCATTGTACATGTGAGGAATCAGACGATGGTTGATTGTTTGGACTAGAATGTTATACCGTATCTTCGAGATTGATCTTATAGTACTTGAAATTCTTATACCCAAGCCAAGTCCTCAAAGCAATTAAGTATGATTAACCACCAACCTGGTGGAGTCGCCAGTTGCTCAAATACTGAATTGATATAAACCAACCCGGACAGGCGTCTGCGCCATGCCAACCATAAAGTATACCGCGCAAATAGCAAACACAAAAAATAGGCTTGTCATATCGTCGTAAAGATAGACCACTCCTCTCTTCTTCTACAGTGGTCTGCCCAGCATCCGGAGCCGCTCTCTCAATGCATCCCCCTCGCGGTCCTCCTCTGCTTCGATTTTTTTCTCCTTCAGTGACACCGACCGGTACTCTCCGTCGCCTCCTGGTGCACCAACCGTCACCCACACAAACTTGCTGCCACTTCCCCCTGCTGCCCGCTCCTGGGAGCCCTCCCAGAACAACTCCATCGGGCCTGTACCTGCGCCGCCAGTCCGATCCGGGGTCGGTCGTCCTCCAAGGCGTCCCTGCTTCACCCATCCTTTCATCACCTCTTTGATGAAGCTGATTTTTTGTAGAAACGAATTGGCATCGAGGATGTCTCGCACGCGCTCGTCGGAAGAGCTCACACCAGTGCCGTAGGCAATGCCGAGGAAGGTGGAAACTTCGTCGGAAGTCACAGCCCGTGTGTCGAACCCGGACGGGTGCATCTTGCCCTTCGTGCTGAGGTACCGGGCAGCTGACGGCGAGAGGTGGTAAAAGTCAATCCAGGGAGATGAACTTCTCGTGCGGCCCGGCGCAATCACGAGCTTGGTGTGATCGGGGAAGTTGAACTGTGATTTTTGTCAATATGGGCATATTGCATGGTGCAGACTGGGACATACCTGAAAAGCACCATCGCCAAATCCCCAGACACCGACGTTGCCTAGTCGTTGGTAGAACTTGATGAACTGGCCCGAGCTACCGGATCCCAACTCGTCCTCGAAAACAGCATCGTCTCCATGTCGGCCGAAAGATCCGATCATATACTTGCCAAACTGGTCAACCAGCTTGACGCGTTTGATCTTTTCCGCATCTGCCCGGGCACAGTCGAGACCGGAGTTGGTGCGGATCTTGATGCCCGCTCCAGAGGACCCGCTGGAAGAAGACTTGACTTCGAACAATGACGGGGAAATCAAAGCTCTCCGAATCCCCCCGCGGCATTCAGCAAAGTCGCTGGTGCAATTCTCGTAGAACTCTACCATCTTACCATTGCGAGGGATGAGCTGGTCTGCCTCGGGATACACGTAAGTGGCTCCCTCGTGTTTGTCCTGGCTACGGGCTTTACGCCGGATGTGTTTCTCGCCGTCTCGCACTACGACCCCGCTCGCTGGCTGGCCATTCTCAGCCTTGAACACGCATCCTACACTGCCATCATCCAAGACATAGCCGATGCCGTACCGGTTCGTATAGTCGACCCATTTGATGACATATGCATGCGGTGGTCGCCGGAGGCCAGCTCGTCTCCGAGCCGCCGAGTGAGGGACCATGTTGGACAGCATGTGTCGGAGATCCATGTTCACATCATCAAGGGACGTTCGTGGTAGCGCCTCCCATGGATCCTCCAGGTGGAATAAGGGATGTAAGCCTAGTGTCGAACGGGGCTTACTTGTGGATGAGGCAGTCTTGCTGCCAGACCGACTCAAGGGTTGCGAAGTAGGTTCAGGGCGGACAGGTTGACTTTTCAGTCTCGGTTCTTCCTTCGCGACATCTTTTTGCTCTTCCTTTTCCCTGAGAACATCTCTGGCTGCTGGTTTCGGCACCGACCGTAGCGAAGGTTGACGTGATCTGACCGGCAGATCGTCTACCGCTACCGATGCAGAGCGCTCTTTAACCAGAGGTCCATGGCAAGCTTCTTGGTTGGCAGCCTCCAACCGCCGGGACTGCGAGCGGGTCTGGGAGCGAGTCTTTCCGATCGCCAAAACATCCGGTGCTGTACTGGATTTGGGGATCTGTGGCGGAATGTTTCGGTCAAGATCCCGCAGCGAGCCCGAGTATGATGCTGCCACGCCACGCCGTGTGCGAATTGGCCGCTCCGCCAGGCCGCCCGAAGGCACGACGGCAGCATTCAAGTTGCCCTCTGCCTCTCTCCCGTCGGACAGAGTTCTTGCTGGCGGGGCTGCCGGGTCACAGATGGCTGCAATCTTCCGGACAGACCCTCTCCCCGTCACTGCTTGCTGCCGCAGGGTCGCCGCATGACTCTGCGATTCCTTACGCCGCTGCTGGGCAGCAGCCAATGCTGCTTGAGTTCGAGTAAGAGATGCCGCATTGGTCCGGGCAGGTGCACTGCTCTTTCGTGACATGACACTGTCTTCGAATGACGATCCATCTCGGCGGGACAGTAGGGTAGAGTCAGGGTCGCTCCAATCACCCATCGGCTCGTGGGGGTATCTATACACGATGTCCTCTGGTAGCGGTATGACTGGCTGAAAGCCCTTTTCCTCCTCCGCTAGACACTCGGCATATGCTGACTTCGAACAATTCTTCCCTGCAGCTTTACGGGCAGTCCCGTCCGGCTTTCTGCCCACGCCACAGAGGGTGTAGAAGGCCGCTCGGCAAATCAAATATCGCTGGCTCGGATCGTCCACATGTTCAATATAACCGGACAGCTTCTCGTCGTACTCCAAGCTGTTCCCATACATCATTCGATCGCCGCGGGGTTCCTCCGGCTTGAGCCAGATAGGCCTTCCGACACAACAGGCTGGATCAAGTCGCTTAGGAATGCAGCCGTCGTACATCCTGAAGAAAGGATGCTCCACGAGATCGTCCGGTTCAGGGCGCTCTTCTTCTGCTAGGTTGAGGCACAAGCTCACCAGCGACTTGGCCTCTTCGGGGATGTGGTTGGCGCACTCGGTGCCTTTTGGCCATACGTATGCGAGGTTTCGTACTTTTTTGTAAATCTCCTCCTGTGTTTTTGATTGGAATGGCGGGTATCCAGTAAGCATGGCAAAGCTGGAAATGATTAGCTGTGAGTGACTGCAAAAATGACTTGACCTTACCAAATAACTCCCAATGACCAGATATCTACCTTCTGGGTATGACCTCCTTTGCTTTTGTCGAGAACTTCTGGCGCAATGTAGTTCGGCGTCCCGCACAACGTCTTTCTCCTTTTCTCATCCTTCTCGGACATGATCATTGCTGCCAGACCAAAGTCACCCACTTTGATATCCATGTTCTTATCCAGGAACAGATTTCCCATCTTCAGATCCCGATGCGCCACATTACGCTTGTGTAGATATTTGATCGCGCCGCAGAGCTGGATCATGAACCGTCGGACCTCGGGCAAACTCAAGCATCTCCTCTTTCTGACCATATCCATGACGGAGCCATTCGGACACAGTTCCAGAATAACATATATGCTACTGTCGAAGGCAAAGGCGCGATGGAATCCGACGATGTGAGGATGGCGCATTTTCGAGTGGATCTGTAATTCGGTGCGAAACTAACACATTCGTCAGCATACGTCGCTGCATCATCAACTTTGCGTAGCTCCAGTACCTTTTCCTGCATCTTCTTCTGCGCCATCTCGGATCTGACAACTTTCATTGCGAAAACGCGACCGGTCCGTAATAATGTCCCTTCGTAGCAGATCGCAAAGCCTCCCTTTCCAAGAAACGCGCCCGTCGAGTATCGCTCTCCATCTTCCTCCGGCTCTAGAACCAGTGACGGCGGTGGGGGTGCGTGGTTTTTTGATGAAGCTTTTTGGGCGGCGGCGGCGGCGGCGTTGGCGTTCTTATCCAACACTTTGCGCTCCATTGAGATCTTGGGTTTGATCATCTGGTTCGTCGACCGTGGCGATAGCGCCTCCATCCTGTCTTCGAGCATTTTCTATGTCTTCAAACAGTTGGGTATCAATACTAGCGACCAAGGGAATGGCAGGTGATTCCGAGAGCGAACAATTGTAGCGGACATCAACTTAGACGGTATAGACGATGAACGACAGTACAGCGCACTGGGGGTATAATTTATGTACTTCGGCCGATGCTCCTATCGACTGTCAGCGCCCACGAGGGACAATGGTATTATGCGACCTGGGGCCGGAATAGTGCCAGCCACCGTATGGGGGAATGCACGGGGATGGAATACCGCCGGACCAGGGGAGATTTGGGGTCAATGGCTCGACTTACTGGAAATAAACAAATAATGAAAAAAGTGACGCTCAAAAACAATGGGATGCATCCAACGCCGCCCCGACCAGATAGACTGCGACCGAGGGGAGGTGGGGGAACTCAGGGTGTGAGGTAGGGATAGACAGAAGCAAAGACGGAGAGCTGCCGGGCGGACGCCCAAACGAACTGCCCGAAACGGCAATCGATAAACATTGATCCGACTGCCGGAACAACGCGCATTGCTGACCTCAGCACGCACATCCCGCGGCTTATGCGCAGCCCTGCGCTCCTCGCTGCCTGACAATCCAGTCCGCCATCATGAATCATCCTCGACCACCTTCAGGCATCATGCAAGCTATTTCCAGAACACTGTTCAATTGTTAATGGATCCACGCCATTGATCTACACTCTTCACAACATATATTACCTCCTTATATTCCTCATCCTCTCCCGTCCCCTCCGTCCACCATGTCCCTCACGCTCAAACTCTCGTCCCTCGTCATCCGCACGTTGTCAAAGCCGATCGCCGTATGCTTCCTCCACCCATGCAGTGGTTGCACCTGACAGGAACATGCTGACACGCCGAAGAACCAACTCAAGGCCCAGGCTCGTGAACATGAACGCTTCCGACACATCTGCGTCTCCATGGCGCAAGGTCTTCACCGCATCGACATGCGCCTCCGGCTAGGCAACATCCGTGACAACGCCGCATCGCAAAAACGCGCGGCTGCCGAAGCAGAGCTCCGAAAACACAAACCAACCTCCCCGACCGTGAAGACCGCAGCCGAGGCGAAAGCAGAAGAGGAGGCCGTGGCGAGAGCCAAAGCGGCAGCCGAGGAAGCCGCAAAGCCAGCGCCGAAACCTCACATTCGACCATTGTCCGAGTCCAAGGCCATCGAGTCGGGTGCTACATTCATCAGTGAGACGTTTCTGTTCCTCGTGGCAGGTGGGTTGATCGTGTTTGAGTCATGGCGCTCTCGGAGGAAAGAAACAACCCGCAGGGAGGACGTGGAGACTCGGCTGGCGGAACTGGAGCAGTCTGAGAAGGCTGCCCGGCAGGCCCTACTAGCCTTGGAGAAGGAGCTGCTTCAACAGAAAGCCAAGCACGGCGAGCTCCCGAGATCATCTGCACGGATCCTGCCGCGCGAGGTCTGGGACGTTGAGCAGGAGGAGGAAGTGAAGACACCGGAGGAGCCGAGCCTGTTTTCCTGGATCGCATCGTATCTTCCTTTCGGTGAGACTCCCGAACAACGGGCAGAGTCCGTGATTAAGGAGAGCAAGAGCGCGACCAAGCCACCGGCCGATGCTCAAGCAGCTGTACCGGCACCCAAGCCAGTCGAACCTGAGCAGAAAGTGCCAGAGCCGAAGAAGGCTTAATCCATATCGGCAATGGAATTGACGTTACTGTACATACCGTTATAGAACCACTGGGGCGCTATATAGTCTAGGACTTTGCTATTTATCTTGGGATACCCTTATATATTACAGCACGGGCGAGGCAAACTTGCGGGGATGTTGGGAGCATCTAGTGGAGGCGGCTCATAGACTTAATCAACTCCTCTCTTCATTATCTTCATTTCTTTCTGTCCTGTATATCTGCGATTGAGTACCACTCATCCACAATGGATACCGATATTCAAGTCTCTCTTCGAGGCACGTACTGCTCTTCACTCCGAGGGCGCTCTGTATGGAGGGCCCTTGGACCGATCCTGGAAATGTCCCCTGGGATGGAAGGTTGGTTAACCTAAGAAGCTCATCGGTTTTTGATTCCCTAATTCGTGTATAGAAAGTGGACTACAGGCGGGGCATGAATTCGAGTTTCGTCTGGGGAATACAGCAACGCTGAGCGTTCTCCTGTTGACAGCTTCAGCACTTGAGCCATCCGCCTCGCAAAGTACTATATCCGGACTACGCCAGCTCTCACTTTCCAGTCGTGCCAGCAAGAAAGCCATTGCATTTCTCCTCTCCGAGACGCCGTTCAGCTGCGCGAGTGGGAGGTATCACGTTAAGGGGCTGGTGGCGTTGCAAGTACTGTAGGAATTGACACTATACTATATTTTCACCCCGGGGACTAACATTTCTAACGGTGCAGAATGATTGAGTCTCTTCCGGCCATGCTCCCTATCATTCCCATTGCAGAGTCGGCCTGCTTGCTGTCCACAATGCAGGAATACATCACCAACCTAGAGACGAGAGATATCCCGCGACCACCTTTGCAGTCTTCTGTCGCATTGGCAGGGTCTAGCTCCTATCCCAGCCTTTCCGATGTCGACTTCTAGAAGCCATGCGCTAGGAGGGAGCACCGGTGACCATTCAGGGGATCAGAAGCTACAGCCGTGCAATTGAATAATTGCCCCTTGAGTTTGTAAGGGGTCTAGGATATGTGGTATTCTCTGTTGTGTAAGATAGAAGCAGTAGTGGTGTCACGTGGGCGTCGTTGCCCAACGATGATGGCAGCAAGGATACAGGAATCCGACGGAGGGGGTTAGGTACACACGGCCAAAAATATATTTCGGGAGTGGAGCGCATCCAGTTCGGTGTCCCCTGGCCAGGGGGTTGGGTTGTCATGGAGAGTTGCCAATCACAATCGACTGCCCACCCCTAATTAGATTGCCTGGTGAAATGCCCAGTTGTTCGATGGAAATCCGGATGCGCTTGGGTGAGGAGCTACGAAGTACTATCTCGATGGCTGCAGGCGTGACGTAGTAGTGAGGGGGAGAAGGAACCGTTTCCACATGCCTCAGGCACCAAAAGCCGGGGCGTCCCTTGGATCGTCGGTGCCTCCGGCCGGCGTGTGCGGCCAGCCATCCCAACGTTAGCGCCAGGGACCCAGGGGTGACTGGCGCTCGGGGATTTTGCCCCGGAGGCAACAGCATACTTGACGGGCATTGTGAGTACTGTCCTACTAATAGGTACGGAGTAGTGGTACTGGAATGGGAGAACCAGGGAAGCATCGGGTAGCGGCCAGACTGCTTGCGCGTATTGAGGCAGCGCAACCCAAGTGTGGCGCAGGCCCCATCGGCCCGCCCGCCGAATCAGACCGGCCAGGAGTCTCCTCTCTTAGCAGTCCTTAGGCACTCCTAGTCGTCTTAGTCGTCTTAGTCGTCTTAGTCCCTCCTAGTCAACTCCTCCTCCACAGGCACCCTTCGTCATTCTTCCTCTCCTCCTCCTCCCTCTCCTCCCTCCCCCATCTCTTCGCATTCCTATACCCCTCTACTCCAAGACACATTGTTCTTGCGGGTCCCTCCCATCACTTACTCGCTTCCTGGAATGAACCACCCCCCCGCGGTCTTCATTCCGTCTCCGCTGTGAATTTATCCGCCCACATCCTGGTCCAGACTGATAGGCCAGATATCGTGACGCTTGGGCGCAACATCCGGGGAGGTCGGTAGCCACAACCATGGTGAGTCGCGCCCCATTTCGCTTCCAGTCCGACCGGCACGGTCTGGGTTTCGCTGCCAACGGTGGTATTGACCAGTGCCTCCAATTTAGGGACATTCACGACGTCCGGCTGGCGGGGAGAAGAAAGGCCGGGGCTTCGGTCGCTCCAAGGCCGCCGCCGATGTGGGCGACGGGCGACAGACGGGCAAGCCCCAGGTCAAAAAGGCCGCCTTCGAAAGCACAAAGAAGAAGGAGATTGGTGTTTCAGATCTCACCCTGCTCAGCAAAATCTCCAACGAGGCCATCAACGACAACCTCAAACTCCGCTTCGAACATGACGAGATCTACGTAAGCCCTCACTATCACCTCATGGCCAGGCAATGGACTAATGAGCGACACCTAGACATACATTGGACATGTGCTGGTGTCCGTCAACCCGTTCCGTGACTGTGAGTACTTTCCCATGAGGCGCCTACCCTTCTGATGGTCGCGTGGCTGACTCCATCCCCTATCCTAGTGGGCATCTACACCGACCCCGTCCTCGAGTCCTACCGAGGGAAGAACCGCCTCGAAGTCCCACCCCACGTTTTCGCGGTCGCAGAATCCGCCTACTACAACATGAAGTCATACAAAGATAACCAGTGTGTGATCATCTCGGGAGAGTCGGGTGCGGGTAAGACGGAGGCGGCCAAGCGTCTCATGCAGTATATCGCCAGTGTGTCCGGCGGTAGCGACTCGTCCATCCAACAGACCAAGGACATGGTTCTGGCCACCAACCCGCTGCTGGAATCGTTTGGTAACGCAAAGACCCTGCGCAACAACAACTCCTCCCGTTTCGGAAAATACCTGGAACTGGAGTTCAACACCAGCGGCGAGCCGGTCGGTGCCAACATCACCAACTACTTGCTGGAGAAATCACGAGTGGTGGGACAAATCACAAACGAGCGGAACTTCCACATCTTCTACCAATTTACCAAGGCTGCACCGCAAAAGTACCGAGGTAGGCGCATTGGGTTGGCCTTTTATGATCCGAGCTGACGTCTGTCTTAGATATGTTCGGTGTGCAGCAACCTCAGACCTACCAGTACACTAGCCGATCGAAGTGCTATGATGTGCCCGGAATTGATGATACGGCCGAATTCAAAGATACCCTGGATGCAATGGGCGTTATCGGAATGTCGGAAGCCGAACAGGATGATGTGTTCCGCATGCTGGCCGCCATTCTGTGGATCGGCAACGTTCAGTTCTCAGAAGACGATTCCGGGAACGCAGCCATCACCGACCAGTCAGTGGTCAACTTTGTGGCATACTTGCTGGAAGTCGATCCCGGCCAGGTGAACAAGGCGCTCACGATCCGGTTGATGGAGACGGCACGCGGAGGTCGCCGGGGGTCTGTCTATGAGGTTCCTCTGAATACCGTCCAGGCGTTGGCTGTGCGGGATGCGTTGGCTAAGGCGATCTATTTCAACCTCTTTGATTGGATCGTCGGGCGCGTCAACTCCTCTCTGACGGCTCGAGGATCGATCGCGAACTCCATTGGTATTTTGGATATCTACGGGTTTGAGATCTTCGAGAAGAACTCGTTCGAGCAACTGTGTATTAACTACGTCAATGAGAAGCTGCAGCAAATCTTCATCCAGTTGACCCTGAAAGCGGAACAGGATGAGTATGCGCGCGAGCAGATTCAGTGGACCCCCATCAAGTACTTTGACAACAAGGTCGTGTGTTCTTTGATTGAAGATAAGCGCCCGCCCGGTGTCTTTGCAGCCCTCAACGATGCCTGCGCGACGGCGCACGCCGACTCCGGCGCGGCTGACAACACCTTCGTTGGCCGACTGAACTTCCTCGGCCAGAACCCCAACTTTGAGAGCCGCCAGGGCCAGTTCATCGTCAAGCACTACGCCGGTGATGTCAGCTACGCCGTCGAGGGCATGACTGACAAGAACAAGGACCAGCTGCTGAAGGATCTGCTGAACCTCGTTGGGTCCAGTGGCAATCCATTTGTGCACACCCTCTTCCCTAACCAGGTCAACCAGGACGACAAGAGGCGTCCGCCCACGGCCAGCGACAAGATCAAGCTGTCGGCCAACGAGTTGGTGGCGACCTTGATGAAGGCCCAGCCCTCCTACATTCGAACAATCAAGCCCAATGACAACAAAGCGCCCCGGGAGTACAACCAAGGAAACGTTCTGCACCAGATCAAATATCTCGGTCTGCAGGAGAACGTCCGGATTCGTCGTGCAGGTTTCGCCTACCGTCAAACGTTCGATAAATTCGTGGAGCGATTCTACCTGCTGTCGCCAAAGACGTCGTATGCTGGAGATTACACCTGGACGGGCGATGCGGAGTCGGGCGCTCGGCAGATCTTGAAAGACACCAGTATCCCCAGCGAGGAGTACCAGATGGGTCTTACCAAGGTGTTCGTCAAGACACCCGAGACGTTGTTCGCCTTGGAGGCGATGCGCGATCGGTACTGGCACAATATGGCAATTCGCATTCAGCGTGCCTGGCGCAACTACCTGCGCTACCGGATCGAGTGTGCCACGCGCATCCAGCGGTTCTGGCGCCGGATGACAGGTGGTCTCGAGTTCATCAAGCTACGTGATCAAGGACACCAGGTCCTCCAGGGTAAGAAGGAGCGTCGCCGGATGAGTTTGCTCGGATCGCGACGGTTCCTCGGGGATTACGTGGGAGTTGGCAACAACGGGGGGCCAGGCGAGATGATCCGCAACGGTGCAGGCATTAGCGGTAAGTTGGACCTTTCTACAGAGTACATCCCGACCGTTGCTAATGGGTTAGGATCGGAAAATGTTCTATTCTCTTGCCGGGGTGAAGTGTTGATTTCCAAGTTTGGCCGGTCCAGCAAGCCGTCCCCCCGAATCTTTGTTCTGGTAAGTTGCGTTGTCTGCTTCTGCCCCCGATGCATGCTGACCACGCAGACCAACCGACACGTCTATATTGTGGCACAAACGCTGGTCAACAACCAGCTCCAGATTGCGTCCGAGAGAACGATACCCATCGGGGCCATCAAGTCCGTCAGCACATCGAACCTGCAGGATGACTGGTTTTCGCTCGTGGTGGGCGGACAGGAGCCGGATCCGCTCATCAATTGTGTGTTCAAGACCGAATTCTTCACGCACCTCACCAATGCTCTCCGGGGGCAACTGAATCTGAAGATCGCCGATCAGTAAGTTTGTTTCCATATTGCCGTGAGCGCCACTGACCCTCGCTAGCATCGAATACAACAAGAAGCCCGGCAAGTTGGCGACGGTCAAGGTCGTGAAGGACCCCGGGGCCGGTGTCGATAGCTACAAGAGCAGTACCGTCCACACGAGCGCAGGCGAGCCCCCCAGCTCCGTCTCCAAGCCCACGCCTCGTCCGAAGGCGGTCGCTGCGAGACCCGTCACGAAGGGCAAGCTGCTGCGTCCTGGCGGCCCCGGCGGCGGGCCCTCCAAATTGGCGTCCAGGCCTGTGCCGGCACGCCAGCCTCTGCCTCAGTCGGCGCAGCCAGCTGCCGTGCAACCACCACCGGCCCCGCGACCAGCCGTGTCGCCCGCAGCACAACCTAGGCCGGTCCCTCAGCCTGTTGCCGCGGTTGCCGCATCGCAACACGTCCGGAACGCATCATCCAGCTCTGGCCGGGCGCCCCCCCGCCGCCTCCTGCGCCCCCGGCGAGCCCCCCGGCGCAGAAGAAGCCGACGGCCAAGGTATTGTACGACTTCAACAGCGACCAGTCCAACGAGCTGTCGATCCGGGCGGGCGAGGTCGTGCAGATCGTGTCCAAGGAAGGAAATGGTAAGTGACACCATCCATGTATGTCATGTCGGTACACATCAGCTAATGCTTGCAGGGTGGTGGTTGTGTATGAACACGGCGACGTCGGTGCAGGGCTGGACGCCCGAAGCCTACCTCGAGGAGCAAGTGGCCGCAACACCCAAGCCTGCCCCCCCACCACCTCCTCCGGCCGCACCGCGGGCTAGCCCGGTGCCCGCCACCAACGGGGCGGCAGCCGCGGCGGCCGCCAAAGCCAAGTCCAAGCCCACGCCGCCGGCACCGCCAGTGAAGCGACCCAACATGACCGGACGGAAGGTGGCTCCAGCGCCTCCAGCGGCACCTCGTGACAGCGCAGTGAGCATGAACTCACACGACTCATCTGGAGGAAGTGGACGGGCGACGCCAAACAGCGCATCGAACGCGAGTCTGGCGGGAGGGTTGGCAGAGGCGCTGAAGGCGCGACAACACGCGATGCAAGGACACCAGGATGACGATGATGAGTGGTGAGATCCTTGGAAGAGATACGATGAGCTAGAGTACATACCCGGTAGATCAAAATAGACATGTATAGCTGTGCAATTTGCCTGACATAACCAAACTACAATACCAGCTCATAAACAGTACAAAATGCCACCCCATCACACAACCCATATCCCCTCCCAAAACTAAATGATATCATCTACAGAAACTTGCTCGCCAGACTCATCAAACCAGCCGGACCGCCCGTTCCACTCGACCCACTGCCCTGCGACTTCATATACATCTTAAAGGCCATCTCAGCAGCCGAGTTAATAGCCGATTGCTTATCGCCAGCCTATACACCAACCAACAATTAGCCACCATCCTTGACCCCTCAACCCCAACCCCAACAATAAAGAACAAGGAAAAGACTTACCACAGCGCCAGACCCAGACTTCTGATCCCACAACTTACTCGCCTGAGCCATCGCCATCCCAATAAACTCATTCTTATCTCCGGAGCTGCCACCCGATCCACTCGTGAACATCTTCAGGGCCTGCATCGCGGCTCCCGCTCCCAGGGACTTGCTGTCGTGCTGCTGGCCCTCATCCTGGTTGTTGTACAGTGCCTGGTGAGACTGCACCATGTGTTCTTCGTCCACGTCCGGCTGTTCCTCGTATTGGGACTTGCGGGACGAAAGGAAGCTAAGGGCGGTGGAGAACAGGTCGCTGCCGCCGCTGCTACCGCCCTGGGAGGGGTAGGAGTCGCTGCCTTGGTTGTCGGAGTAGCCGCCGTAGCCGCCTTGGTTGTAGGAGGAGTGGTGGGATTGGGCGTGGGAGTGGGCGGAGGAGAATTCAGGGTCGTAGTTGGCGTTGTTACCGCCGCCGGAGGAGCCGCCGGATAGGCCTTGTTCGATGGCGGAGGAGATGAGGTTGGAGAAGGACATGGTGGTGGTGGTGGTGGTGGTTGGTTGGTTGGTTGTCTTTGGGGGTTTGGGTTCGTGTAGAAAAGGAAGAAGGGATAATTATGATGATGATGATGATGATGATGATGGAGGGGAAAGGGGGAGGGGGAGAGAGGGGTTTTATGGATGAGATGATGGAGGGGCTGTGGCGGTGTGACCAAGAGATCGGCGGGGAGGTGGGGCCCTCAGCCACCCTCCGATCGATCGGATATTATTACTGTTCTCATTATCAATATTTCCGAGTGGTGAGGATACGATGATGTGGTGTCGGCTGTGGAGATAGATGGCGGTAGAGGAGCTGGGGAGTTGGTTGAGAAGAGTAGAAATCGATGATTAAATAGAACGCTGGCCAGCAGGAAATTGGTATCTAACGCTAAATGCTGACATCTCCACCCAATCATGCAATAGTCATACAGCCACTGCAGTAATGGCACTACAGCAGCAACGCTTCATGCTCCTCGTCCTCTAAATTCCACATCCACCGCAGCTGGCGCTCTCGCTCACTCAGCACACACCGTGAGTCTTCCTCTAGCTCCGTCTCGCGCCGCCACTCGTTGGGCAGATCTCGCAGTCCATACCGCTGTCCCCATTGCCGTCGGTCATACTGCAAGAACCCTCCAAAATGCTCGTCCGTATTGGCCACCCAGATCGTGCTGCCGTCCGGCGCATAGTCCGCACCCCCAATCTCCCCGAAGAAGTCGTGCACCTGCCGGCTCTGGAATGTCTGCGCATTGACCACGGCGATGCGGTCTGCCGGCTCACTCAGCAGCAGCGTGCGCGGTCCCCCGCCCACCGGCGACCAACGCAGGGACCGGTAGCCCGCCCCATCGGCCTGGATCTTCTGCAGCATGCGCCACATACGCACATCCCAGATGATGGCTGTCTTGTCCTGGTTGCTGGTGGCGATGTGATGCATGTCGGGCGACCAGGCGCAAGCAAACCCGAAATCGCGGTGGCCGCGCAGGGGATGGACGGGGCGCCCCGTGTCCGCCTCCACCACCCACGCGTCTGCCGAGTCGCCAATCAGCACGCGCAGCCGTCCGTCCGGCGCCGTCGCCGTGCAGTTGATCGCCCGCGATAGCTCATGGTCCGCTACAAAGGTGTTGGTCGCGCAGTCCAGCACCCGCAAGTGTCGGTCGTTAGACGCGAAGATTCCCAGCGGGCCCCCACTCGTTCGACTCGGGATGATGTCGATGTGGTTGGTGATGCCGTTGGCGTCCTTGGTCACGTAGCCTTGCACGCCTGGCCCCGTCGTGCCCGCCGCGCGCATCGCATACTCGCCCGAAAATCCGCCCGCGATCGTCAGGTCGTGCGCTGACTTCATGGTCGAGATTTTGACAAGCCCCGGCAGCAGCGACTCAGGCGCCGGCCGGGACAGGTCGAGCAAGCAGGTGAGGTCGTCGTAGGCCGGCACCCATGAATAGACCTTGGACTCGTGCGCAAAGTGGACCGTGTTGTACGCCACCGCTGACATGAGATTCCGCAACTGGAAGTGCTCGATGGTGGCCTTGTGTGCTGTATACATAGCCTGGCCCCGAAAGTACGACTCGTCCTGCGGCAGTCGTGCCCCGGGCCGTTGCCGTGAGTACTCCAAGTTGTGGTACGACGTGTACGACAGGTCCCGCTGCTTGCGCACATACGGCCGCTGGACTCGCAGGGCGCCCCACCAGGGGATCTGTTGCAGGTCGTAGAAGTCGGTGTGATATCCGGGCGGCCGGACGATCTTCGCCGGGGGATTCCACCCGATCAGCCGTGAGAGGGAGTTGCGTGGGAGGTGGTGGGCGGGGGCAATCGAGAGACTCGGGATCGAGGCGGCGGACGGCTGGTATAGCCACTGGGCGATGAACTGGTCCATAGTCAAGTTCCGCTCGCGGACTATTCCGAGTTAGCGCAGCATCGGAAAGAAGAGGAGGGGGTCCTACTGGTTCCGACGACGGGGTCGGCAAAGTGAGGCTCGCCCGCCGGATCGACGGTGCTCGAGTCTTCCCCTTCGGAGAAGACATTGCTGTAATCGTCGCGCATGGCGCCCGTGCCCAGGTCGGACAGTTGGGATCCGGATGCCGGGTCGAGGCCTTGGTAAAACTCGTCGACGGCCACCTCGGACAAATCAGCCGTACCGTGGCGGGTGCGCATGTCGCTGGCTCGATCGTCCTCGTAGTCATCCCCATCGTCCGAGTAGAACTTCTGCGTGTCGTCCGGATCATCTCCCGCGATGGATCGCGAAGTGGACCGGTTGTCTATCACTGAGGGCTCGTATTCCATATCCAGATCGGTCGCGTCACCGTCCTCGGTGTCGCTGGAAATGGTGGACGAGGTTGGGGGCGCGGACATGGGGGCGTTCAGCGACTGGTGGAGGAGATGAGCCATGCCAACGTGTTCGCTGATGTAGGGCCCCAGAGAAACGCCGCCCATCTCCGACAGCGCATCCGTCATTTCCGAGTCGGAGATGTACCACTCCGTCGGGGGCGACGACGGCTGAGGGCCGGTCTCATGCTCCATCACTGCATTCACCGTTTCCAGCTGAAGGGTGTATGACCCATCGCGGAAGTCGAAGACGGTGGTATACTGGGGAACAGCCATGAAGGCGGAGACGGCTGAGTCGCTGGTGCTGCGATCGTCCGTATCACCGGTGAAAGTAGGATCAGGCACGTCCGCGCCGACAGGCGGCGGCTGGTCTTCGAGGGACGACATCGGATGACGGCTAGATGAGGCGGCAATTGAAGAGGAGAGGTTGTCTGGAAGTCGAGGGGACGAGGATCGGGGAATGTTGCATGCTGAGGGACCTCCGGGCGGGATGGCGGTGGAGGGCGAGGGCGAGGGCGAGGAAGGAGGGAAATCCAAGGCAATCTGAGCCGGCATTGGTAGATAAGGTGGGACGTCCACGTTGTTGGACTGGGATCTTGGCTCTGCAGCCGATGGTCACCCCGCAGCAGGGTCAGTCTTCCTCCCCCACACCGAGGTGGCACAGCCAGCAGCCAGCAGGGGAGTCGCAATCCCGAGATGGAGGGGCGGGGTTGCACCGAGTCACCGGGCGTCACTCGAAATGAGAAGAAGAGGAAAGAGAGGGATGATTTTGGGGGGGGGGAAGGGAGGAGAGGAAAAAGAGCGTGGCGTGCCTAGTTAGATACCCAGTTGGGCGGAGTGCAGCTGCAGCAGCAGCAGCAGGAAGAGGAGGAAGAGAAAGGGGGAGGAGGAGGAGAGGAGTAGGAGTAGGAGTAGGAGGAAAAGAAGGTGGAGGAGAGAGAGGCACAGGAGCAGGAAAAGCGGCGAGGCGGAAGAGGCAGCAGAACGTGGATCGGGGCTGTCACATGGAGGGGCGCCCGATCACGAGGATTCCAGTATTATTACCTTCCTTACGGAGGCCTGACTTTCAGTTCCATGATTCTTACGGATGCAACGAAACCATTGGTCCAGCCGGATTAGTCAGACCTCCTCCTCGCCCAGGATTTCTCCATGATCGATCCACAAGGACTTGATCTCTCTCTGATATCCCCGGCATCCATTCCCCGCTGGTCAACACGCCACAGGGCAGGCACAGACCATCTGCACGAAGAGTGGGAAAGAGAACACCCCCCCGGGGATGGATAGATAGATCACCTCGGAAGCCACCAGGTGCCCCGGCAGATCGCCCGCAGCTCGAACCATCCCGTCAGCCGCACCTCATCGCGATTAAGTGCTTCATTTAACAGGTCGTCGTTACTCGTGCAAGGTATGCTCACAAATCGCCGCTCAATCAATCGCTCGCGCTCGCTCAGGTCAACCCATCCAAAGTCAAAGTCAAAGTCAAAGTTACAGCCACATCTCGGGTTACACGCGGCAAACCCGGCAAGATATCCCAAATACACAGACAGAAGAAGAAGAAGAAGAAGGCAATCCACAATGATACACGCCATCATAACTCATCACATCGATCCGAAAATAAAATGTACATTCCCCCTTCATCCATTAATTACACTTCTCCCTCAATGGCCCCCGTAGGGATCATGGTAGGTCGGATAGCCTGCCGGAGCCGGAGGCTGGCTCCAGCCCGGCATCTGCATCCGCAGTCGGCGATCTGCCCCCTGTTAGTCGCCGTCGCTAAGGTGGCTGATGCCCACGCATGCACGTACCTTTCTCGAAATCCCGCCACCGCTTCATCGTGATCTTGCTGCTGTCGAACTCGCCCTCTCCGGCCTCGTGCCCCTTGTCCTTCCCGTCCGACGTCTGCCGCGTGTCTCCCCAACTGAAGTCGTCGAATTTCCAGTACGAGTACGTCGGCAGCACAAAGTTCCACACTGGCAGCGACAGCAGGTAGATAAACATCCACAGCACATACACCATCTTGTGGGCCGTCACCACGATCAGCACGCCCGGCAGCCCCAGGATAAGCGCCAGCAGCACCAGTGGGATCACCTGCACCGGCCGGTGCACGATCGAGTTGATCACCACGTAGAACGTAAAAGCGATCGCCGCTGGCAGTACCAGCGTCCCAATAAGCTCAATGAAGATGACAAACTGCATGCTGAAGCAGAACGTCCCACACAGATCCCGCACCAGGACCAGCTCCATCAGATTGTGCACCGTACTGTTGATCCAGCGCCGGCGTTGCGACAGTAATACCTTGAACTGGTCCGGCACCTGCGTCTTACACACAGCCTGCGGCACAAAAATCTGTTTTCGCTTGGGGAAAGTCCGCAGCATCAGCGTCGATAGGTACCGATCCTCCCCCAGCAGAAGCAGGTTCTTCTTGTGCAGTGTGTCCACCACATTCTCCGAGTAATGTTCCACGACATCCGGGCTCGCCAGGATCGGGACCCAGTAGTTCTGGCCTCCCTTCGGTGCCTTGATCCGATACATCGAGAAGCACCCAGGTAGACACGTCACACCTCCAAACATCGACTCGAACGACTTGGCTTGATGGTGCGAGATGAAATACCTGTCGAATGTTAGCGCGAGCACAATGGAGAGGTAAGGAGGAAGGGGGACACCTACTCAAAGACCTGGATCATCGTTACCCAGCTATCCGTCTTGTTAGCGATTTTGGTTTCGCCACACAGCCCCATCACCTCCGGATCCTTGACCATTGCCGAGATCATGTGCGTCAGACTGTCCGGGAACACCTTGGTGTCCGCGTCCACCATGAGGATAACTTCATAGAAATCAGGAGCAATGCCCGTCACCTGCCACAACCCGTTGAACATCTCAAACTCGAGTTCTGTCATCCGCTCGTCGAACATGACCTTCTGCAGGAACGACATCAAAATGATCTGACTGTCGCGCTTGCCCCGGTTGCCCGGCTTTGATTTGTGCTCCTCCGCCGGGGTGCCGCACTTGACGATAATCATCATGGGGACGCGCTGCTGCTTTTCCTCCGGGATGATCGAGTCCTCCCCATAGTCATAGAAGCCGGCGTACACCTTCGCCATGTTGTGGCGTTTGGATCCCGTGGCGACGGCCACATACGAAAACGGCTGCACCTCATCCTTGGGGATAATGGGGTCGCGCATCATCCGCAGAACGATCTCCGGCGTGGAGAATTCCTCGCCTTTGCCCTTGATCATTCCGTCACAGATTACCAGAATGGTCTTATGGCTATTCGGATAGTCGGTCATTGCAATCGAGTCCAACGTGGTGCGAATACCTTCTTCACCCTCTGAATAACACGTCACCAAGCAGAGCGAGTGTGCAAGAGGGAACCCGTACGGCTGCCACTCTGGTGGTGGTTGGGGAATGACACCCTCGTGGACATATCCACCCATCCCGGGGCCTTCCGATTCTAGCATGCCGGTCGAGTAGCGCGAGTCCTGTCCCGGCAGGGCGAGGCTGGATCGACTAGCTAACGCGTTATGGCGGGAACCCTCAGGGCCCAAACTTCCACCGCTACTGTTGTGGCTTTGCTTGTACATCGAGTGGGTGGCACCGGGCACCAGGCGGGTCGTGGAGTTCTGGCTCGCCATCGTCACATACTGGTATTTCTGCTTCCCTCCGTTGCTCACCGTGTACGGGCTCGAGAAGCGCGAGGTGGTGGGCAGAAAACTCGCTCGTTTACTACCCCGTTCGCTCATGTTGTGGTCCGTCATGCGGGGGCCGGGCCGATAGATATCGTTGGACCAATCCTCGATCTGCTGGTTGCGCGTCTTGGAATCCGTGCCCATGCTGGTCCTCGGGGCCGCGTACTGAGCGGCGACGAACCACTGGAAGAGCAGGGCGAACGCGAACTTGACCACGACGGTGGACAGGATGAAGATCAACGAGACATAGAGAACCACCTTGGATGCAATGCACCCCACCGTATCGGTGTCGATACTGCCAACCTTGATTATCTGCGCTAAACACCGGCCGATCTTCTTCTCCTGGCCCGTCTGCAGGTAGTACGTGAGGTCGACCCCGCGCACCTTGGGATTCTCGCGGAGCTCATCGAACTTGATCGGGTAGCTCACCTGGGAGGTATTGAACCATAACAGAAGGTCGAGGTCCAAGACATCGCCATCATACACGGCCAAATTGCGACTGGTATTTTTGGTGTCGTCCCACGTGAAATAAACGTCCCCGGAACTTTTCAGGTTGTAGAAGGCTTTTCGAGCCGTCCCCGATGTGTGGCAGGCCCACCCCAGATAATACGGATCGGTGTAATTCGGCTTGGAAGAGCCGTCTTGGTTGAAGGCGTTACAGGGGAAATACCAGGCGAGATCACCGGCGGAGTTGGTGGGCACATCGGATCCGTCCGCGAGCGTGATCAGATTCTTGCACGCTCCGTTGACTTCCTGAAAAAAAAAGCTTCCGTCTTGACCTCCATATTTGTGGGGAAGATCATAGAGAACGTTGGATCCGGCCGGAATGCCAGCAGCGGCCGGGTGCGTCGAGTGGGACAGGTCGTAGGCCTTGCCGTGGAAGATCATGTAGTTGCTACTGACCTCGTTGATCCTCAACCGCGTCGGAGGGGTGCCGCATACCGTTGCCGTGAACCCGAACGTGAGGAAGCCAACAAATGCCCCGACGAGAAGGATCTGACTGATGAGGCCAATCTTCTCACGCCAGGCGCTACGCTGCGCCTTTTGCGGCATCCCAAAACACTTCAGGACAAAGTCCGGAGCCCAGAAGGTGATGATGGCGCAGTACGTGGTCCAAGGACTGGGTGGTCGAACTTGCTCCAACGCTTGTTGCCGTTTCTTTTCCGCCGCCGCGGCCCTTCGGGTGATTTTGCGCGATGATCGCCTCTTCTTGATGCGACGTCGGTTCGGGAGTCGCTCCATGGGCTGATTGACATTCCCTTGCGTGACATATACCCCATCTTTGCCTTTGGATTCCGTGCTCCGGGAGCTGTTCGTCTCTCCCTCCCCCCCGGCTCCCATTAACGGCTCATCCCCAGTTGTCGATGGATGCGTGGGCATATTCCGCGATTTTTGGCGATAGTGATAGTGTGGATGGTTCGCGTCGACCCGGGTGCGTTCTGGTTTCGACATAGTCTTCTTGTGCCTGGTTTCCGCGCCTAGTTCTCCTCTTTCCTCGTCCACATCATCGCGTCTGCGGGAGCTGCGCGAGCGGTGATGTCGATGGTGTCGGTGCCCCGAGGGGGAGCCGGACAGAGGATCATTCTGCTGTCCGCTTTCGTGGGTGCGGTGCCGTCGCCGGGAGGATTCGCGGAAGGAGGAGTACGTTTCTTCTCGTCGCGGGGAGGCTTTCCCCGGACGCTGAGGCAGAGACATGACCCTGCTAGATGATTAGAGCCCCAATTAGCAATATGTTCCTTTGCGCTGGCAATCGCCTCCTTGGCAGTGTACGTGGAGTGGACTCCATGACGTGAAGAGCGATGCGATAGTGGCAAGGACCTATTCAGCGAGAGATTGTCGACTCACCTTTCCTAAAGCATAGGCAATGCGAATGGTGGGGGAGTCAACCGGACGAGGAGCGGGGTCGGATGCCCGACAACGAATGTATCCGGCTGCAAGTGATGCGAGTGACTTCTAGATAGTGCCAGATGTGGGACAGATGCAGATTGATGACTCCGGAAAAACTGCGCCCCGCTGAATGGTTGGTTGGTGGGAAAGCCTCCGGGGATCGCACTGCAGATAGATAGCAAACGAATGCAAGCAGGTAAGTCCCAGGGAGATCAAACGAGCGAGACAGCAGATGGTAATCGCTGGGACTCCTGCCAAGGAGGGGACCGAAAGCTCTAAATAATAAGCGCGAAAGAGTGAACGAGCGCGACGGACGGGAGGCGAGAAATTAGAAAGGGGAAGGGAAGCAAGTAGTAGTACTGGTAGGCCGTAGAGATGATCGTGCGGAGGAGAAAGTGGCCGGGGCCGCGGGACAGCAGCCCGCCTGGGTATAGCGTTCCCTTGGGCCCAATAGTAATCCCACCTTAACTTTATTAGTCTGAAACCCAACCAATTCTTCCGCAGTGGTTTATGGCACAATTTGGATATGCGCCGGATGCCGGGGGCGTCAGAGAGTAGTGGACAGTGGACAGTAGACAGTAGACAGAAGACACCACTTGTCAAAGGGACCAGGGGAACCGTAGCTGGCAGCTGATTTGGGATTGAGGATATCACGGGGTACCTTATCGTGCCAAGCCTCAGGCAGTCGGATCCCAATCTCTGGCCAGGAATGCAGGCCCTTTGCCGCGAGTCAGATCGGAATGTAACACCAAATCGCCGCTGCCACTGAGGATAATAATTCAGAACGCACTCTCACTGCTGGCAAAGTTGGGAGGAAGGTGAAGATAGGCCGGAGCCAAGGAAGAGGAGGTGCAGGATATGACACCCGACCAGATGAACAAATGTACACAAATAACTGCCCGCCCGAGTGCAGCGTCGCTAGGGGCAATCAGCCGGGCCAGGCCAGACCATCCATGGGTAACCCCGCCAATGCCCGGTGCCAGCCAGGGGCCCGCCCATTGGGCAGCCCTCCCGTGGCAAGACCCTGACTAGCCTAACCTAGCTTAGCGTTGGCTCGGTCCCACAAACGATCCAATTAACGCTCTGATGATCCAGCGGCCACCTCGTTTCGTCATTATCGTGGGGCCCACACTCCCAGTAATTCTTACACTATCACTATTCCGTGCATAGTGCTAGATAGTACGGAGTACGGAGTACACAGCAGTTAGCAATGTTTATCAGTGCAGGTACAATAACCAGGGTCTAACACATGGAGTCATGGACGGATCCTGGTCTTCAGCAGGATCAAGCTAGTCCTTAGCTTCAAATGGAGCAGGATTAGCCCATGGCGGCCCTGCGATGTCCACTCTGAATAGGTATCGCACACCGGACTTAATTCTGTATCTTATGACCTATCTCCCGAGTGTCCAGGAAGGGAACAGGTCGAAACTTTTCACCCAGGTTCCTTGGGTTTACTCTTGGTCCCCACCCTCCCGGCCACGACGTGCACGATAATTCGCTGCTAGGGTGGTGGCTTCGGATGGCTTCTGAGGGTCTGCGCTGTCTATTAATATCTTTTGCGAACTGTCTCAGATGTCAGGTGTGATGTGGTCATCAACACCAGCAACTACGGGTTTCCCGAGGTATTCCGGTAGGGGATGCGTTTTGTCCACCAAGTTGAGTCGTTTTACTCCGCATCGGGGTCCTTACTATGTACTACTCTACTATTACTACTAGTAGTTCACCAAGTCGCCCCTGAGGTCCGACCACCTGAGGAAAAGCACAGAGACGGCCAAAAAAAAAAAATTACAGACCGGAGTTTACTTAAATCTAAGTTGTGGATTATATGGGGAGCACGTCATAGTAGTAGCTTCTATTTCATAGCCTCAAGCCTAGTAATGATTTCTTGGGTAATGAACCATGTTTTCCGTCGATCGCACGATCGGATCGGCTCGCGAATCAACGGAGTTCGAGGTCGTTGTTATACCTACTTACACATTACAAGACTTTGGTAGTAACCATGGTACTATGTCGGGTTGCTGTGATCCAAACACAGTCTATGAGAGATGAAGTGACAGTGGAAATGGTTCCCACCCCCGATATATATTTTAACCGTCTTTCCCGGTCGAAGTCCCTTCTTTATATTGAAGTAGAATACTACTGGTTTCTATCAGCCGTCGAGGACTACAAAACATCGGGGGAGTTTATACTTTCTCCACCCAATGTTGAGCACCTGACACGTCATTATTAATTGCAACTCTTATCTTGAAATGGCGATCATATAACAGCGGTGTCGCCTTTCTCGTCATAGAATCAGTGAGGAACGCCCTCCCGTATCACCAAGAGCAGCTCCCTGATTGGCTCTGGGGGCCGAGGGCAGGCGGGGGTCCTGCCTGAGGCTACCTATGACTGCTGGAAAGTCCCCTCTCCGATAATCGATAACACCTTATCTCAGGGAGCTTTAAAACAATCGAAGCAAGGAGCACCTCCCGCCATGGTGGTGCAACTACAATCTACATACTCCGTAGTTAGTACAGTACCTATATAACCCTCGCCAGGTACCGATCTTCACCCCGGCAATCATTCAACGCTCCCAGCTAAAATCACCCAGAACCAAATCCGTTTTACGATGGCTTCCCGGGAGTTTCTCTTGATTCTCATGCCCTGGACCCCTCCAGCCGAGTGGGTTTCCGGTGTGATTGATTCCATTCCCAACATCCGCATCGAAATCTTCCAGATCGATAGGAGCGCCGCCGAGCTACCCGCAGAGATCTCCCTAGAAGTTTGGAAAGATGTTACGTCGCTTTTCACCTGGAAGCTTTTCCCGACCAAGGAGCTGGCTCCGAACCTACGATACGTGCAACTCTTGAGTGCCGGTTGCAATCACGCGAACGAGCTGCCACTGTTCCAGGAGCCCGAGGTCGCTTTATGTACGGCCAACGGGGTTCATCCGTAAGTGTCTGACTCGAGTTCAGCCAGGATTTGGCAGGCCCGCGGGACATGAGTGATTTTAACAAGTCAGACCCCAAATTACAGAATGGGTCTTCATGACCTTCCTGGCCTTCCAGCACCACCGTATGTGAGTCTCACGGGAAGAAAAGATAGAGCAACTAAAGTCCAGATAGTCCCGCAGTATCTTAAATACCAGAAAGTGGGCAAATGGGTGGATCCCGTATCCGACGAAGACACTGAGGATGCAGTTGGCCTGAGAGTGTATGTGTGCTCCTCAAAATTCCCCGCCTGGACTTGTCCTCAGCTGACGAACCATCATAGTGGAATCATGGGCTACGGGAGCATCGGCCGTCAATGCGCCCGAGTAGCCAAAGCATTTGGCATGGACGTCCACGCTTTCACCATGCGTCCCCGAGCAACGCTCGCTTCTCGAAAAGCGGATACCTTCAGCGAGCCAGGCCTGGGCGATGCCGTGGGCGAATTCCCCTCGAGATGGTTCTGGGGGAAAGATCAACTGAATGGGTTCCTTAGTTCGGATCTGGACTTGCTCGTGATCACGGTGCCACTGACTCGAGAGACACGAGGCATCATCTCGCGGGAACAGTTTGCGCTACTCAGTAAGAAGAAGACGTACGTCAGTAACATTGCACGGGGAGCGGTCATCAATACCGAGGATCTGGTGGCTGCTCTGGAAGGGGGTCAAATTCGAGGGGCGGCACTGGATGTCACGGATCCGGAGCCCCTGCCGGCAGATCACAAGTTGTGGGGATTCAAAAACGTCATCATCACGCCGCATTGTAGTGGGAACTCGACCCATTACAACGAGCGTGCTTTGAAGATCCTGGCGAGTAATCTTGAGCGACGGGCTCACGGGAAGGGGCTCATCAATCAGGTGGATAAAGCCTTGGGGTATTGATCTTGCTCGTTCCGAGTCAGAGGAGCGGCTAGAGTAGGGAGTATGTACCTAATGAGTATGAGTCAAGCACGTGATCATGTGTACAGGCCTCAGGCAACAATAACCCAGGCGGTAACCATTCTGCAGGCCATACTGTAGATTTGTCCGAAGAGGGCAGGCGGAAAGACGCGGCTCCCAGTTGCATTCTTCTCCCGGGCCAAGCGGATGAGCTGGCAGTACTCACCCAACTCACCCAACTCAACCTCAACCCAAGATGGACATCCAGAGTCTACTCAATGAGGGCTCGCCATCTTTCGCTCCGAACTATGGACTTCCACGCTTCCAAAATGCAGAGGGAGCCAATTCTCTACTACTGGTCTCCCTAACCGATCTCAGCGAAACGGCCGAGGCGACTTTACTCAATGGGTTCCAGCATTCTCCCCAAGCCAACGTCAAGCTCTCGGTATGGCGCCCATCAAGGCGCGTGCTAGCTCGGATCGCCCATCAAGGCCTTTATCATGACAGCCAAGAGAACATATATGCGGTTGCAGTCCTGGCATATCGAGCCGGATGGACCAGCCTCGTCGTCGCCGACGGCCTCACCAAGCGGCAGTTGCACGGAACTCTCCGCGTGGGCGAAAACCCACAGGTTTCGGTGGTCGCGGTTACTATCCGACCACGGTCGGTCACCACCAGCGCCGAGGACAACGTTCGTGTCAATGCACAACGGACTACGGTGAGCGACATATCTAATGCCGAGCTGACCTTGCAGCCACGGCCGCTACCTGCTTATGTAAAACCCGATTGCTACCATGATCTGGGGATCGTCCTCCATGATCCGGACCGGGCCCCGTTGTCCCTCGATAACGCAGCCTCGCTTGGCCGAGAAGAGTGGCTGGATTCTGCCCGTCATGTGTTGGCCACCAGAACCCCTCTACCAGCCGAGCTGGTGCAACAAGTCATGTCATATGCATCTAGCGGTACTGAAAGCCCCATTGCGCTGCCATCGTGGGTTCGCAATGATGAGGGCCGAGTGATGACCATATTTCTACTATTCCCCACGACTGCAGCGACGCGTCAAACTATTCAGTCAACTCTCGAAGGAGCCACCAAGGATTGGATGGAGAAGCACGGCCATGCAATCAGTAGCCGGACCACACCGTACAAACTAATCTCGTGGGAGCATCACCGGGCTATGTCTCGCCGCCAGCTGATGAAGCTGTGGTATGAGTATGCACCTCGACGGGGGCCGGGAGGGCTGGCGGATGCGTTTTTCTTCCTTGGGAAGCCCGTAGACAATGCTGCAGACATCCAGATAGGCATTTTTCACAAAGTATGGGACGGCCAGGCCAATGTGACACATAAGCCTCTACATGTGATTCTTGAACACCCATACCCGTCAACTTGGAGGTGGGAGTGGGAATTACCGCCCGCACCTGGGCTTCTCTCTCTGGATCGTGAAGAGAACGAAGTCACTGAGCTCTTTCATGCATTTGACCAGCCATTCTACTCCAATCCCCCGCCGTGGCTCCCGACCCAGAGTAGGCTTAACTATGTAGCAGTGTTCGCCCTTACCAAAACGACCCCCAACCAGACCGACGCCATCCAAGCGGAACTTTGCACCTGGAGGGTCCGCGAACAGCGTTTCGAAGAGAAAGTCGCGTGTTTCGTGCCCTGGGATGGGGAAGAGGACGGCACGCTGGACGACATCTGGAGGATTGTTCAAGAGCTTGCCATATATCACCGAGGGTCTCCCATCTTCTACCCCATCTTCTTTGTTGATCGGCAGTCCACGGCGGACAACACGGTCCTCGCCGTGCGCCCCAGGCCCCCGGGGACTCCGCTTCCAACCGATCTCCCCTCGCGTAATCTCGGAGGTTTCTCGTATGGCCGAGTGCCTGGTCGGGATGCACATTATATCTTTGACAATGTGAGCATGAGAAGGAATTACTTCAGCGACTTGGCGCCGGTGAACGTCTTTCGGAGACCCGACTGGCCTGCGGCGCTCGCTTCCCAATTCCCCCCCGAAGGAGGACCTGTCGTGTTACGACTGGGAGGTATGTTTTGAAGATGTTGGGGAACCGGATCGATTCGTGTCAATAGGATTGTCTTCTTTTCCAATATAATTCCCATGCCAAGACCTCTAGGCCTCCACCCAGGCATCCACTTGGCTGCCTGGAAGAACCCGTCGGCAAATCTACCTTTTAAAGTGGCATTCTTCTTCTCCCCCTCCCCCTCCCCCTCTTCCTCCCCTCATCCCCATGATGAAGCATCTTCATCCTCACCACCAGCACCATGGCTCATCCCCGTATTAGACTGCCTGGCTTCGGCCAGCCCCTCAAGACTAACCTGCCTGTCGTCGATTCCCAAGGTGACCGGCGACGTTTTCCTCATGCCATATCCGACACTTGCGACAGTGTGGGTATCTCGGTTCGCGAGCGTCGCATGTTGGAATTCATCAATCAAATCACGGACAAGCCAGAGTGGAATCGGAAGGTTTTCGATGAGGCCATTGTGGGAAAATGGAGGGGGGAGGCCTGTGTCTGGAGTCCAGAGCTCCGGGAGAAGTATTTGTCGGAGGCAATGTTTGACTACGTATGGTCCTACTCGAACATTGCATCCATCACGACCGACTAAACTTAACACATCCCAGTGTCTCCAAGAGCTTCGCGACAAAGCCACTTATCATCAGCAGTCTCAGATGGTCTCCGTCTGGGACAGTGAGAGAGCAATCGTCAAATCCGACACCGCAGTGACTTTAGCCCTCGCTGACGCTTTACGACAGCATGTCCGGGCACTCGAGGATGTGCCTGAACAGTCGAAGGATTGGCATCCCGGATCCGATCAGAAAGTCCTGGATCTCCTGCATCCGTCCCTCTTTCCCGTGATTTATGGCAAATCCCGCGCGTTGCCATATGGGACCGTGCCACTTGATGATTGTGCCCGCTTCAGCGGTGGAGGCGAGGTCGTCGACCCCGAATTGCATGGCACTCGAGAGACACTGGGCACTCTTCCTGAATGGGGGAGCTTCCAGTGGCTCCCCTCCAATATCTCCTTTGATCACGACGGACAACCCAGCATAGTCAGCTACATCAACAACTTACAACCTAAAATGCACAAGCCGCTTTATGGGACCCTAGAGAAGTTCGTCGCTGCTGCCATCCCTCTTTGGAGTGAATGCCTCTCCTGGTCTGAACCTCGGTTAAGGATCGAGGATTCGGGACTGGGCAACGAAGCACTAACAGCACCTGATGGAGTCACCTTCACTCCTGCAGAGGATGACGTGGATTCAAATACTGAAATTCGGCCTTATACATGGGAAGAAGCCAAGGGAATCCAGTTTGAGCGAGAGGATAATTATTGGGAGTGGTGTCAGGCCAACCGTATTATCATACCAACAGAACCAGAGCCTTTCTGCTCTCGTCAACAATGGGAGGAACGAGCAGAACACCGATCCGTCGACCTGCAAAAGCAGTTTGCCAAGTCCGGACTGCAAGTCATCTTCAAACTTGCCAATATTCATCTCACCCCCGAAAAGCCCCAATACGAGGGTGGATCCTGGCATATTGAAGGTGCAATGAACGAGCACATTGTTGCCACGGCCCTCTATTACTATGATGAGCACAACATCACTCCCAGTCATCTCGCGTTCCGTCAATCGCTAGATAGTGATGAAATGATGATGAATGTTGGACAGGTATGCGGTCCTTCCATCAATATCCGGGACGAAGCCATGGAACTAATGATATTCCTGCCAGTACGAATATCACGCCACAGAGGTATTTTATGGGATCAACAACGATGGCCCTGCAATCCAAAACCTGGGTAGTGTTCTGACTAGACCAGGCCGTCTCCTGGCCTTCCCCAATACCCTCCAACATCAAGTTCAGCCTTTTCAACTTGCCGACCCCACCCAGCCTGGCCATCGCAAGATCTTAGCCATGTTCCTAGTGGATCCATATATCCCAGTACTGTCGACGGCAAACGTGCCACCCCAGCGCAAGGATTGGTGGGCTGCTGAGGTACGCCAAGTGCCTCCGTTCAACCGCTTGCCTAGAGAGATTTTCGATATGACTATGCAGCATGTGACGGACTTTCCTCTTAGCTGGGAGGATGCAGTGCAAGCCAGACAGGACCTCATGGATGAACGAGGGGCACTGATCGAGCAACTCAACGATGGCATGGAAGAAGTACGTGTACCCTTTCTCATTGCCATCTCCTTTCCTCTGAGAATCAGAGTATTAACACGAGTCCAGAACACGTTCTTCTTCTGCGAGCACTAAACCCTTCCCGTCACCTTTGACTAATGTGAACTACATAATATTATCAAGAGAGTCACGAACCCAGGTCGTATAAATATCACTTTAATCCATATCTCCTCCCTATTTAAACGCGCCCCTTTATAAACTACAACATACACCGAAAACATACCAGAAAGATAGCCTCAGAATTAGAACCTCCATCCACAGCTGACCATGGCCACCCACACCATCCCCATCAATTCCAATACGAAAAATCAAACAACGCCGAGAAATCACTCGCCGATGGATTCGACGTCCCCATTATCGGCTGAAGAGGATCACTGGGATAAAAGAGCTCATCGAATTCCATGTCTGTTGCGTTGATGCCATTCTCTAGAACATCCATTGGATTCTATAATATAGATATAAGTCAAATCATGTCCCACACTATGACCACAGTATCATCACTTACATGTAGCGGTATCTGTCCTGCCAACGAATCCCTCGATGGTTCCTCCGTCCAAGGGATAGTTGTCTGCTCTGGACGTCTGGCCACGACGTCCTGTCGGTTCTGCACATCCTGCACGAATTGTCTTGCGATATGTGCGAATTCGGATACGTATGAAAATGGTAGCGTCCCCTTGCTTTCCACCTCCCAGCGGCTGAAGTACCCGACTGCCATGTCAAGGTAGGCTAGGTTTAGGCTCGTCTCGGCGTGTCGAGGGTTGTGGATGATGAATTCGAAGATGATGAAGAGGGCGGAAATGGGCACGATGCCTAGGGTCCTGATGCGGGTTGGTTAATTGGGTTGGATTGATAGGGGAGGGGGGGGGTGGAGCTGGGTACGTACCATGTCGGAACGTGTGGTTCGTGATCGATGTACCGGCTGAGATATATGATCGTGCGTGCGGCTTCCATGAGTTGGAGGTTGATTCCTTGATTGCGTTCGTTGGGGCTGACATGGATACGAAGGCGGCAGATTGAGATTGAGAGGCTATAGTAGATGAGGCGGAGCTGGATGGCCATGTTAACGGCGTAGGGCTTTTTAAAGTGCGAGGGGCGGAATGGTTGACTGAGTTGAAAGTGTTTGGGAAGGGATTCTTTCCATTGTTCGAGCTCGGCTGAGATGGTGTTCATTGCGGCGATTCGGGTGCTGAGGTTGGCTCGGACGGCGCTGACGGAGAATAGGCACTCGTACATTCGGGAGATGAGACGGCCTAAGCGTGCCGTGGTCATTAACCAGTCCAAGTCACCGATTGTGGCTGCGGGAGTTTCTGGGACCGGGCATCCTATGTCGTAATCTGCTATGATCTTGGGCTGCGTTGGTTAATCTTCCCAGGAGACAGGGTGAATTGGGTGAGATATACTGGAGCACGGCTGCAGAAAAAGCATTCGACCCTTTCCTGCCAGTATATGACCCAAAATACCCGATGGCATGCTTTCTCGTCTTCGCCGGGGGTGTACGCAGCACTGTACCCCAGACACTGGACCATTCGTGCCGCCTCGGTTGTCAGGGTTTTGCTGATCTGGATGCAGGAGAAGTTCATGGCGAAAATTCCCTAGTTTATGATTAAATTAGGGTATAAGCACACAAGCAGCATGTTTCACGAACCATTGCTGTCAGGGCCTGTTGCATGTATACGTCAGTTGGTGTTCAATATGTGGTAGAGCCGACTCACTTGAACATTGACTAAAGTCTCCGGAGGTTGAAGGATCTCCGGAAAAAGACCCAGTGCATGTTGAAAGAGCTTCCAGGCTGTGCCTTTTCCCGGATCAAAAGATCCGCCTTCGACATATAGGCAGCCGAGCGCTAAGACCGTGAAGTAAAGTGCAGAAAATGGGGCATTGCTCAAGTGATCCTCTACCTGGGTATCGAATGCCTTGTTTTCGAAGGCACTGCGATCCAAGAAGGGGTACAGTGGATGTACGTGTTCAAAGTAGGCTGGACAATGATCAGAGGGTTAGCTATTCGACGTTCAAACCATGGGCCAAGGCGAACTCACCACCAATGTATTGCACACTAACTTGGCGGGAGATCTCCACCTGGGAACTGGTTTTAGCAAATTGGATGGAAGAGTGACGAAACTGACGGCCTTTTCCATGCAATCGACTTTGAGTAAGACAGCTTATGCCGTCAATCAGATCACGGAACCTCGTGTGGCCCAGGATTTCTGTCAAAGAATGAAGCTGACTTTCCGAGAAGAAAGCAAGACCGGTGCTGGGGACTGATGGGCTGATTAGCCAAGCTGAGTATAGCCTCGGAAACTCCGGAAAACACCTTGTCTATCATGTACCTGTTGCCGTTAGCCACTCGTATGTCCAAGCAAAGGAGGTTGTTCTTACTTTGAAGATGGAGGATGTACCACGATTCCTTCCATCGGCATGCCGATTGACGAGGATGTGGTCGACAAACGGGCTTGAGGCATCGCATGTGGTAGGCCCTTCGGTGACTGATGGGTTTTTCTGGCTTTGAGGGCTGGTTTCAACTGGGATAATGTTAATGTCCTGTCACCTGAGATAGTTTGTGTGTTGTACGTAAACTGGGTGAGGCGCGGGCTTCTTTCGGCTTCAACCGTCTCCGCGTGAGACTGTAATGGCATTCGATGTTTCGGTTCTGTATGAGGTTCAGTAGGTGCCACATCAAGGGAGCGCCACCAATGGCCTCATGGCCTCTATTGCAGGGCGGATCTCGTACGAGGCAAGGCGTGCAGGTAACACTGTCCAAGGGCCCTGTTGCCCAAATCGCCACCCGGTCAGCAACCACTCTGGCTCTTCGTGGCTAGTGCCACGGTCAACGGGGATACCCACGTAGACAGCGGATCTTCTTTGCTTTGCAATGATCACAGGATCGTGCTAGCCGAGGCTCCAGTTGTGCGGCCATGATGGGACGCAAAAGAGGATGAGTTCCGAAGCCCGAAAGAGAAAGGGGAGGGCGAGGAATCTCGGCGGTCGGATCTCGACCACTCGGAACCACCGTCCAACCCGCCTCGGAACTCGATCGACTTCCGCCGGGTTCCTTTTCCTGGTGTCCATGACCCCCTCTTTGGAACATAAGGCATTCGAAATTCGTCGAAGGGTTTCGGTCTTCGCTCTACCTTCTGGATATGCTGGTTTCTCAAGAAAATATGAAGCACTAAGTATCCGGACCTCGGGAGAATGGCATGGAAACCATTATGCGAAACCCGACTTGCGGTGCCAGGGGGGTATAAAGACCAATAGTTGCGAAAGATTCACTAGGGTATCTGTCACACTCCACGGTTGCTGTGTTCTTCCCATCGACCATCATGACATCTATCATTTCCCAGAACTTGACCCTCAAATGCGGCTTGCAGCTGGAAAACCGTCTGGTAAAGGCCGCAATGGCCGAACACATGGCTGATGGCAATAGTCTACCCACCGAGCTCCATGACCGTGCTTATGCCGAATGGGGCCGCGGTGGTTGGGGCATGCTCCTGACCGGGAATGTTCAGGTCGACAGGATGTACCTCGGGGGTGCAGGAGACAATACGGTCAATCCGGCCATCGAGGATGAGCTCATTCGCAGGTGGAAATCGTGGGCGGCCGCATCCACAAGCCATGGCACACCAACAGTCATGCAGATCAGTCACCCTGGAAGACAATCTCCTTTGGGTGCTGGGGCACGGTGCATGTTTGCCAAAAATGTGTCACCAAGTGCCATACCACTGGATCTGGGGTCGGGGTTGATGGCAAAGCTTACAAGTGCCGTGGTTTTTGGTACCCCGAGGGAGATGACCCAGAATGATATCGACCATGTGATCCAGCAGTTTGTGTACACGGCTCGTCTGGCCCATCGAGCAGGATTCCAGGGGGTCCAATTACACGCGGCGCACGGCTACCTGCTAGCCCAGTTCCTGTCAGCAAAGACGAACCGTCGGACCGATTCGTATGGAGGCTTGTCAGCTGGGCGTGTGAAGATTGTCCTCGAAATTATCCATGCCATTCGCGCAGCAGTTCCAGCAACATTCGGCGTTGGAATTAAACTAAACTCGGTCGATCATCAATCTAAAAGCGAACTGAACTCCTGCATCGAGCAGCTCAAGCTCATTGTCGAGGCCGGGGTGGACTTTGTAGAAATCAGCGGTGGGACATACGAAGATCCTAGAGTAGGTTTGACTGACACTCCCTTTTGGTATCACACAACTGACGATTGATGAAGATGATGGGCGCTACACCGCAGCCGGTGCCAGAGAAGTCCGCTCGAACTGTGGCTCGGGAGGCATTCTTCCTCGAATTTGCGAGAGCCATCCGTGCGGAATTCCCAGGAATTCCCTTGATGGTGACCGGCGGCTTCCGTACGCGGCAAGGCATGGAAAAAGCCCTGGCAGATGGAGATTGTGACATGATTGGCATTGGACGTCCGGCGGTTCTTCACCCAACTCTGCCAAATGACATCCTTCTAAATGCAGATGTTCCGGAAGAGCGCGCGCGACTAATCACCCAGCCAATATCACCTTCTCGGCTAATCAAGATGACCGGCATCAAGTCGGCCGGGTCTGGTGCGGAGAGTGTGAGTATGACTGAATGAAATGTGGAATGCGTCAGCTAACAGACTCCTTTCAGCGTTGGTACAGCAATGAGATACAGAAAATGGCCCGAAGTGCTGCCAGATCTGCAACTTGACGATAGTATACATATATATATAGTATGTGATCGAGCATATTCCAATGTTTGGAGTCATTCGAAGATACAGGTTGCCTATCTCTTAATATTCATGTGCCTCCGCGCCAGTTTGAATTTATAGGCAGAATGCAGGATATTTGATCGATCCGAATGTAGTACTTTTTGCTGAACCGGAGATTTGAGAGCGAGGTGAGGTGGGCACTCGTAAGATAGACATCGACCAACTTTCCCCACCACGGGAACCTAAGAAAAAAGAAGTGTTTTAGTCCAGTAAGGTTCAACCAGTGTGGGACTTCAAAAGAAGAAGAAAAAAGAGAAGCCCAACGCGGGGCTCGAACCCGCAGCCTTGAGATTAAGAGTCTCACGCTCTACCGATTGAGCTAGCCGGGCTAGTTCGTTGGAAAAAAACTGCCTCTAAATGGCTATTAAGCTTGTTTTAGCCTCCTATACATTATCAGCCATAATGTCAGATCCGAGATTCCAGGAGAAGAATTCAAAGGCTGTCATCCACACTATTTCCCCGAACTGCTCTACCCCACGTCAGTGGCCCATCCGAGACTAGTAGCTCTGCCATGATCGAGATGTCATCATGCAAAGAACAGTTTGTCTCCCTTCGGAAAAGCAGTTCTTACTCTCTCAAATCGCGTGCTCTATGGTGTGATTCCTCGCCTCATAGCTTTGTTTAGGATGACGGAAAGTGAAGCATATGCACTGAACCCCTACTATGTCCACTATATGCGGGATCCGACAGCATCAAATGCTATTGCATCCGATTTCAAGGTACGATCCACGCTGAGGGACGAGAAACCATTGTGGCTCCATGCATTTCCCTATAACATCCCCATGGGCTGCCCATTATGCTTCCATACCCGGGCATCTTTCATGACAAACTCAACGGTCCTCAAAGCCTCCGGATCCACCTCCGGATTCTCATCCAAAGCAATGATATCTGCCTGTGCTCCTGCCTCAAACCATCCAAACCGTCTCCCACAGAGATCCCCCCCGCAGGCCTCCCAGCCACCAACCGTACAAGCCTCCAAGACATCCACAACAGGAACCCCCGCTTTCATCATGAGTTCCAGCTCCCGAACATTTTCCCCATGAGGGTACGTGCCCGTATCTCCGCCACAGGCAAGCCTCACCCCCAGCTCATGCGCACGTTTGACCTGACTCAAGATCTGCTCGAATCGGTTGCCATGCAGCCTCTCCGCGATGGCAAGAGTCGGTACCAGAATAACATTCCTCTCCACCATGCGCTTCAGCATCTTGTCTGTGGCGAGATACGCATGTTCGATCGTATTCACTCCCGCGTCGATAGCAGCCATCGCCCCTTCAAGCGTCGCGCAATGCGCAGACACCGGACATCTAGCCAGCCGGGCCTCTGCCACAATGGTTTGCATCTCTTCCTTCGAGAAGACCATGTAATCCGGGTTCGGCTCCTTCGGGGGATGAAGGACGCCTGCGATATAGGGATGTTGCTGTGCAGGGGGGTAGCGCATGATTCTTCTGCGGTAGTCGGCGAAGAACTTGATGATGTCTGCACCGGCGGCGATGCGGCGGCGGACAGCCTGGCGGCATGCTTCTATGCCGTCGACGGCGTCGGCGCTGGAAGGTAGGCAGTGGCCTCCAGCGCTGTTTTCCGTTCGACTTTCATAGGATCCGGTGCTGGCCAGGACTCTGGTGGCTACAAAGAGGCGTGGACCTGGGGTGAGGCCTCGAGCCACGGCATCCCGTATGTTCGCGTCAAACTCTTGCATACCTTCCGACCCGAGATCTCTATTCCGAGGGAGTTAGGATCGGATTCGTTGTTTCTGTGGGAAGTCCCTATTTACCTGTAGGTCGTGTATCCTGCCAGAAGTGCCGTGCGGCAATGATTGACTGCTCGAACCATCCTTTCTCCGATGCTTTCGTCGCGTTTTTGCTGAAGGGCACCAGCCTCACTGAGGTGACTAGTGTCATCTTGGGTTGCCTGAGAGGAAGACTGGTGCTGACTTACTCGTAAGAGTGGAGGAAGATATGCGTGTGCGCATCAACCAGCCCGGGCAACACATACCTCCCCCGAAGGTCGATGTCCCCAGCCTTCCAGAGATCCGACAAGAGTACCTTGTCATCGCGCTCAAAGACGCGCACGATGAGTCCGCTGGCGGGATTGACCGTGACTGAGACATTTGAGCGAAATCGTTTGATCTGGGGATCAAACAATGACGAGGTATGGATGGTAAAGTCCGCCATGATGGAACAACACTGTTAGCCGGATGAACAGAACATCAGGTATGATTTCCGGTGTCGAGGGGTCAGGATGAGTCTTGAGACCGGAGAGATGCGGGGAAATCGCATCGGACCGCCGCGCAAAGCCGAGCTCCTCCCCGAGAGATAAGATAACCAACAGGCATCCAGGCAGAAGGTGTCTAACTTTAGAAGCTCTGTTGCCTTCACTACGCCCAGATATTTAGAACGGAGAATAATCATCAGATATCCTTAAGAACCACTGCATTACCCGGCACTCGACCGGTCCATTCCGTAGAAGTGGCTAGGTGGTAGCAGGCTATTTCCTGATCTATGAGGGCTACAGATAAATATATCAGTTAATTTCCGACATATTCGCTGGGACACTGATCATCTGAAAAGGTTCCATAAAATGTATCTCCCTCCACTGACGCTTTCAGTGTTTTCTATCTTCTCTCGCATATCATACACTCGGATTTTATTGCGAAAAAAAAGCCTCTCAGCCACCATACCAGCCCGAATGCATTCCGTCTTTAGTCACCGTTCTTCCCGTGACAAAATTGACGACTTACAAGTTAGACGAGTTCGGGAGAACGTCTTGAAAGGTCTGAATGAAGCCCATGACTTTTGTAAGAACTCCCGAGGTATGTACTATGACACTGACACGAAAGATACGTCTATCATATGTGAGGAGCTTCGCATATCGCCAGATGGGGCTCACCTAGATCCCCTGTCACCTGTTTTCTTCGAACCCCTGGAGGCTGGACATGTCCCTTCTCCTTACCCTACCGATGCCGAGACCCAGGAAGGGCTGAATGCGATTAACAAGAGATGGGGAGAGGAGTCAAGAATTCCACAGAAATTGAATGATGAAGCCTAGAGTCTTCTATTCAGGATCCAGCATTTCTTCAGACAATTCCAGCGAGACGTCCCACTGGCCCCGGGTGACTCTTTATCAAGTTTAATGCACCTCGCAAAGTGGGTTCCTATGTGAGCTTTTACAGATCAGCGTCCGTCATATTAGAGTATCTTGAGCCTAGGAATCTAATGTTGATTTCTCAAGGGACAATATTTATCCGGAGGCCGTCGCAGATGAATTTGAATGGGCATTGTGGTATGCGGTCTGGAAGGCCAGAAAAGCGCTCAATCTTCCACACACCATGATTGCAAATATGTATAGAAGGGAGGCAGATGACAAACTCCTTACGCACAAGGTCCTAATCTTCTTGGCCGTTATGATCACCCGCCTGGGAGGCAACGACTTCGCCCGTCATACTGTTGTGCCGGTGAGTAGAGAGAGCTTTAGAGCTCGACCGTTGTCTTATTATGGCAGATCAACCACCGAATGGTTGGTCTGGTTGAGGGCATGTCCTCCAGACCAAGTGGTTACTTAACACTGACAAACCTTGTATTGTTTATAGATCATGGCTATCACCGTATTCGCCGGCTACAAACTAAGAATCCTGCAAGCCCACTACTGTCTCGAGGGTCTCGTAATTCGAAAATCACACTTATTGAGCTTCACTGACAAGGATGTGGCACTTCCTAATATGGATATCGTGATGAGGTTTATGGCTGCTAAAATGGTTGGAAACACGAAGAACTTGCATGTAATGGGCCAGGTACGTTTCTCATATATATAGAGCCAAAGGTTCGAGCAGTGACTTGACAATTTACAGCCGGAGCCAACTGTACCTTCTATCAAGTCCCGCGGCATGTTTAACCGCTTTGGAAAACCCTTTGCATCAAGAAGTTTCGGCAACCTGCTGTCCCCGGTTGATAGGGACTCGAAAGAAAGCCCTAATATAAAATTTCGTTAAGATACAGAGGAAGAAGAAATGATCATTCTCCTTCTGTCTATACGTTAATTCCCAGTACAGATGTGTTTTATTATTATTAGGGTTTTTTAGGGTTTTTAGGGTTTTAGGGTTTTTAGGGTTTTTAGGGTTTTTAGGGTTTTTAGGGTTTATTAGGGTTATTAGGGTTTTTAGGGTTTT